TTGGGCACGCGCTGATTTTCACTGAGGAAAAACAAACACAGAGGAGAAATACAGTAACTGTGTTTACATGGACATCAGTAATCGAATTATTTCCAAATTATTAAATGGTGCACTTAAACTGCAGTTTGTCACTTTCATTCAGGAATTTCATTCATGACACCCCGAGATATTTGATTCGAGGATTTGCTCTAAGTGTGTATTTTTCATGCAATGTTTGTTACCACACGGCGAATTAGAGAAAAAAACCTCTGCATTTCTCGAAAACTTAGATGTACTCACTAGGTAGCGTCTAAAAGCCGTTTGTTATTCCTGTCACAAAATGCGGCAAAATCCTCCACGGGTTTGATTGTGGTGCTTACATGTTTACACTCTGAGAGCAGCATTTATTGTAGTGATATTAACATACTGTACACTTTATTAACTTAGAAATCATTTGACTGTCCATCTTTAAACACTGAAATAGTGCTGCTGACCATTCGAACTAACTTTGCCTCTGAATAAACAAAGACCCCTAAACGCTCACTTACCAAATCTGTAGAGACAGGACAAATAACACCAACTAGAGCCGCGTCTTTATCAAAAGGAGATGAGCGGCAAATCCGGATCTCACCGTTTCAAGATGAGAAAAGCTCACGGGTAAAAAAAAAAAAAAAAGTTCTTTAGACGTATTTTTGTCGAGAGTCGCATGCACTGTAATCCACACGTGAGTCAGCTGCGCTTAGGGTTGTAACAATATACCGGTATGACGGTTTACCACGATTTTGAACGTGCACGATTATCATACCATGAACAATTGCATATCAACGGTTTTAACCCTTAAAGACCGAGACAGCCGCCCGCGGCTAAAAATAAGTATTGCTCTTAAATGTTTAATAACTTTTGATCCGCTGATCCGATTCATACAATTCAAAGATTGGCATAAAGAAGAGAATCTCAGCTTTCCAGCGCTGTTTCACATAACATTCGCGGACTTTCAGAGGCTCCGGAATCAGTGCGGTTACGTCATCAAAATTTGACAACGCTGATTTGACAAAGAAACGCTCGTCACTGTGTCTCCGGACAAACCAGACATGATACATTGATGCATTGTCCCTCCTCCATGCCCAGATTGGTTCAAACTCGCTATATCACAACCAATAAGCATAGGTTTCACTTTTGTTTGTGGACCAACACTGAGCTTTTTGAACAACACGGAATGAGAGATAGGCTGTACATTTATGCTCGGCTAAATAAAACGCAAAAAAAAAAAGTTTTGCATGAAATAATTCTCATACTAAGTACTTTTGCATGCACAACAGCACAGAAACATGACAAAACAGTGACACAGCAAAGACGAACTGCTGCTCTTGCTGTTTTCAAAAGACGCAAATGAAGGTGCAGCTGTTTGTCTACATTGCAGACAACCACATCCAAATCCACAGACAACCATATCCATGCTGGCACATAAAACCTAAGGATGTTCCATATTGAATCTAGTTTCGTTATGTAACTATTTATAGTATAGTAAATATTTATATCTATTTTTTACTGAGGATTTGCACCATGTTTATTTGGACTTTGACACATTATTTATTATTTTTTTATTTGTTCATTGTACAAGTGGACACATTCTCTCACCTCAGTGGTCAAGATAAGGTCCTGAAAATCTCAACATGCTTACATTTCTTCATCACAACCTAGACTGAAAAAAACAACGCTTTAAATACATGTTTACAGCCATAAACTTGGTATTGCACTTTTGGTCTCCCATTTATCCTGCTTATAAGGAAGGACAGTTTAAGTTTATTTTTGTCTAATCTTAAAAGACCCTGCTTGTTTATTCCTTCTAATTTAATTTATTAAAATGGGAGATTTTTCAGTTTATTTTTATAAAAGACTTCTATAGTTCTATTAAAATGGTTCTTTCAAAAGTTTGTTGAAATAAAACCTTTGTTCAGTCAGAAAACGTGTTCTTATTCTTTTCAGGGTCTTTGCTATGAGAATTACTATTTAATACCGTATACCGCGAAACCGTCAAACCGTGGTATTGTTTTAGACGATTATCATACCTTAAAAAATTCATACCGTTACAACCCTAGCTGCGCTCTCATAGAGAGAAAATGAAAACAAAACCTTCACTGAAGCAAATTATAAAAGCAACACTGCACGCTTGTGTTGGCAACACGACGTGGAGTCTCTCTGCCGTCTGAACACTGTAACAGGTAAAGACTTTGTCTTCGAAGCTATCATGCATATTAATGAAGTTTCACAATAGAGAGCGCTGATTGGTTTAAATTAAGTCTTTCTCATTAATGAATGCAGCACACTCAGAGCCGAAATAAGGTACTCCCAGGTACAGACGTCCAGTCTACACGCTGGAATACATGCTAGGATCTCATGGTCGTGGCGCAGCTTTAAAAATTCGTTTCAAACTGGAAGTACGAATTTGCTCGAAATAACGCAAAAACAGCCAATTTTCACTTTTTAGTGAAATATGTGCGTCCTAATAGTGTTTTTAGCAGTGTGGGACACGTATATGACTGTCAACAGCTCAAAACATGTGTTTTAGTGTTTTGTGATCCTTTAAAAATCTTGTGCTTGAGTAAACCTTAAGTTATTTGTTTACTCATGTTGTTTTTTTTTTTTTTTTGTTAAACAGGTGGGTCTGGACTACAGGAATTGCATTCTGAAGCCAGGAGGCTCTGAGGATGCTGCTGACATGCTGAAGAAGTTCCTGGGAAGAGAACCCAAGCAGGATGCTTTCCTCCTAAGCAAAGGGCTCACGGCTGATGTGGAGTCTGGCACCCCCTGCGCCTGCTGACCGCCTGAACGCTAGGCCAAGTTGATAAAACCTCAGACTGATACCTCTCAAAAACCCTAAAAAGCTCATTCACTCATCACCACCTCTCCCGAATCGCACTTCTGCAAAGAGCTTTCACTATGGATGTATAAAACCTTGTTTTAGAATTGAAAATTGTATTGAAATCTGTCTCCAAAATGAAAAAGAATCTTTAAATCATGCATTTGTTTCATTTTTTTTTAACTGTTTTCCATGCAGCATAATGAATTCCCTTTAGAAAAGGAACTGCTTCATTGCACTCATAACACATCATTTGCTGATGTCACATCTGGGGTACACAACAGGTCATTAGGAAAGCATTGACACAGTGTTTTGTTTATAATTAATTTTATTTCATTATATTAAATATGCAGGCCATATTCCACGCCAAGATAAAAAATACAGGGTTCATACGATCATGGAAAACCTGGAAAAGTCATTCAATTTTGACATGATATTTTCCAGGCCTGGAAAAGTTTTGGAAAAACAGAAAAACCCATAATGTTTTGGAAAAGTCATGGAAATGAGTTTAACAAATATCTGTAAACTGAAATATAGGTTAGTTGTTTTTTTCTGTCTTTGGCCAAAAACATGGTCTCATATTAGAATGCTGTGTAAGCATTCATTTATTCGTTTTCCTTCGGCTTAGTCTCAATTTTAGAGGTGGCACAGTGGGAAAGAGCTGCCATGTGTAAGCATTGTCTAAATAATCTTACAAACAAAAGATATAAAAAATAAATTAAAACTAAATAGATTGTGCGTTTTATATTTTATAATACATTTAAACGTGCATTGTTTTTTATTATTGTTTACCATATATACAGTTGAAGTTGAATTATTAGTCCCCCTTTGAATTCTTTTTTTAAATATTTCCCAAATTATGTTTAAAAGAGCAAGGAAATTTTCACAGTATGTCTGATAATATTTTTTCTTCTGGAGAAAGTCTTATTAGTTTTATTTTGGCCATATTAAAAGCAGTTTTTAATTTTTTTTTTTTTAATTTTTAAGGTCCAGATTATTAGCTCTTTTAGGTTATATATTTTTCTGATAGTCTATAGAACAAACTATTGTTATACAACAACTTGCCTAATTACCCTAACCTGCCTAGTTAACCTAGTTAAGCCTTTAAATTTCACTATGTTGTATAGAAGAGTCTTGAAAAATGTCTTGTCAAATATAATGTACTGTCATCATGACAAAAATAAATCAGTTATTACAAATGAGTTATTTAAACTATTATGTTCAGAAATGTGTTGAAAAAAATCTCTCAAACTGAAATTGGGGAAAAATTGAGGACGCAAATTTGTATAATGATGTTGGAATGATCAAAGTACGATGTTGAGGTGGTTTATGAGGACATGCCTTGTGTTCATGTCATTCAAAACTGTTAAAAATCGTACTGACTGGGTCATTTAACATTCAAAATCTGCCACAGGTCTCAAGTGAAGGTTGTTTGTAGAGGTGGAGAGCGGCATTATAAGTATAAGTACAAGTTTATACGCCTATGGAGAGTGCCCATAAACCACCTAAACCAACGTGAGTGTGTGTTTATAGATGAATAATGGATGGATAGAGACTTTCATTCATTCATTTTTTTCTTCGGATTATTCCCTTTATTCACCAGGTGTCACAACAGTGTAATGACTTATCCAGCATGTGTTTTACCCTTTCAGCTGCAACAATACTGTGAAACATCCATCCACACTTTTTCACTCACATACAGCCAATTTAGTTTATTCAATTCACCTATAGCGCATGCCTTTGGACTGTGGGGGAAACCGGAGCACCCAGAGGAAACCCACACCAACAGGAGGAGAACATGCAAACTCCACACAGAAATACCAACTGACCCAGCCGGGGCTCGAACCAGTGACCTTCTTGCTGTCAAACTTCAGAGATCTAAAAATCATAATTTTACCATTATTACAGACCAAGTATAATAGGATTCTAGATGGGATATCTTGCTAGATCTCTTTTAAAATAATATTACACAAAGGTTGCACAATCTTTCCTGAGGTGAGGTAAGTTTTTATTATGATTCAAAGGACCAACATGACACCCTGTTCCTTAGTGTGCGAATAGACTTTGCTTATTCCCTCTCAGGACCGCAGACTTCTGAGCACATTAGAGAGGCTTGAAACAAACAACAGAGTAACAATTAACAAGCAACGAGGTTTGTCAACAGCGCAATAAGATCACCTGCTCCTGTGGGAACACGCTCGGTATTATCGGTCTCATATAGACGCAGGTTTTTAAGGGTGATTAGACAAAATAGTTCAAAGACCTCCGAGTCCGACTCATCTTTAAAGCAACAGTTTATACTTTTATACACGTCAGGTTAATTAAACATAGAGCAGCTGCTCGTGCTCTCCAGGGACTGATCTCTGTGGCAGGCGGTGGCTCGTAAACACCGGGTCTCCCTCGGCCTTCCTGATCTCAGTGGATAAAATGACGGCGCTGAGGAGAACAAACAACCGAGCTGGAGCGCCCTGCAACAGAGAGCTGTGTTCTTTTTTGTATAATAGGAGACAGCTGAAAAGTCTTTAAACAATTTGTCAAATGGCTTGATTTACATTTACTTTTTAATTATAATTTCATTTCTCAAACTAGCAGTGATGCTCACAGTGGCACCGTAGAACTACCCGGATGTCGGTGGTTTAATAGGACTGGAATATTCTGGATTAACTGAGGTGTTGGTCAGGATGGATGTGGTGGAGATGAGAGAGGCACTTGGGTTGGAGGTTCTGCGGGGACAAAGCGCTGATTCTCTGCAGCCTACTTCCAGAATGGTGCGGGTGTTCATCAGCTCCACTCACTCAGGTAAGTAAGACTTGCACTTCTTGTTTTAGATAATTTTAGCTCAATTTATTTATTAAACATTTTTTTTGCTCCATGGTCCATCTAATGAAAAACATTAGCTATATTAGAACTATTTTGTCATTTTTAATTTAAATGGTTTCTGTTTTTGTTTGTGGTCTTTTTTATGGGTAAATACAATCTCTTCAAAATGCAACACAAATGTTTATTCATTCATTTTCTTTTGGCTTAGTCCCTTTAATAATTAGCGGTTACCACAGCGGAATGAACCGCCAACTTATCCAGTATGTTTTACACAGCAGATGTCCTTACAGCAGGAATCCAGGACAGGGAAACACCCATACACTCTCACATTCACAAACATACACTACGGCCAATTTAGTTTATTCAATTCACCTGTACCACAGTTGGGAAAACGGGAGCACACGGAGAAAACCCACGCAAACACAGGGAGAACATGCAAACTCCATACAGTAATGCCAAGTGACCCAGCCAGGGTTCAAACCAGTGACCTTTTTGCAGTGCTAATCCCTAAATGTTTATTTTTCAGATAAAGCAATCGTCTGAAAGTGTGAAATATATTTGTGACCTTGGTCTTAAGTAAAAAAAAAAATTAGTTGGAACTGACAAAAATACATTGTTTAAGTCACAATGATCAGTTATATTTTATGCCAAAAATCAAGTAAAGATCACGCTCCACGAAGACTGTTAAAAATACATGAAAGTAAAATAAAAATACATATAAAATAAAAAATAAAATAAAAAAATAGAAATGTTAAAGTAAAAAAAAACTTAATCGCTAAAAATAAAACTTAAAATGCTAAATTTCCTTCTGTTAATATATACAAATAAATTTATCGATTATCAATGTGCATTGCTAAAAATGGGATTCATAGACTTTTAAGGGTGAATTTATCAAAATTATAATTTTTTTAATCCCCAGATTCCATATTTTTTAAATAGTTTTATCTCTCCCAAATATTTTCTAATCCAGAGATGTTCAAAGTAGGGCCTGCAGGCCAAAGATGACTCATGCTAACCTTGGCCCGATTTAGATTTGGCCCGCCATCCCATCTGAGAGGAGGGGTAGAAGCTGTTTAGATGCTTGAATCACAGAAAATATTAAACAAAAGTGTGTAAAATTTATGCATAATAGTTATGCAAATGCAATGTTTCCACATTTTCAGGTTTGCCGAATTGTCATATATTACTGATTTCATGATAGTCATTTCAATATTGTATCAACTGTGTAAAATGCAAGATAACAAACGACATTGTATTGTTGACAGACATGAAAAATGAGAGAAATGCATTCTGGGAGAAGACCTATTCGGAGCTACAGACCCACTGCCAAAGTTTGGGTCTTGTTTTTGAGGTTTGTGCTAAAATTACAGTTGGAGTCTAATTTAGTTTTGCTGGAAAACACTTTATAACAAAGGTCTCAAACTCGATTCCTGAAGGGCCGCAGCTCTGCACAGTTTTGCTCCAACTCTAATCAAACACAGCTGATTCAACTAATCAAGGCGTTCAAGATTACTAGAGACTATTATGCCCTGTTTCCACTGACTGGTACAGTGCGGTACGGTACGGGTCAACTTTATCAGGCTTGCATTTCCACTGCCAAAAATGTACCAATGGCTTGCTCTTGGAAATCTCACTCAAAGTAAAGCTTTACGGGTCATTCACATATCACATAAAAAGCACTTCTCACAAAGCAGATGCTTTATGCACATATATACTCGTGTATAAATCATACGTATAAATCGTGTATGTTCATTACTAACCTTTCTATGAACATGATTTGATTATACTGTAACTTCAGATCAATGACAGTGTGAAATAGCCTACTGTAACGTCTGCAATTATATAAAATAAATAAATAAATGCAACATATATGAACACATACAGACCCTAACAGTCTCCGAAATGTTACCAATTAAAGAAAAACTACACACAGCAGACATTTAGTCCTTATTTGGGTTCAAAAACAACACAAAATAAAGCCCACAGTCAGTGAAACTTCTGATCTGTGTCTTTAATCTTCACCAGTACATGTAACCTTTGTTAGAACGTAATTCAGTCATTCCAAATTCATAATAGTCCAAAAGGTGATGATAATAGTTAAACACAGCAGTTTGTTCATGGTTTAGATTGCTGAAAAAAAGAATTTCCTCCTTTGTTTTTTATGGCTTCTCCTTTGTTTTTTTGCGCTTCACTTTTGCGTTTTTCTGTTTCTGAAAGGATCAGATGATAGAAGCACTTCAATAATCATGCTCACGTTATTATTATCAGCTCAAGAAGTTCGTTATTTCAAATATAAACACAATCACAAGCTCTCTGGAGAAAGTGAAACAGCTCGTAGTTTATGATCGCCCACACCTCCCTCTAACCCAAACCCAACCGTCACAGTAGCATATATGTTACCTTAGTGGGCGGTACAAGGTCCGCTATGTAGTTGACAATCACCTACACCTCCCCTCCCCCTACCCTAAACCCATCCATTGCAGTAGCATGGGTGTTACCTTAGTGGTACAAGGTCCGCTATGTAGTTGACAATAGTCTACATCATCTAGCTGCGGGCTGCAGCGAGGATATCTTGGAGACTGTTTTCACTGCCTGATGACGTTGTTGACCAGGTCTGATGCGTAGTTGACGATCGCCTACACCTCCCCTTACCCTAAACCCAACCATCACAGTAGCATGAGAGTTACCTTAGTGGGTGGTATAAGGTCTGCTATGTAATTGAAAAGTGCCTACACCTCCCCCTACCCTAAACCCAACCATCACAGTAGCATGGGCATTACCTTAGTTGGCGGTACAAGGTCCGCTACGTAGTTGACAATTGCCTACAACCTAAACCGCATGGGCCTTACCTTAATGGGGGGTACAAGGTCCCTTATGTAGTTGATGATCACCTACCTCAAGCTGCGGGCTGCGGCGAGGACATCTTGGACACAGTCCTCGCTGCAGCCTGCAGCTTGATGACGTAGTTGACTAAGTCCGCTACGTAGTTGACGATCGCCTACACCTCTCCCTATCCTAAACGCAACTGTCATAGGAGCATAGGCGGTACCTTAGTGGGCGGTACAAGGTCCATCACTTAGTTGACAATCACCAACACCTCCCCCTACCCTAAACCCAACCATCACAGTAGCATTGGCATTACTTTAGTGGGCGGTACAAGGTCCGCTACATAGTTGACGATCACCTACACCTCCCCCTACCCTAAACCCAACCATCACAGTAGCATTGGCATTACTTTAGTGGGCGGTACAAGGTCCGCTACATAGTTGACGATCACCTACACCTCCCCCTACCCTAAACCCAACCATCACAGTAGCATTGGCATTACTTTAGTGGGCGGTACAAGGTCCGATACATAGTTGACGATCACCTACACCTCCCCCTACCCTAAACCCAACCATCACAGTAGCATTGGCATTACTTTAGTGGGCGGTACAAGGTCCGATACATAGTTGACGATCGCCTACACCTCCCCCTACCCTAAACCCAACTGTCACAGTAGCGTGGGCGTTACATTAATGGACAGTACAAGGTCCGCTATGTAGTTGATGAATGCCTATGTCATCAAGCTGCGGTCTGCAGCAAGGACATCTTGTTTTGTCGTGCTAGGTACGCTCTGCAAAGGGTACCCAAAAAGTGGTGTGGTATGGTTCGCTTTTTGGCCATAAAAGTGTACCGTACCACTCAGTGGAAATGGGCCATTAAGCAGGTGTGAGTTGGATGTGGTTGAAGGTTGTTGAATTGTGCAGAGCTGTGGCCCTCCAGGAATTGAGTTTGAGACCATTGATTTATAACTATATTACATTTTCTTTGCCCACAGGTAGTGGATTTCAAATGTGGAATGCGTGACATCACTGCATCTGATCATTTAATAACTGAACTGTGCATTAAAGAAATCGAAACCTGCCAGAGGATATCAGATGGGCCAACTTTTATAGTAAGTGTCACCAGCAGCCTTATTAAATTTGTGATATTTAGGTCATCATGTTTGTTTCCAATCTGTAAGCATAAATGTAATACAGTATCTCTGTTTTTTTTTTTGTTTGTTTTTTTTTTAGGCTTTGATCGGTAATCAGTATGGCCATCGCCTTGTCCCGCGCCTCATACCAGAGGCAGAGTTTGAGTTGCTGCTATCAAAACTTTCCAAAGATCCAGAGAGTTTAAAGCTCCTTAACCAATGGTTTTACAAGGACAGTAACTCAATCCCACCCACATATATCCTCCTGCCAATCACGGTGCACTACCCACATTACAATGAGAGAGATTCTGAGAACGCACAGTTGCGGGATAATGATGTCATATCCTGGAATCTAACAGAGTCACGGCTGCTGCAGGTTCTCCGCAGTGCAGCTCTACAGGCTGAGAGAGACGGGGATTTCACTGCTGACAGCAAGCACAAGTTTTTCAAATCTGGTAAGACATTTTTTAAATGTTTCATGGATATGCAGAATAGGGCCTAAATCTTATTTCCAACCTGGTGAATTTTTGGAAGAATTCCATTCCAATTAGATCAGGGGTGCCCAAACTTTTTCTTTTGAAAAACCAAACTTGATTGAGGCTAGTGGGCTGAAGGTAAATATAGTTGCCATTGGTAATTTCCTAGTTTATTTAATAATGTTTAGAAATGACTAGAAAATATTGCTTTATATTAGCTAATACAGATTTTTTTACATTTAATAATAAACTTATTACAAAAAAATCAAAACAATTTCATGTATAACAGAATTACATTAGTTTTTGCCTTGATTTGCTCGCCAATGTCTTTTACATAATCCTCTATTTGTCAAGTGAGAGTATTTAAAAAAAATCTGAATAATTTACAACATTTAATTGAAACCTTCCATTTCAATTAGCTTTTTCTGTAGCTCAGCAATACAACAAACAAAAAAGGTTATGTCAGAATTAGAAATGACAATCTCTGTGTTTAAGGCGTTCATCCCAACTCATACTCACTTCTCCTCACAGTTGGCATATTGGGCCAAATCAAAGGTTACAATGGAACAACTTTATTTGAATATATACAATACAATACAATACAATACAAAAAGCAACAACAATTATAAAGACAGAAAAGAAATGCAAACAAAAAAAACAAAAAAAGGAAAGATTTTAAAACTATTATTACATCAGTTCCTCCAGTACTATACATGGTTCAACAATGTTACACATATATATCTAGGCCAATGGGCACAGGCAATATGTTGATCTTGCAGACGATGACAGGGTTATACCTTTAAACTGTTATCCTTGCGTTTGACAGGTTTTCGGTGGCTTCGAAGCCAGCAATGCTATCAGATAGATTGTGTCTAAGTCTCTCTAAATGTAAAGTGCTAGAAAATTTTGAAAGCCATGATATAAAATGTGGTTCTAATGCCTATTACCTTAGACAAAGAATATATTTTTTATATATTATTTCTATCACCAATCCATATTGGACAGCTTTTTTAATTTGATGACTACTTCCACGAATTGGGACCAACCAATGACTGTAAAAAATATGGACGACGCGACAGCCCCTTTTCCCATTGAACGCCTTGAGGGCAAAACGCCTGCTTGACGGGCACAAACTGTTGCAAAAGACTGCTGAAATTGGAGCCTTGACATGCGCAGAAGGACTGTCTGATGGAGCCAGAGGAGGAGCCGCGAAAATGAGCGGAGTCGAGCTTCCAACCAAACGCTTTATGTAAAATCAACCACGCCCCCCGAACTTCTCAGCATGCGTTTGCTGTCATATCAACACAAATAGATGTAATAACGTTAACAAATATGAGGGTTTTATATATTCAATCGCGCCAGCTCCGGGCCGCAGCGCATAACCTACTCGCGGCGTCGCGGGCTGATTCCGGCTCGCATGCGGCAGCGCCGGCTCGCTCGGCCGCCGCATCTGGCTCGATTGACTCGGGCTGGAATCGGGCAGTGAGTCCAGGCATCCGGAGTAGGTCCAGCAGAGGTAGTCAGTCTGAGCTCTGAGGGGTAAGTCCCAACTGAGGGACTGGCCCGAGTGTATTTTGCTATCTGGGTGGTTATGCGTGTATCAGCAAACTAATAAATCCCGAAAAAAGCCCTGACCTTAGTGAATAAACAGTGTTCCACCAGGATCATGTATGTCAGAAACTATAGTTTACTACTGAACTCATGTTGTCATGGTAAAATAACACAGAAATCGAATAATAACACTTCAGTCTTCTGCCGAAGCTCAGACGAGCTGCTTTGAGAAACTGTCAATCGCAACTGTCAATCACGATGACACGCCCAGCATTAAATTACTGCTAAAAACAAACAGTTTACAAAAATAAAGATCTGCACCTATTTCAGCACAATAACCAGTGCCTTATTCGACCAGAACCATCTTTCGGGACATTTTAATGCAAGTGTAATAAATTTTTTTATTTGGGCTCAAGGCTCCTTCATTAACTTGGAGGAGGCGGGCTTTATGACTTGTACTGCAGCCAGCCCCCAGAGGGCGATCTAACAGCCAAGACCTTCACTCAAACGCAGGCTTGCGGCACACTTGGGACCAACCGAAAACAGCGATTGCTGGATTAGGGGCGAGGTCCCAATAATATGCCTTAGAGTAGAAGCCTTAGAATAAAATTTCACTTCAAAGCTCTAAAAGGTTTGGGCATGACCAAAAAAGATGTCGTAAGGAGCAGGGCGCACCCTTACAGATAGATATAGCTCAGAGTACAGCTGCTGCTCCCCCACATCGAGAGAAATCAGTTGAGGTGGCTCGGGCATCTGTTTCGGATGCCTCCAGAACGCTTACCTAGGGAGGTGTTCCAGGCATGACCCAGGACACGCTGGAGGGACAATGGCTGTTTCTCAATATGCGTTCTTCAGCGGTCTTGCATCCTCGTGTTCTCGTGCAACGTCATCATCAGCTGCCTAAGTTCAATTCCAATACTCAAGACTGCAAGTACGGAGGATGCGTAAAACTTCCCGGATGTGATCTTGATATCAAGGACGCACTGATGCAGACTTGTAGCACCGAACTCGCTCTGGAAGTCCCAGAAGTCATTGCGACTGGAGGTGGGAAGCGCAGCTTTTTATTTAGATTTATTATTAAAGTGTTGAGATATCACTTATTTACCTCAGGAGTTTCCCTAAATGAAATGGTGAAAGTAAACATTAACATGAATATCTTAACAAAGGAATAAACACATTAAGGGTTGTTTGTTTGTTGAAATTCGTATTAAAATTTTTTTAATTTATATTGTGCAGAGTATATTTAAAATGTTTTTATGCAAAGTATATATATTAAAGAGGTGAGTGCTGTAATGTTTAAATATTTTCTATTTAAAACATGTGAAGGTCACATGACCATCAGGAAGAACGCAGCATCCCATTTCTCAAAGGACGCATTCTCTGCCCTCGTGGTCTTCCGAGGACACCTGGCTAGACCGGTCTCCACAAGAATGCAAGTCCGTTCTCTGCGTTCTTGGAATTGAGAAACAGCCTATGTCTTTGGTGGGAAAGTCTGTAGTTCTCTCCCAAGACAGCAGCCCCCGTGACCCGGTCCTGGAAAAGCAGATGAAAATGAATGAATGAATAAATGAATGAATGTATTACTAATTGTTTTTTCACAATAGTTTGTTTAAAATTTTTTACTTCCTTGTTTTTTTTTTTTTGTGTTTTACAGTTTTAGAATATGAGATGGAGCATGGCTTTCTCAGGACTCAAAGGGATGCATCGGCTGTGCTGTTTTTCCGCGAACTGCCTCGACTTAGTAAAAGAGACTGCAAGAAAAACTTTGCAAAGTTTCTGCTGGACGTCACAGCCGACGGCTTGCTGGACACACAAGCCCGGGAGCTCTTGACTGACCTGAAGCAACGCATCTGCAACACCGGTCGCCTCCAACCACTCTGTATGGAGCTCAGCAAAGGAGCCATGGACCCAAGCCGCAAAGAACACAAGGAATACCTGGGTAAGCTGTGTGAACAGGTAACATCTCAATTGAAGGAACTGATCAGCAGAAATGCTCTGCAAACCTCAGGAACTTCAGTAGATCCAGTATGGTCCTGGCTAAAACAGGAGATCTTTCATCATGCCAAGTTGAGTGAGGAGAAGTGTGCTGTGTTTAAAGGGAGAGACGACATTCTGGGAAAGATCTCCATCACCCTGTGGGAATCCAATGATGTTTCTCATGGACCTCTTCTAGTCCATGGACCTCCAGGAGTTGGTAAAACAGCTCTGCTTTGCAAACTGGCCAAGGAAATGCGAGCAGTTGTTGACAATCGGGGAGTTGTTCTGCTGAGGTTGCTGGGAACATCTCTGCTCAGTTCAGATGTCGATTCTGTTCTTCGAGGTGTTTGTCTTCAAGTGTGTGGAGCTCTAGGGTTGCAGTCCCCATACTCGCATATAGCGTACACGCATGAAGGGCTAGTTCGATTTTTCCATTCCATGCTGGAAGACGTGTCAAAACAAGGAGACACTCTTCTACTCATTCTAGACTCATTGGAGCAGCTTTTAGAGACAAACAAACTTCATAAACTAGACTGGATACCTAAAATAATTCCACCCAATGTGCAAATCGTATTCTCAACTTCTAATGAGTGCTTGGACAAATGTAAATCTTTGGTTTCAGCGGAAGAAAACATCTTTAAATTGGAACTTCTCACGAAAGATCAAGGGAGAGACGTCATTGATGCATATATGAGTGCAGCTGAACGCAAGCTGACGGCAGAACAGCAAGACGCAATCTTACGCTACTTTGAGCAAAGTGGAAACCCTTTGCATCTGAAACTCATGCTAGACACTGCCAAACTGTGGTCCTCCTACACCCCCATGTCTAGTGTTCACCTGGACAAGTCGGCGGAGGAAGTGATGACACAGTTTGTCGAGTCACTTGAGGTGAATCATGGGAAGAAGCTAGTCAGTCATGCTCTGAGCTTCATCCTGTTATCAAGGTCAGTCATGTTATTTTAATCATTCACTTTCTGGGCCAAGGGCAACATGGTCGCTTAGTGGATTGCACTGTCGCCTCACAGCAAGAAGATAGCGATTGGTAGATTAGTTGGCACCTCCGGGTGCTCCAATTTCCCCCACAGTCCAAAGACATGCACTATTAGTGAATTGAATAAACTAAATTGGCTATAGTGAATGAGTGTGTATGGAGGTTGCCCAGTTCTGGGTTTCATCTGGAAGGGCATTCAATGTGTAAAACATATGCTGGATAAGTTGGCAGAATTCCACTGTGGCAACCCCTGATGAATAAAATGAATGAATGTCTGGGCCAGTAGCCTAGTGGTTAGTGTGCTGACATATAGAGCCAATGCACTTCATGCATCCCAAGTTTGAATCCCAGGGTGTGGACCTTTCCCAATCCTGTCCACTTCTCTCTCTCACTTCACTTGCTACTAGCTACTGTCCTGTTAATAATGGCAAAAAATGAATCTTTAAATGTAATCGTTTACTTTTCACATTTGAAACAGATATGGACTTTCAGAGGCAGAGTTACAGGATGTCCTATCATTAGATAATGATGTTCTAGCTGAGATCTATAAATGCTGGCTTCCTCCGAGCCATACGCTCATGCGCTTCCCACGTTTTCATTGGTCAAGACTCAGGCATGACCTGAGTGCTCATCTGACGGAGAGATGGGAAGCCGGCGTTCTTCTGCTGGGTTTCACTCACAGGTAAAGTTTGCCTCAACCTTTCTGTTTGCCAGAAGAAACATTTTCTTGACCATGAATGCTGAAAATTAAGACAGAAACATTCTTAAAACATACCTCTATATACATTTCTGTAGAGCGCCAAATACCAAGGAGCTAGATCTAAGGAGCTACATTTTTTTGCAGATTTCCACCAGAAGCCGCTGTGTATGCTTTTTGAGATCTCAAATTTCTCTCACTAGTGCTATTCGCGCCTGCTGTTACAATGTAAATCCCACAGAGGCCGCTGTTGACTGACTGTTTGAATGACTGAATATCTGACTGATCGAATTACCCACCCTCCACCTCCTCTAAACTCAGCCAATAGTGTTTTCAAAAGCACAGATTGACCCGCCCACCCACTTCCCTAAACCCAACCGTCAGTTTTAAAAAGCAATCCAGAAAAAGAAAAGCCCTTGCCTGATTTTTACCACGTTTTCAGATTTTACCACATTCTCAACCTCTTATTTACTTGATTATTTTATTTTTTGGCTTTTGTTTTTGTCTTACCTGCTTTCTGGAACCATTCTTCACTAGACTTGAACCCTGTTGTCGTGGTCTACTCCTCTCCGTGCCTCAAGTCCACCGACGTACATAGCAAGCTAACTAGACAAACTGGTAACAGCGGGAAAGCCGTCCATACGGAGGTAAGTGGTCAGCTGGTAAGTTTGAAAAGGAGCAGCGTCATACCACCCTGTAGCGTTTGCTTTAACAATTAAATGCAGCCAAACGTACTTCTGACTACATAATTCGCCATCTCCAGAAATGTATATAAGGCTACGTTTTTAAAATAAGCCTCCATATGGATGGGTTTCCCCGCTGTTACCAGTTTGTCCATTAGCTCGCCATGTACAGGTAAGAAAACAGGTAAGACAAAAACAAAATGTAAAAAAAACATAAACAAGTAAATAAAAGGGTGAGAATGTGGTACAATCTGAAAACGTGGTAAAAATCAGGCGAGGGCTTTTCTTTTCTGGATTGCTTTTGAAAACTTGGTTGGGTTTAGGGAAGTGGGTGAGCGGGCCAAGTGGTGCTTTTGAAAACACTATTGGTTGGGTTAAGGGAAGGAGGAGGGTGGGTCAATTGATCTGTCAGTCAGTCAGTCAGCCATTCAGTCAGTCAACAGCAGCCTCTGGTGGATTTACACGAGAACGGCAGGCACGAATGGCATTTGCCAGAGGAATATGAGATCTGAAAAAGTGCACACAACGGCCTTTGATGGATTCGCGAAAACAAAAACTGCAATAAAACATAGCTCCTGGGACGTATTTGGCTCTCTCCAGAAATGTATATAGCGGTACGTTTTCAGAATGAGCCTGGGTTGGTCTTTTGGTGTGACTGTCTCAAGCATGGTTCAATAAATTACTATAACTATAAATAAAAAAAATATATATAAAATCATTAAATACCTCAGGCCTAATTTTACAAGTGGCTATTTTAGTAAATGGCAACCATTTTCATACATATATTTCAAAAAACAGAGGAATTTGATACATTTTATCACTGAAAACCTTGTCCTCTGGAGTGACACTTTAAATCTGCAATTCCACAGAAAACCTTTATCAGTTGAAGGGCCTCATTTAAGATCATGTGACTGAAGCCCACCTGTTACATTTAGTCTCATTTTTTTCATTAAATGCTAACATTTTTGACATATTTAGCTTTTTGTACAGCTAAAAAATTGTTAAGTTTTGTTGTTTGACAAATCATGGAGAAAAAAGTAATATTCATAATTTTACAAACAAAATAAATAGCACTGAATGAAGATACATGTCCTAAGTGCTAATTCATGTTGGAATCATGCTAATTCATGTTGCAAACATGCTAACAACATGCTAAAATCATATTGGAATCACACTGACAACATGCTATGTTAGAGACATGCTAACATGCTAATTCATTTTACTGCCGATTTGTAACTACCCGTCTGTAGCTTGGATATGACAATGAAATGACAACTTCACCATCTCATCATGGTTCCTATCTCGCCTTTACTTCTCCTAGGCAGTTTGCAGAACTGGTAAGGAGGAGATATTTGTCACGTGATGTGAAAGCTGACATGCACACGATCCTCGCCGAGTATTTCTCCGGACAGTGGAGTAAGGGGCAGCTCAGACCCATCCTTCTCCCCTCACTGAGCGCATTTCTCAATGCTGACAGAAAGGTTTACTCGGTCACTAAATTAGCATTATGTCCAATATGTTTACTTGCAAAGTAACTTACATGTTTACTTTTTTGTTGAATAAAATCAAGGTATCACCCCAGCCCTTGTGGTTTTCTGAAGAACTTGCCAATTTGCGTAAGATTCATGAACTTCCTTATCACCTTGCTCACGCAGGAAAATGGGACGAGCTACGACAATCAGTGCTTGGTGAGTTTTGGAAAGTTAAAGTTACATTTGTCAGGGTGGAGGAGGAAAACAAATCCCATTTAACATACTTAAAGTGTCATAAACCCTGTTTTCAGTGTTTTTTCACACCCCAGATTTGAAAAAGGCTAGTAAAAGGGATATTTTTAGAGGGAAGGGTTACATAAAATGGGAGTTTCATTACACACATGATTACAGCTAATTTGCACACCGCCAATGCAAGCACACATTCCAGTAAATGAAGAGCTGTACGCTTATTTTACGCGGCCGCCATTTTAAAGAACCAAAGCGAGGCTGCGGTGGGAAGAAACCCGAAAGTGTAGGACCAACACTGTAAACATTGCAGCAACATGCTGTGGACTACAAACCTCCAGCTGTTGCAGAGATTTTAAAATGCAGAAATGGTGTAACCATCACTTTAATATCAATCAGTTCAGCTTAATTTAAACAGTTAAGAGCAAATTAGGCATCAAACAACATCACAATCTCTGTAGTACCCTGCTAAAAAATCCAGCTTAAACCAGCCTAGGCTGTTTGGCTGGTTTTAGCTGGTCGACCAGGCTGGTTTTAGAGGGGTTTTGGCCATTTCCAGGCTGGTTTCCAGCCATTTCCAGCCTGGTCTTAACTGGTCTGGCTGGAAAATGACCAGCTAAATCCAGCTAAAACCAGCTTGACCAGCCTGGTTTAAGCTGGACATAGCTGGTTTTGACTGGGCTCCCAGCCTGGCTAGGCTGGTTTTAGCTGGTCATCTCCCAGGCTAACCAGCTAAGACCAGGCTGGAAATGGCTGGAAACCAGCCTGGAAGTGGCCAAAACCCCTCTAAAACCAGCCTGGTTGACCAGCTAAAACCAGCCAACCAGCCTAGGCTGGTTTAAGCTGGATTTTTAAGCAGGGTAGTAATATGCTCAAGTGTACTCCAAGGCTTCAGTTCATGGCACCAGTTAAACACTGTGGTGATGCTTTCCTGCTTCAGCCTATGTAACCCGGGGAGTGAAAAACACTGCATTCCTTTGTAGCACATCCTCGTGTTGTCTGTAATAGTGTTGTCCCGGTACTAAGCTTTAAAGGGCACCTATGGTGAAAAATCAACTTTTCAAGCCATTTGGACAGAAATATGTGTATATATAGTGTATAGACCATCATACTGGGGTGATACAAACACACCCAGTCCTTTTTTTCAATTTAACTACATAAAAACAGTGGACCAATTAGAGCGGTTTTCAGACCGACCGCAACTTTACGTAGGAGTGTGATCCCCCCGCCCACCGAATTGATTGACAGCTGCACGCATTAACATGTTCCAGTAGTCACATGTATGAAGATGTCGGGTCATCAAGCAGGTCGCTCGCCTCGTCTGTGTTTGTGCTCAGTAAACAGCAGTGGGTGAACTGATGACCTTCTCGGCCAATCACAAGCATTTCTATGGAGCACGTAAACACAATGGCAAATCAGCGCTGTTTTAGGAAAGCCATCAATGGTTTTTCTTTTAATTCAGTATCGTGACAATGTCTTACATAGTGAAAGAATCAGTTCATTAACTCGAGTTTGATAAATGGCATCTAAAACGTATGTTTGGGAAAGAAAACGTTAGCTAACTATTGCCATTTCCCTTAAATTAGCTGAAATTGAGCTCTGATATTCAGATCGGACCTTTGGGTCACTCGGAAGGTGGTGGAATAATACATTTGTGTCACTTTGTCTTGGCTGATTAGATATACAGCCAAGTACACAATGTTCCGATGCAACTCCCAACGATACTTCAGGGTTTCTTCCTACTGCAGCCTCGACTTCGCTTTAAAAATGGCGGCCACATGAAATCAGTCTATGCAGAGAGCAGGAGATACAGACATTCTGAGAGCAGTTTTCCTTATCAGAATCCTCCGAATCCCACCATGGTCATAAGGATGACAGTGTAGGTCCACTGCTGTAAATAATAAACACAATAACAAAACCAAATAACTGTCAAGAAGTAGTGCACGCTTTTATTTCTGTAATGCACTGAATTCAATGAAGTTCAAGCCGAGACAACAGAACGCACATCTTGTAGGTACTGTTTGAGTTGTTGACTCCTATAAATCATAGAAATACCATAATATGTTTGTAGAAATTGAAGAAAAATGCTAAGTGAACATGTTTATCTTAAAAACAATGCTAAAGTTAGATATTTTCTTTTGAAAATGTGCATTCCCTGTCGTTATGTCTGTCTTTGTTTTTGGTCTTTATAATCTGCCCACTGCCAGTTTACCCAGTTGTATTTCATCACCCGAGCTGCCTTGGTGGAAAACACAGCATACTTCTTTTCAGTCAGGAATGCTAAATCAATGTATGTGACACGGCCGAAAACCATATTTGTTGTGACTTAGTCACAATTCGAATATGCTTAATTTATTTTCAAGATTTGAGTTAAACTATCTGCTGCTGCTTCCAGTATGGCAATAAGTGTCACTTAAAATGGTATTCAAACTTACATTGGTAGCATTAACATTGAATAAAGCACATAATCAGTACCTGAGGTGATCATTGTCATAGTAGATTTATGCTGTTGTTCCACCGTGAGCAATAGATAGTTTCCAGAGTTCAACAGATTTTTTTCTACTGGTTCAGATTTTTACTTTCCCTGAAAAAAAAAATTTGACTGGCCCCACCAAAAATAAAACCCTGTTCAAAAATTTCTTAGCCTCATATTTTAAATTGTGTCAGAAATAATGTCTGTAAAAGGACACCTTTCACCCTGCTCACAGACCGTTTTCTCTCCTGCCCTTCGGCAGGCGCTTCAGGCTCCCCCGGACAAAAACCAGCAGACTGAGGAACAGCTTTTTCCCCAGAGCTGTCTCCCTCCTGAACTCTGCCCCACACTGACTCTTTTGCCCCCCCAATACACCCCCCACTCTCCTCTAACTTAAACTCCTCGCAATAACTGCACTGTTTAACATTTGCACATTTAAAATTTGCACATTCACTGCACCACATTGAACTGTTTACTTATTGAACTGTACGTACCCACTGCATATGGGCATTTGTAATTATGTACACACCCACTATACATATACACTTGTAATCATGCTTATAAATCTGCATACTACTGACTATTAATAGCAACCTGTACATATATTCATATATTGTAACATATACACTTGTAATCATGTTCATCTATCCCTGTACATATATTCATATATTGTAACATATACGCTTGTTATCATGTTTATCTATCTGAACACTACTGTTTATTAATAGCAACCTGCACATATATTCATATATTGTAAATCTATTCATAGCTTATCCAACCTGTATATAATGTTCATAGTACATCCATCTGTAAATATCACCATAGTTTTCTATAACTGCACTTTTATAACTTATTCCTGTATCCTGCACTTGCTGCTATTGCACTGCTGGTTAGACCTAAACTGCATTTCGTTGCATTGTACTTGTACATGTGTAAAGACAATAAAGTTGAATCTAATCTAAATCTATAATTTAAATATTTAAAAAATGTTAAGAAATAAGTATGATGAGCTAAATTCAAAGTGTCATGCAAACAAAATGAGCAGTATGAAAATGTGTAGATATTATATTGCAGTTCTAAATTATTTAAGAAAAGGTGGTAGACTGTGCAAAACATCACTTCATTTTTTGGTCATGTTGTACCCACATAAATGTCTGCTTCCAAGACGTTAGAAACAGATGTTTTCTTTTAGACTCATAATATATAAAAAAAAAACAATGTGCCGACAACATCCAATTAGATAAGAGGAACCAAAAAAGCAATATCGTGTTACATCATGTTACATCACAGAGAAGGTAGCATATAAAGGTTTAAAAACAAACGGTTTCTTGATTTTAAGACATTATTTTAATATATTTTATATATTTATTATTTTTATAATTTTAATATTTGCATGCAATTGATAAACATTCGTAGGTAAATTTAACTTTAGGGACAAGGCAACACTGGCCCAATCGGGCCAGTAACAATCTTGTCTACTGTTTCAAGCATATCTCATGCTGGCTCCGGGCCCTGGTTTCTAAGGGTGCTTTCACACCTACACTTTTGTTTCGGAACGTGTCTCGTTTGCCCAGTTAGCGCGGTTCGTTTGGCATATGTGAACAGGGCAATCGCGCTCTGTTCCGCGCCAAAGTAATCGCTCCGAGATCGCTTGAGTGAGGTGGTCTCGGCTCGATTGAAACGAACCCTGGAGCGGTTCGATTGCAGTGAGAAAGCGATCCGATCCGAGCGCTGTTATATCACAGTGTTTTATGGATATGTAATAGGCTTACGGCGATATGAAGAGAGAATTAAAAGTAGGGCGAGAAGTTTCGCGAGTCTCCGGATGCCCGCAAACGAGTGATGATCTCCCGGTAATCTCGCGTCTCCCTCCCGGTCATCAAATAGGCATCGTCGCGCACCCTTCTCACCCCTCCCCACCGCATCTCTCCTTAGAAACATCGCGCGCGCGCACCTTGTCAATCACCATCAAACCCCCACCTCTCCTGACAGCTTAGCGGGACGCTGCAAAAAAAACCCCCTGACACTCTGACCAATGTGAGGAGAGTTTACTCGCACGTGACTTGTTTTAGCTCTTTTGGTCCGATTAGAAACTTTGCAATGTGAAAGCGAACCGCTCCAAGAGCAAAGAGCAACAATGTAACAATTGTAATCTCTGTTTCGGAACAACTGAATCAATTCACAGGTGTGAAAGCACCCTAAAATAGCAATTTCTGGTGATGGGTCTTACAAAAACTCCTCTTAACATGGAAAATATTCCTTTTGTCGTGTGTAGTTGGGACATGGTGTAGGTTCAATAGTCAGGCATGCTCGCTCGTGTTGGTGTTGTCAATCTGGGGCCGGGTGAAAAAGTGTTTTGATTTTGGATTGCAATACCTAGTTCCACCACTGGGTGTCAATCTTACAAACTGCACCTTTAAATGTATTCTTGCAAATAAACAAAAGTAAACCCTTTAAAGTAATGAATGTCTAAAGCCCGACTCATTCTGTGCGACTAAAATCCGAGGAGGATGAGGGCGAGGGTGAGGACGTGGGGGGAGAGGGTTTGGTCATTCAGTCAACTGTGGCCTCTGGTAGATTTAAGTGAGAACAGCAGGCACGAATGGGACTCGCAAGAGAAATTTGAGATCTCAAAAAGCGTATACAGCGGCCTCTAGTGGACTCGCAAAAACTTAAACTGCAAAGAAACGTATCTCCTGGGATATATTTGGCGCTCTCCAGGAATGTATATAAGGCTACATTTTCAGAGGGAGCCTGGGTTGAACACATTCAACCCATGTCTGTATGTATCTCCCACATAACAATATGGCAACCCTTGGTAATCTCATCTCCACTTACTATAATAACACGCTGACAACTGTCTGTATTCTGTTTAGTGCTTAATGAGTTTACAAGGAAATATATGAAACAAACGTGCATGTGTTCTCACAGGGAGTCTGGACTGGTTGTGCTGTAAGACTCTGCAGTGTGGCGTGAGCTGTGTTATTCAGGACCTGACCCTTTGCACTGACCTCACTGACTGCCCTGAGATACAGTTGCTGAAGGAGACGTTTTTGCTTCTTAAACCCTCGCTGGATTTTAGCGACGGCCGCGTGGGTAAGCATTGACCACCGGGGCTACTATTAGCTTCATAATATGTGTGTAAATTTACTGACTTTACACTTCATCTTAAAATGTCTTCAGATGTTGATTGGTTGTTTCTGTGTGATCTACTGCGAAATGCATTTCAGAAAAAAAGCTAGTTTAACAAATGCTATTCATCCACTCATTCATTCATTTATTTTCTTTTTGGCTTTAGTCCCTTTATTAATCTGGGGTCACCACAGCGGAATGAACCACCAACTTATCCTGCATATGTTTTTAACGCAGTGGATGCCCTTCCAGCTGCAATTCAAATGCTATTATTACTGTAATTTAAATACTTTTTTATTGTTAGTTAAATATAAAAATATAAATCATAAACAATTTATTTGTCAGGTTATTTATATAGTATTTTTAAACATTTCTCCCTTTCTCTTTTCAAATTCTTCCTAAATACTTTAAGGATTTACATATTACCTTTTTACAGGTATTTTCTCTCTATTTTTGACAGAAAAACAAATCTTCCACTTCAAACATTATTGCCATTTAACATAAAAACATGTCAAATCTGCCACAACGTTACAGGTTTGTTTCCCCTTGACTAATTCTTCCTCTGTTTTCTGATAGATCCCTCGCTGTTAGTGACAGAGATCTTTGCCAGGCTACAGGGTCTTGCTGATCATTACCCCTCCATGATTGGTCAACTGTGTTCTCAATGTATGGACTGGTTTGAATCCTATTCTGACCCATTACTTGTGCCCAAATGCAGCTTCTTTGAAGCCCCTGGTGGCCCACTAAAGAGCACCCTCAGAGGATTCACTAAAGGTGACCCCCTAAAAAGAGTTCAATCTTGGTTTTGAACATTTTATATTTGTGTTTATTTATAATATATTCATTATTATTGATATTATTTTGATTTTGTTAAAAGAAACTGTTTAAACATGTTTTGGTAAATTAGCTCAGTGTCATGAAATAATAATATAATAATAATAATATATAATTATTATTATTATCATTGAATATTATATATATATATATATATATATATATATATATATATATATATATATATATATATATATATATATATATATATATATATATATATATATATATTGCTATTTGTTGGGGTGAGGACTGTTGTTTTGTGTAATTATAATAAAATAATAATATTTTAATAATTAATAACATTATATACAGTTAAAGTCAGAATTATTAGCCCCCTTTGAATTTTTTTAAATATATTTCCCAAATGATGTATGTAGATTATATATTCCCTAAGTAATGTTTAACAGAGCAAGGAAATTTTCACAATATATTTTCTTCTGGAAAAAGTGTTGTTTGTTTTATTTCGGCTAGATTAAAAGCAGTTTTTTAGTTTTTTAAACACCATCTTAAGGTAATTTGTGAAAAGAAATTTCATAGCAATACGTTTTGTTTTTTTTGTGCTGTTTGTAGGGGTGAGGACTGTTGTTTTGTGTAATTATAATAAAAATAATATTATAATAATTAATAACATTATATACAGCTAAAGTCAGAATTATTAGCCCCCTTTGGATTTTTTAAAATATATTTCCCAAATGATGTATGTAGATTATATATTCCCTAAGTAATGTTTAACAGAACAAGGAAATTTTCACAGTATGTCTGATAATATTTTTTCCTCTGGAGAAAGTTTCATTTGTTTTATTTCGGCTAGAATTAAAGCAGTTTATAATTTTTTAAACACCATTTTAAGGACAGTATTATTAGCCTCTTTAAGCTATATTTTTTTCGATAGTCTAGAGAACAAACCATCATTATACAATAACTTGCCTAATTACCCCAACCTGCCTAGTTAACCAAGTTAAGCCTTTTTAATGTCACTTTAAGCTGTATAGAAGTGTCTTGAAAAAGATCTAGTCAAATATTATTTACTGTCATCATGGCAAAGATGAAATAATTCAGTTATTAGAAATGAGTTAATAAAACATATTATGTTCAGAAATGTGTTGAAAAAAATCTTCTCTCCAGAAAAAAATAATAATTCCAATAATTCAGGGGGGCTAATAATTCTGGCTTCAGCTGTATGTATTAATTATTTTATTGTTATTACTTTAAAAAAAAAGCTCTTCAAACATGCTTTTGCTAATCTGCTTAGTGTCATTTCATAGCAATATGTATTTTTTTCTTGCTGTTTGTAGGGGTGAAGGCTGTTGTTCTGTGCTCAAAGAGGAAGCTGCTGTTAGCAGGTTCAGAGGATGGACTGATCATAGTCTGGAGTCTAAACAATCTGCAGCCTCTTCACACTCTTTCTGGACATAAAGGTACTGTAGAAACTAAGGGTGACACAGCCCTTTTTTGGATCTAAATTCTAAACAAAATCTATGGGAAACTTTTTTTTTTTTCAAATAAACCAATATTTTAAATTCAATTATCGATTAAATTAAGTATTCTATATACAATGCAAAGCAGTTGATTCCAGTCACTATTAACGCATGTCACAATATTGGGACTTTTCCCTTCTCTAAAAATGCTCTAGGATGCTCACTATTCATGTGAACATCTATCTTTTTGCTTGATCTGTAATTACTTGTTCTGTTTGTAGCCGGGGTGCTGTCCCTGAAGCTGACGGACAAAACCAATAACTGTTTGTCTACTGGGCTCGATGGGACTCTGAGAAAATGGTGTCTGATAAGTGGACTGCAGCTTTTCTGCATCACTGATGCCGTTTCTGTCCAAACACACAGCCCTACACACATCCATATGAATGAAGAAAGGAAGATCATCATAACCAACCCAAGCAGCCAAGTGAGACAAATAAATTCAATACTTTTTCCTCCTTAAAGCAGGGGTGGCCTAACTATTTTTCTATAAAGGGCCAAAAACCAAACTTGATTGAGGGCTGCGGGCCGAATACATACCAAACCGTATTACAATATATTTGCCTAGGGGAATTTCTCAATTTATTTGGTAACATTAAAAAAAAACAAGAAAAAGTTTAAATCATATCATCTAACACAGTATCATTTTTAACATTTTATGATAATCTTATTACAGTAAAAACATAAACATTCCATTCATAACACATTAGAGATCAAAGCTGAATACACTAGTTGAGCTGCTCCTCCCTTTCCTTTGTTTTGCTCACAGATACACTGTACAACAAACTATCATTTACATAATGTTAATTCGTGTGTGTGGGTGTGTGTGTGTGTCACGTACTGTACCTTGGTGTTAAGCGGGACTGAGCCAGGGCAATCACAGTGATGATGTCGGCTTGTCTCCTCCAAAAACAGCTTCTGCAGACGTCGCGTGATGTTCTGAACGCTTATAATACATTTTTTTTTCTGCAGACAGACGCGAGTCGCTTTCTGTATGTCTAATACCAAAAGGTTTAGTAAAATCAGAATGACCGCGATATGCGTACATCATTTCATTTCGGGAGGAGGAGAAGGCATGGAGGTAGTGGTTTTTATATTAATATAGAAAATAATCATTTTTGAAATATATTTTGAAATTACTAAATATATTTTTAAAATAGCAAAATGCCAACAACGCACCTAAACTCACCTCTTTTTTAGACCAGAACACTCACGAGTCCAAAGTGACACAAATGGATTTGCTATTTAAACAACGTGGTGCAAAACATGAACATTACTGTTGAACTAGTCTAAAAATAGCAATAAATTGTGCCTTATTGCACCGGGTGTATGATAGGGCCCAATATGACAGTTGGTATAAACATGCAGAAAATCTCATTCACATTCATGACATGTCAAGTCACGATTATAAATGTTTAATATCACCTATTTAGGAAAAATGTTATCGATTTGGTAGCATACACAGCAAAAATAAATAAATAAAACTAATACTAGCCCACAACATTCTAGGTTTTACAGTACTTTTGATCAAATAAATACAGGCAGACTTTTCACTATGATAACATCCCGAATGTTGTCAATTTATATGTTCGGATTTCCTTCTCCATCCTTTCATGTGTAGGTTAAAGCTTGGGATTTGGACACTGCAGAGCCTCTGTTTGAGCTGACCGCAGTGATTGGTTCTGTTCTTGGCATTGTGGAAGATGAAATAGCGTGCATATGCAGTGAGGCGATACTCTGCTTTTATGACATATCCACCGGCACTCAGACTTCCCAGACCCTCCTGCCCTACTCTGCCGGACACCATAACATCACCTGCTGTCTCACACTCACCAAACACTCCAAGATACTCATTGCTTTTGGGGAAAGCCGTCTACATTCGGTTTGTACGCTACCTTTTTTCAGAAAAGTCCAGGCAAAATGTATTATTTCAGTGTTATTCAAAGGATTTGTGTTTGTGTGTGTGCAGGTGTGGAGCCATGAAATGGAGTCTGTGATTGATCTTCCATCTCCAGCTCTCTTTCTCAGAACATCTGAGGATGAAAAACTGCTGCTTGCAGGTGCATTTTCATCTCATTGTCTGGATATAGTTTTTTCTCATTTCATTGATCATTTCTCTCATTTATTAATTATCCTTTATGCGTGCTCTAATAACACCACAATTTTGATCTCTCATTCTTACAATAATCATCTATTACTGTTTGTTACTGGTTGAGCCAGCATTGATTAGATGGTAGGCGAGGCAGTGGCGCAGTAGGTAGTGCTCAGTTGGCGTTTCTGTGTGGAGTTTGCATGTTCTCCCTGCGTTCGCGTGGGTTTCCTCCGGGTGCTCCGGCTTCCCCCACAGTCCAAAGACATGCGGTACAGGTGAATTGGGTTGGCTAAATTGTCCGTAAATTGTGTGTGTGTGGATGATTCCCAGAGATGGGTTGCGGCTGGAAGGGCATCCACTGCGTAAAAACTTGCTGGATAAGTTGGCGGTTCATTCCGCTGTGGCGACCCCGGATTAATAAAGGGACTAAGCCAACAAGAAAATGATTAGATGGTAGGATTTGATATAAAGGCTGATCATGAAAACTGGGCAAGATGGAGGCTGAAGTTTCCAGCTTTGTTGTTTGGACTTGAAAAAAAAAAAGTAAGAAAACCATTTTTTGCAGTGTGTATTCGCTGTTTTATTTTGGATTAGCATATATTTGAATAATTAATTACAATTCTGCAATTATATTAATTATAATATAATTAATTATAATATAATGAATTCCCAACACTGGAGTAGAGAGGGATATTGCTCTTTACACACAAAGTAGGCCTACCTGAAATTATAAATTAGAAAAGGCTCAATAATACATTGGACAGATCCTCAACGCACTGATTTCTTCTCTTTGTGCTGGTAAGTTTTGGAATAGTCCGCAGATACCGGAGGGCTGCGTGCTGTGTCTTAATGATGCATCAAGAGCTTCATTCACGCACCGGATTAAATTAATGAAAGTGAAACTGACGGGCGCATGAGGATTTTCATTAACAGAAAATTATTTAGCCCAATATAGGCGACTCTGAAACTGTATATATTTTACTGTAATTATATATATATATATATATATATTAATATATTATTAAACAGACAAGGTTGTGTCTCGAGCGCATGACAGTGTGTGTGCGTCTTCAGCGGTAGTAAGGAAGGAGGGCTGCTCAGTAATGCTCAGTGCTCAGTGGATCTTTGTCGTTATAAAATGACATTTAAAAACTACGACCTATTGTTGTAAACAGGGCCTGAGTGTGTAATTTTTGCGAGCGGATTTGCAACGGGGGTGGGGCGAAGGATCGCGATGCCTGCATTCGTCTATCGGCCCAACTCTAATACGTACATAGCAGAGCTTGCAAACTGTGTTTTTTGGGGGGGGTTTTTGTCGACAACACGAACGTTATCAACATAACTCATTGGAAATCCAAAATACTTCCACACCGGCGACTTCATTGAAAGAGGAGAGGGTTTAAGTTCTGTCGATGGGTCTTCTGCATCTGCAGTTCAACAAGCACTTTAACAAGCGTGGTTTTTTCTGCTTGGCAAGTTAAGCTGACATGACATGGGAGCGTGACAGCATCGACGATTCCATTTTTTTGATTCGATAATCGAAATTGAGCATGAACTTTGATCGATTTCGATTTTAAATCGAAATCGTGACACCCTTACTGTCTATGGTATGATAAGAGAGCTCTCAGATATCATCTAAAATATCCCTATTTGTGTTCTGAGTATGACCGGTAAGGTTTAGATAAGGTTTTAGGGGATTCGAACAATGTCGCAGAATTTTTTCATCTTGAGTGAACTAACCCTTTAAATAAAACATTGCCTTTAATTTGTACACTTCACTGATGTACCTGTATTTTTTTTTACATTGAAGGATGTGACAGAACATTGTGCGTGTTCCTCGTGACATTGACTTCAATGCACAAGGTTCTGGATCTTCAACATGATGCATCTATCCTGTGCGCCGTGTCAAACAGCGAAGGTAGCGAAATCATCACGAGTGCCCAGGATCGTATAATACGGGTCAGTTTAATCCCCTTCTTCCCAGAAAGGTACAGTGTCCTCTCATTTTATGGAATGGAACTTGACCTTGTTGTACTGTTGAAGGTATGGAGCGTAACCACAGGAGCCCTGCTGGACTGGATCGGTGTGATGGATTCCTCTGTGTCCTCATTGGCTGTACATCAGCGCTTTATTATTTCCGCCTCTGTTATTGTCAACCAGCTTAAAGTATGGCAGCTTGACCACAACACCACGCACAGGAACAAGAGTTTCATCCCCGCATACTGCCCCTTGGCAGTCCTGTCGAAAGATGGTGATACTGTATTCTATGTCAAGGAGGGAAATAAAACCGAGGTTTTCACCTGGAGCTGTTCGGAAGGTGAAACATGTAATAAAAGGATATTATTTTCCTTTTTAGTATTCATCAGGGTTCCCACAGGTTATGGAATGACATGATATTTTAAAAGTTCTATTCCAGACATTGAAAGTAGGGGAATTTTATATTTGTTTGTCCAATTCATGGAGCTTTTGTTTGTTGTTTTCAATTTTAGTTTGCATTTATCAAATATTTTGTATCGCTGTTCTTATGGTTAGACTATTCATTTGATGTCTATCAACTGGTAGTCATTCATTCATTTCGGCTTAGTCCATTTATTAATCAAGGGTCGCCTCAGTGGAATGAACCGCCAACTTATCCAGCATGTTTTTTTGCAGTGGATGCCCATCCAGCCGCAACCCAACAATCTGAAACACCCATACACTTTGGTGGGGACGGGTGAATAAAATAAATTGGCCAATGTCAAGAGCAAACTTACACCCTTGCTTCAAATGGTGTTTAAAAAGCAGACGACAGAAAAACTAAATGTAAAGTTTTTTAAAACTTTAAAGTTTATAAAAGTCTTCCCATTGATCCAGTGAGCCAGCCTGATCACCAACCGGTGACCTACTCACACCTGCGCTTCTCTACGATGGACGTCCAGTCTTCTCCAGCCTGCGGCACCTAGACTTCAACTTTGCATAAGAAGTTTGGCCAAAAGAGAAATGGTCGTGCCCAACTAAGCCTGGTTTCTCTCAAGGGTTTTTTCCTTTACTTTTGTCAATTGGTGAAATGTCTTCCTTGCCGCTGGCTTGCTTTCTTTGGGACTTTGGGAGCTGCGCATTTATGGACTTGCTCTTCAGTGTTTGGACTTTCAGCAGTGAAAATTAAACCACACTGAACTGAACTATGAAAACAAGACTGACACAGTTTCAATTTACTAGAACTTCTGTTAAGCTGCTTGGACACAATATACAAACTATTAAGTTAACTTAATTGATTTGTGTGGAACCCAACATTTTACAGTGTAGTTTTTATACTTTATAATTATAAGGCAACAAGTTTACTCTCTTTTCTAAGTCAACTAATCACATTTTACAGAATGATATCAGGAAAGAACTGTAAAATACCGGAGAATCACGGGAAAAATGGGAGGGTTGACAGGTATGGTCTAAACATCTTGGCTTAATCAAAGCTAAATTTGGGCTGTCAGTGAAAATCTAATAGACGTCTAAGAATAGGCCAAAGCTAGACTAGTCATCTGAAAGACTACACATAAAGTCTGTCTAATCTGTTTATTTGACGACTAGTTTACAGACAGGTTTAGCCTTGTTTTAGCAAAGCTGTCTACGTTTAGATTTCTATTAGATGTCTATTAAACACAAAATTGTTTGCTGGTCTCCGGGTGCTCCGATTTCCCCCACAGTCCAAAGACATACGCTATAGGTGAACTGAATAAACTAAATTAGTCATAGTGTATGTGTGTGAATGAATGTTTCCCAGTCATGGGTTGTAGCTGAAAGGGCATCCACTGTGTAAACTAAGCCGAAGGAAAATGAATGAATGTTTTCATAGTGGCTATTGAAGTCCTGTGAAATGATACTGTTACAAACCCCTGATGTTAGTCTAGGGTTGTGGGGTTTGACATTTATTTAATTAAAATATATTTATATAAACAGTGAATGAGTGGAAAGACAACCAAAGTAATGCCAAAAAATGTGTGCTTTTATTTACAATCCCAAATTGAACACCAACAACGAATAATTCAAAAATAAAGAAAAAGTAAGTAAGGCAAAAATATACTATTTACAATATGTACAACACTGAAACAAATAAAGACGGGAAAAACAAGAGAGCTGGCAGAAGGGACGCAGGCGGCGCTAACGAAATGTAAAGAACAAAACCCAAACTAAATCTAACTTCCCAGAAGCGTCTAGCTAACTAACTATGTGAAAAACAGTATAATTAACACACGAAGATCTTCCGAGTCCTAACTATCTACTCTATCTATCCAAAAAGTACAAGGAGTGGCGCTCGCCCCTAACCTAGTGTACTAGACAGCAGAGTAGTCCCATGTGTTGCGAAATGTATGTCACGTGACCTTCTTACCTGTCCAATTCGTCACTCTAAATCTATTTAAATATTGTGCAAAACACAACAATGGCTTGTATTTCGTTCAAAATAGGTTATGGAAATTCAGCTTTTTAGAGTGGGAACCCTGATTCATATGCAAAATGTCTAAATTATGAAGTCCTCTTGCCTAAATTGTCCACGTGTCTTCCAGGTCTGCAGTTAGACAGCATGGACGTTTCCTCAGAGGTGTGCTGTATGGAATTAGCCCAGCAGAAACGGCTCCTCTTCTGCGGTCTGCACACTGGAACCATCTTTATTTACCCGCTTGACTTTATCCCAGAAACCTTGTGCCTACCGCCTCCGGAAAGCCTACCAATGGTACGCAGCATGGCCATCAGCCCACGAGAGGACAAAATGGCCGTCGCATATGAGGATGCCGTCTGTCTGTTTGAGATTACAGCGAGGGACAGCTTCCCTTGCGTCGATGGACCATTTGAAAGGTACTCGCTTGACCTGTTACATTCCTCAATCTCCGCCATGGCTTTGTTGTCCGACTGCAGGCTGCTGTATGGGACGTTTGGCGGCGAAGTGGTGATCTACGACTTTAAAAGCGCCACAGCAGCAGAGCTGGATCACCACGGTGCAGCCATAACCTGCATCACCATGAGCAACTGGGATGCGCAGGCACTGATTGGCTCTCAGGACTGTGTTCAGAAGCTGTGGAATTTGAGTCCCGTCTTACTGAATCACACCATGGAGTACAAGGTGAGGGTTCACAGTTTGCTTTCATTTCTTAAGCTTTTTAAATGAAAAACAAAGCACTTTTTTTGCTTTAAAGTGTGAACATGCACAAAATACATTCTGCTGCTTGTTCAAACTACTTATTTAAAATGAGTTGGAAACTGTGCAATTCTTCATTTTTTTTTTAAGGAGAACTTAATAGTTTTATGTTCAATCTACTCAACTTAATCGATTAAAGAAAACACAAATTTTTGGTTTGGGACAACACAAACTTAATTTTTTTACAGTGTATGAAATGTTAACAATGTGATACACAAACCTTCATTTGACTGTTGTTGGTATGCAGTGGTCCCTCGCTATAACACGTTCACCTTTCGTGGCCTCCAGTTTTGCAGATTTTTTTCAAGATGTCCTCGCTGCTGCCAGCAGCTTGATGACAAAGGCGATCGTCAACTGCATAGTGGACCTTGTACCAACCACTAAGGTAACCCCAATCGTCACAGTAGCATGGGCTTTAGGGTAGGGGGAGGTGTAGGCTTTCGTCAACTTCGTAGTGGACCTTGTACCGCGCCCACTAAGGTAGCGCTCATGCTTCTGTGATGGTTGGGTTTAGGGTAGGGGAGGTGTAGGCGATCGTCAACTACATAGTGGACCTTGTACCACCCACTAAGGTAGCGCCCATGTTAAGGGTAGCGTGAGGCGTAGGCTATCATCAACTACGTAGTGGACTTTGTACCGCCCACTAAGGTAGCGCTCATGCTACTGTGATGGTTGGGTTTAGGGTAGTGGGAGGTGTAGGCGATCGTCAACTACGTAGTGCACCTTGTACCGCCCACCAAGGTAACGCATATGCTACTGTGATGGTTTGATTGAGGTTGGGGGGAGGCGAGGTTATCGTCAACTACGTAGTGAACCTTGTACCGCTCACTAAAGGCTGATTTATACTTCTGCATCAAACGCCGGCGTATGCTACGGCGCTGACGCATAGCCCTTCGCCGTGGCCGTCGGCGTGGCTGACGTGCACCTCTCAAAAATTGTAACTACACGTCGCAACGACGCGTAGCGCAAGCTCTGTGATTGGTCGGCTTGGTAGCGCTGATGAGTCTGGGCGGGACCGAGAGCAGCGCGAATGGCGCGAGCGATTGTTTACAAGTGTGGAGTCCCGTGAAGGAGCTCCGAATGGAAAGTTTTGTTTTGTGTTTACCTCATAGTTAAAGTGGTTGCACGTCCGCCGGTTCCTGCCTCAAAATGAGCGAGTTTGAGTCACTTGTACAACCAGGAAGTGTTCAGGAAACGCAAAACAGAAGCGAAGAAACTCGACACAGAGGAACATTTACACCTCACTGCCAACTAGCGTTTCGGAAGTGTTAATGCAGACCAAAAGAGACAGCGCGCAGAAGTATAAATGCACAGCTGCGCGCGTTGCCTACGCCGGTCACTTGACGCAGAAGTATAAATCAGGCTTAAGGTAATGCCCATGGTACTGTGATGGTTGAGAAAGGTGTAGCCAATCGCCAACTACGTAGTGGACCTGGTCAACATCGTCATCAAGCTGCGGGCTGCAGCTTGGACTGTCTAAATTTTTTTTGTGCAATTTGACATGCTTTTTTTTGACAGCACATTGTGTGCTGCCCCCTAATTGGCTGTAGACTATTGTCAATCAATCTCCTTCGTGTCCCCTGTACAGTACAGAATGCGTTCAGCTTGCCAAATTAACATAAATCTTCGATCGCTAGCAGTGTGAGTTCCAACAAGGATGTGAAAAGAGTTGTAACTGTCCGCAGCAAGACAAGGGATGGGTACCGAAACTCTGTACTTTATCGGTATCGTTGCTAAATTATAAAAGACCGAAGTATCGATTAGCTCTGACATTAACGGTTCTGCTGTCAGTGCTGGATAGTTGTTGCTGAGTAAACATTAGTTACAGTAGCATGATTTAACTGACCAACCTTTTCTAATTTGCTATATTTGATATTCGTCTGCACAGCTGGCAATCAAAAATGAGAAATGCCAGTGTTTTTGCAGACTGTAAAAGATATGGATGGAGTATCAGTGATGTCATTCATAGGTTTCTGAAGAATGCAAAAGATGCTACAAGTAGGCGTGGCCTACCGTCGCCATTTTGTTTGCGTGTCTTCGCACCGACTGGGGGATACCAAACAAGGTCAAAGAGGCGGAGCTACAGACCGCCTGCAAGCATTTTGCTTAGACAGGCTTTTATTTGGGAGAAACGCTTAATACTTACCTGTGACTCGTTTGTGTTCTGACCACATGTGATTGGTTGTTCACTATATCCAGGGTTCAACGCTAAGGATTTTTTTTCTACTGGCCCGATCAGACCAGTGGTTCAGATTTTTACTTGCCCTGCCAATATTTTCACTGGCCCTCCCAAAAAAAAGTTAATAGTTATTCCTTAGCCACAAATTTAAAAAAGAAATGTGTCAAAATGTTTGTAAATCTAGAATTTAATTATTTAAAAATGTTAATAAATGTGTAAGGAGCAAAATTCAAAGTGTTTTGCAAACAAAAGTAGCAAAACAAAAGATGGCCGACCTGCCAAAAACTGACGGCAAACTGTACAACACATCACTTAATTTTTTTAGTCGTGGCGTACCCTCATAAATGTTTGCTTCCAAGAACTTAAAAACAAATGTTTTCCTTTAGCATCATCACTTGATGTTGCCGCCATGTTGATGTCTCTTCACTGTACTGGTTGTTACAAAAAAAATAACGTGCTCACAACATCCAATAAGAGAAACCGAGAAGGTAGCATTTGAAGACTTAAAAACACAAACGGTTTCTCGATTCTGACTGTTTTTGCACACAATTGACAAATAGTCACAGGCAAATTAAACTGTAGTGACAGGGCATCAGTGGCCCAATCGGGCTAGTAACGATCCTATCAACTGTCCCGAGCATCTCACACGCTGGCCCCGGGCCATTGGGCAGTCCTTATTGTTGAGCCCTGATATCAATAAAATGTTTAGACTTTTCAAAACACTGTTGTTATACATTTAGGCCACTATTGCTCTTATGAAGTTTTTCTACAGGAGAACACAAATTTCTTCTAAACACTTAAATTATAGTCTGTGTTAGTAAATGCAGGGCTGTTTATGAAATCCAGGCATAAGTATGTTATACGAGTATTTAATTTCACTCGCCTGGGAAATGGAGGCCACGTGAATGGTTTGTGAGCACAATCAAGTGCACACATCATGAAATCATCTGATAATTGTAAGAAAAAAATTCCAAAAGGCAACTGACTGTGTAAAGAAACATTAACCAAAACCAAAATACGATGTATATGTCGAGTTTAGCGACTAATCAGCCAGAATCAGCGGAGGTGAAGGGACAGCGAGCAGCGAGACCTAGCTGTCACTCAAGTGGCCACGCCCTTGAGTGACAAGGAAACGGATGAGTTATAAAAAAAAATCCACCCCCCCTCACAGTTGTCATGAAGAGTAAAATTAGCTATATAAACCAAAATCATTCTTTGTACCAGGCTATAAACAACTTTTTTTCTGCTGTAAAGTTGGCCATTTTAACAGTGGGGTCAATAAAAATTTGCTCTATTATTGAGCCAGGACTAGCAGAATTTCGATGAATTGCAGTTTCAGTTACTTTCGTATTTGCTTCATGAGGCACAGCGAGAGGTTGCCTCTTGTGTTTTTGCCCAATAATACAACAGCGAGCACGTCAAGTAAAAAACCTTCACAGTTCTCGACTGTGCACATGCACTCCACTTAAACCAGCCCGTCTGGCACAAACAACCATGCCATGTTCAAAGTCACTTAAATTACCTTTCTTTCCCATTCTGATGCTCAGTTTGAACCGCTGCAGATCATCTTGACCATGTCTACATGCCTAAATGCATCGAGTTGCTGACATGTGATTGGCTGATTAGAAATTTGCGTTTATTAGGTGTACCTAATAAAGTGGCCAGTGAGTGTATATATATATATATATATATATATATATATATATATATATATATATATATATATATATATATATATATATAATGTGTGTGTGTGCGCGCGTGTGTCAACAATCATTTTCATTTGCTTTCTCTTTCATTTTCAAGGGCTTTTATTTTGAAGGAGTTCTATGTGCTGTCTTCTCAATAAATGATAAATACGTGTTCACTGGATCCTTGGACAAAACCGTCAAAGTCTGGGATGTTTCGAGTGGTGAGGACTGTTTAGTTTTGTGCATAAAGCTAAATGTTTAAGACAAAATGGTTTTAAAGGTGGGGTATCATGACATTTCTGCATTCAGAGTTATTTAAAGTGTTAAAGAGTTGGATTGTTCCACAAATCATAGACCAAGTGCTTATAAACTATTTGCACATATGACTTCTTATTCCTTTTGTCAAAAATCGCATTTGCAGGTTGGAGCTCGGTTCATACATTGTTTTATCATGGCTTTAGCTGACATCATAAAGAGTGGAACTCATCGTACGGCCACTTCTCACGGTAGAGTGACTCTTTGGAAGTGACTCCAAAGAAGTGTGTTTTTGGCTGCAAAGGGAAGTTGACTTAGATGCACTACTACTCTTTAGACAGTCAAGATTAATATGAAAATGCGCAAAAAAAAATCATGATACCCCCCGTAAAAAACATATGCCTTCCTTATAATACATTTTCTCTGATTCATCTGCTTGACTTTGTTCATTTCATTACAGGTTGTTTGCTGTATATCCAGTACGTCTACTCTCCGGTCATAAGGATGATGCCACACAAGGATGGATTTGTAGCTGTATCCCAGCATGGCTCATTCATCAAGGAAGGTTTTCGCTGTCCAGACAGCCTCAAGCCTGGATATAACCCCCTCCGGAACTTCCAAGTACATTACAAAGTCACTTCACGAGACAAAAGTCTGAACGTTCCACACAGCGTGATCAATGAGCTGCCAGATTACAACCCTGCTCAGTTCAACTTCATTGGCATCGGTCTGATCAAATCCAAACCATCCAATACGTGCGTTCTCCTCTAAGTACATTCTACATCGCAAACCTCTTATAACTAGGCCCACACTTATTCTGCGTGCAGATTTACTAAAGCTGCGTCCCAAATTGCATACTTATGCACTATTCTACGCCATTTTGTAGTATAAATAGTTTAAGTAGTGTGTTCACATTGGAAACTCTAAAAATAATAAGTGCACTTTAATTACCCGGATGATGCACTCATTCAGCCGCTAAAACGAAGTGTGTTGTGATTGACACTTCACACACTCAACGACCGCAGGTTTGCTCATGTAGCGGAAGGGGCGGAGCTATCAGACTCACATATTGGATAACTTTATTTATTTTGAACTGTGAAAGCAAAACTCTCCTACGAGAGTCATTATAGCACCTCCTGGTGGTGAATGCGGTTATACTCATGGCAGATATTATTTGATAGTTTGGTCATTTATTTCACTGATTTGGCAACCGTCAAACGTTATCGGGGAAATGGTTTGAGTTTCCGCTTAGTATAAGAAACATGAGTTTGCCATTTGGGACAACACTACATACATTTACTATGCTGTTGAGTGTGTAAGTGCATAGTGCATGAGTGTATAGTGTGCCATATGAGACGCAGCTAAAGGCTTTTTCGCCCATCATCGAGTCAATTTACTGTAAAAAAAAAATGCTGAGTTCCATACAATTCTAACACCAATCAACAAATCAAGTTAACTTAATCAGTTTAATAAATTTAAGTAGATTGAACATGAAACAATTACGTTTTCCGCTCAAAAATAAAAGAATTGTCTTGTTTTAACTCATTCTAAATATAAACAGTAGTTTGAATAAGTAGCAAAAGTCATTTTTAAATGTATGTAATTGTGTGTAAATATATATTTATTGATTTTTATGAAGTGATATTACTGAGTAATAAGCAAATGTTATAGGATTTATTTACAATACAGTTTGTAAAGTAATATTTTCTGCCTTTTAATAGATCATACGAGACTTGCTTTGTTAAACAAACAAGTGGATCTAATTAGATTAGCATTATAAACCTTAAATGTTTTAGGTTTATAGTTAAAATACTCTCATTCTGCATAAATCCGCAGATTTTATTTATTTACTTATTTATATATTTGTTTATTTAGTTGTTTATTTATTTATTTTTTGGCAAAATACTGCACAGAGTCTGTCAGGCCCTGCTTATGATACAGCACCCAACCTGTGCACTGTACTTGATTTTAAAGTGTGTGTCCTAGTAATGGGCAAGAATATGGATTATGATGTTATATGTACATGTGGAAAGAAATTGTAAAATAAAGTGTTGCTAAATTAGTTTTAACACCTAGGGCTGGGCTGTTAAGATATTTATTGACCGTATACCATTGTCAAAAACGATTTTTAAAAAAGTTTGGTACTAAGCGCTATAGTTTTACTAAAATGTGGCTGTGAGCTTGTGCCTTGGCAGGAATACCAATAAGCTTAGGGTTATTTCCAATCGAAGCGCATGGTTTGCGCGCTTAAATAGGCAGCGACTTGCACATGCTTGCATTTTCCAGGCGCACCTAGTTGATAAACTTCTAAACTTTTCAGAACTTTTCAGCGCTCTGCTATTTATGTAACTAGAACGAACCAATCTGCTTCACAGTTTGAATGGAATGTACACATTTTGGTAATAATGGCAGACTAATTACCTCAGACAAACACAGAGCACCTAAACACAGCAATGCTTTTTAATTCTCTTCATGAATAAAAAGTTGTATTGGAGCTCTGAAGCAATGGTTTGTCAGTTTGTCATCCTCTGAAAATGTTCGCCTAGTAACGAGAGACGCCAGAAGTGCGGGAGCGCAAATCGCATAGAAAATGGTGAAGAATCTATGCAGCTTTTCACATGCTTTTAGACGGTTGTTTTTCGCCATCGCCACCTCAAGTCAGAATACTGACACACAGGAAAATGAGTGTTGTGACAAGCAGCAGTGACGAGATTGTAAACAAAAAAGGAGGTACAAATGTCACCAGAGTGGCTTTTTGGTTTCTTTTCTTGTGCATCCCAGCCACTAGCACCCCATCTGATAGAGTTTTTAAGCATAGGGGTAATGTAGCCATTCAACTTCACAATTTGTAATGTTGCAGTATGTATTTGAATAATGATGGCTGGTTCCTTTACTTAAAAGCTCAGATTTGATTAGAATTAGTTTTGTTGACAGAGTTTGAGGTTTACTGTATAATTATTCTAGACATCTTAGAGATGTTGATCTACCTTAAAGTTTGCTTTAGTTGTTCAGTGTTTACACTTTACCATTGCTCACACTTTGTTACATTTTATTAATCAAGTTTAAGGCCCAATCTCATTTCTAATCCTTAGCTACACCCTGTGTTTTGCACGTTCACGTGAAGAGGTAGGGTTGTCACAATTCTCTTGAAGCTTAAAGGCGTAGGACTAAGGGGAAGATACCCCCGGTATCTAAGGCCCCGTTTACACTAATGCGTTTTAGTTTGAAAACGCAAAAGTTTTGCTACGTTTACGCCATCCGTCCACACTACCCCGGAGTTCTTGAGCGCCGAAAACTGAGTGTTTTGGAAACGCTGGAGAGGCCGTTTTCATTCTAAATTGCTGCTGCTCCGTCTCAAAAACGGAGACATCTGAAAACGGAGGCGGGGCTGCCGTCATTCGCCTATCTGATTGGGGCCTTTCCACAATATTAAGTAGCCCACACACACAGTTCAGTCCTGCATTCTCTCCTTGTAAGTTTAGACTTCACAAGTTTGATCAAGGCTGCAGTCTCTCCCTCCTCAGTTTGATATGGATAACAGACTACCGAGGACACGGGTAAATCTTCAAAGGGAACAGTGTACTTTATAACTTCATTCACATCACCCTTGCTACGTTGTTTTACTTTCTCAACAATAAAATTAAAACATGATTTAAGGAACTGCCTATTTTCATTTTAATATTAGCAACTTAACAGACAGCAGAAATGTTGAGGCGTTGTGCTGCATATATGAGCGTCATCTTCACTGTGTGGATATTTATAACAAAACGGAGCCGATAACAACTGCCTCTTCAATTTCAGTGAAAATACGAAACACATCCTCTCTTCTGCTGAATATCAGTTTTAATCGTTGATAATGGCCATTATGAAAGTATAACATACAATAAGTTTATACATTATAGAGATAAAGGCAATCAGTCAATATACAGAATGTAGGCTACTTGGTTACATTAATCATTAACTTATCTTTGCGCTCAGCCAAAACACGTTACCTGAGAACAAGTAATAGATTGCAATGACCAAAGTCAGGGAATCTGTCGTTAGATAAAGACAACAAGATGAATAAAATGTCACGTTTAATAAATATAGCGAGATTAGATCCAGCGGGAGATGCTTGATGAGCAGTCCGACTAGCAGAGCTCTCATCCTTGGTAGATGGGCTGCAGCGCTTGCCCGAGAGTGTGTGTGTGGTCAGGTGATGTGCGTTTTCAGCGTTTTGGTGTGGACGGAGAGCAGTTCAGAAACGCTGGGTAAAACGCGAGTGTGGACGCGGATCGTTTTCATTCTAAAACGCCATTTTAAAACTAAAATGCACTAGTGTAAACGGGGCCTAAGATTTTTCAGGACCACATTTGAAACGAGGGCTAAGAAAATTATCCAGAATACACCATCCACATTGCCATGGCAAGTCAGGAGATGCACAAATTACTCTTTTTTTGTCATTATTATGAATTTTTATGACAAACAAGCAGACGTTTTAATACATTCATAACCGCAATCGTGTTTTACCATTATGGTTAAAAAATAAAAATAAAACCGCTAAATTCTGCTATCCATGATCCATTATAATAGCTCCTGTATAGCAGTCCCACAACATTCTGTCACTCGATGACACTCAAATACCCTGTTAGAATAGTCTATGTTTTTACAGTGTCAGCTATAATGTTAATGTTGTTTTCGTGTGTTTACATACATGAATATGGCCACAGTGTAAATGCACAGTACAGTTACGAGCTTATTGCCACATTAAAACGTTTTGATAACATGATATCGTTGCCTTCAGTCATTTTCTTGAAGATAAACACCAAAAAATAACACAACTGGAATAACTAGCAGTCGCGATCGTCTGATCTCATATGAAGCAAGAGATTGCGACGACATATAAAGTCGTGTGCGGGTGTTGTAGTGATGTCCCATTTCTTAGGGGTAAAATTTGAAGCCCTAACTCTTCACACTCTATTTCAAGGGCCGAGGGGAAGAGATACGAAAATAGAATTGAGATTGGGCCTTAACACGTTTGTTAATTTTATAATAAGACATAAGAGAACAGGGGTCTGTTCTTCGTAGGTGGATTACTCGGTTTGCTGGATTTGGATATTGACGATTTGACATGATCCAGGATCGTTTAGTTTTTCAATACACATCTAAGAGTTGTTGTCATAGCAACAGTTTTGGTAGCTCAAACCTGGTCGGGAGCAGCTTCAATTCATATAAACAGGATTAGATCAGGATATATCAAGCAAAGATAATACTGAATGTATGTACCAAATGCTTATATTTTCTTACAGTAGTTATATACACTTGGGAAAAGAGTAAATATATATTTTAAACTATATATATATATATATATATATATATATATATATATTTTTTTTTTTTAAACATATATATATATATATATATATATATATATATATATATATATATATATATATATATATAAAAGCAATCTGCAATCTGATATAAAGTACAAAGACTGCCACCTGGTGGTTCAAAGAGAAAACTTATTAATATGAACTGTTTAGATAGAAACGTGTACATGGCATGCACAATATTCAACTTTTTTAAAGAGGTTTATAATTTATGCAGTCATTTAATTTGAATTAAATCATTGATAATTGAATATTGATTAGATGATGTCATTACGCTGCTGTGTCTGGATAAACTGATCTGAGATCGCTGCGTGTGTTGTGAAGGACAGATCTATCGATCCTCGAAATCATGATCAGCAATGCAACGATTGGCTGACGGCACAGCTGCGTAATGACATCATCTGATTAATATTCAATTATCCATGTGAGCAAAATGACATCAAATTAGCAGTAAACGGCTTGTTAAATATGACACGCAATAACCTTCAACATTTGTTGTGAGCTGCAGGCTTTACACTTTCATGTGTCAAGAGTATTCATCATGTATTTCAATGATAATCAATGTATTTAGTTCTACATTTAGAAAAGATTTTCTTTATTATAGTAGCCGTTTTTTAATCGCTGTATGGAATAACTGGTTGTTTACAAAAGCATTTTAATATTGGTAAAGGCGTCTGCAACTTTTGTGAAGCATCAAATCACTGGCATATTAACTGTCAAAACATGTTTATGACTACATAAATGTATTATTGCTTAAAAAAAAGTCACATATTGTGCATGTTTATTATACACAATTTGTACTAAAGCAATCTAAAAAGTTCATATCAATAAGTTTTCTCTTTGCACCACCAGGTGGCAGTCTTTGTGCTTTCATTTCGAGGGTGCAGATTGCATAAGTTTTATTAATATGTATAACTTTATTTATTTTATTAATAACTATAACTTTATATATATAGTTAAATTTTTTTTTACTCATTTCCCAAGTGTATATAACTACTACTGTAAGAAAATATCTGAATTCGGTAAATACTTTCTGTATTATCTATGCTTTAACTGAGCCGATCTAATCCTGTTTATATGAATTGAACCTGCTCCCGATCAGGTTTGAGCTAGCAGAACTGTTGCTATGACAACAACTCTCGGATCAGCTTTGAAGAACGAAACGATTCTGGATCGTGTCAAATCGTCAATATCCAAATCCAGCTAACTGAGTAATCCACGGACCCCAGATATATTTGTTTATTTGTTATTATCTAATAAATCTGCCTTAGTAATGTTGTCAAATTTAAAAAGTGGTTAAATAAAGTGGTTAATTAAAAAAAAAATCTAAAATCTAAAATAAAAATCTAAAATTCTTAAATGTATTGTAAAAAAATATATATATATCGATAACGAATGATATGAAACATGATATCGTGATATTTTTTTGTATCACCCAGCCCTATTAACACCTTAGTCTTGACCCATGTTTACTGTAAAATGACAAAACCTCTTCTTTAACAATAATTAAATAACTCACTAATTAATCCAGTCATGTAATTAATATCTCAAGTGTTGTGTAAGGAGTAAAACTGCGTCTAAAGGTCAGCATGTTGTATATATAGATTTTATTTACAATATAGAAAATACAAAGACAGGCGCTGAAAAATCTATAGTTTTTTATGTTCATACTGAATCAGATCAGCTCTTTGGTTTAGTAACTCACAGTATAATAAGAGATCTGTCACATTCTTAGGATTTACACGTCTAACATGTTTTAACTTGTTGTAACTGCAGTGCTTATTTCAATTATTTCAAAAGCTCAGTGGTGAAAAGTGAATGCATGAAAACCTTCTTTCAGTTTTGGTTCCTCTTCTTCCTCCGTTGAACGTTTCTGATTTGACAGAGCTGAACTGAAGCCAGTGACATCATACATATCTGAAGAACAGACCAATCATTAATCAGCATCTTATTTGTTTTGTCTTTTTGCACATGAAGTAATCTAATACCACACATGAGCTCAGAGATCATGAAGTCAGATGAAGATCATGAAGTGTAGTCTAGACTGATGAAGTCAGAGATCATGTTTCTGATGTTCTTCTGTTGTGGCTTGGTGTGATGTTTGTACATTGAGAGGCATTGTTTAGTTGAAAAGACAAATTTGTAGATATTTTTACAATAAATACAGGATTTTTTGATCTAATTTTACATTACTTGTACAGTAATACCTCAGGTGAAAATAGCATAGTTGTGTGTTCCTTTTTAATGTCTTAGTACGAAGGAATTAAAGGTTGTAAAATAGCAGTTAATTAAATGTAATTTCCAATAATGATTATTGATTTTTCCCCTTGTCACGCTGTACAAAAATAAATAATTTAGATTATCCATGTGGTTTGTTGAAATTTGTCACTCATTATCTTACTTTCTTTCGGCTTTTTCCCTGCTTTTGTCAGGGGTCACAAGAGCAGAATGAACCAGAATGTTTGCTGACTTATGTATTTACTTTATACCAAACATTTTAATTAAGGTTTAAATCCATCCTATATACACTCACCGGCCAATTTATTAGGTACATATTAATCTGGGGTCGCCACAGTGGAATGAACAGCCAACTTATCCAGCACGTTTTTTATGCCTTCCAGCCGCAAACCATCTCTGGGAAACATCTACACACACACACTCACACTCATACACTACAGACAATTTAGCCTACCCAATTCACATGTACCGCATGTCTTTGGACCGTGGAGGAAACCGGAGCACCCGGAGGAAACCCACACAAACAGGGAGAAAACTCCACACAGAAACGCCAACTGAGCCGAGGATCGAACCAGCGACCTTCTTGCTGTGAGGCGACAGCACTACCTACTGCGCCACTGCATCGCCTTTATATATGATATATGCCTATAGTTGTGTGTGCAACATTTGTATATTTACAGTATGACCACCTTTAAAAATGGGGGTCGCGAGTCACAGACTTTGTAATTTTAGGGGTCGCGGGCTGAAAATTTGGGAAGCCCTGCTCTAAACAGACCACATGCCTTCAGTGCTTCAATGGGATTATTTATTTATTCATTTTCGTTTCGGCTTAGTCCCTTTATTAATCTGGGGTCGCCACAGAGGAATGAACTGCCAATTTATCCAGCATATGTTTTACGCAGCGGATGCCCTTCCAGCTGCAACCAACCACTGGGAAACATCCATACACACTCATTCACACACATACACTACGGACAATTTTAGCATACCCAATTCATCTATACCACATGTCTTTGGACTGTGGGGGAAACCGGAGCACCCGGAGGAAACCAATGCAAACATGGGGAGGACATGCAAACTCCACACAGACATGCCAACTGACCCAAATGAGGCTCGAACCAGCAACTTTCTTGCCGTGAGGCGATCGTGCTACCCACTGTCATCCAATGGGATTATTATAAAGCTACAATACATAGTGTGCACATAAAACAAAAACATTGACTTTATTCAACAGTAATTTCTCCTCAGTGTCAGTATATTGCGCACATTTATGAACAATATTGTTCATTTAAATATGCATGTAGCTTCCTCTGTTTAGGCTAATATGAGGCCAAGAGCGATATACCGTATAAACGCACACCCTATACTTTTATAGGGATTTTTTTTTCAGGACTTCGGGAACCTTGCTTTGTATGGAAGATGAGGGAGCTCTCTGAATTCATCTAAAATAACTTCATTTGTGTTCTGAATATGAACGAAGATCTCAGGGGTTTGGAATGAAATGAGGGTGAATAAGTAATAGCACAATTTTTGGGTGAACTAACACAGAGTATTTGTTTACTAATAATAGTTTATTGTGGTGGCCTAGATTTGATTGCCTGTACTAAACAAGATAAAGAAGAAAAAATTTACTATTTATTATTATTTATTATTATACTATTTAATGCATGGAAATACAAATTTACTAAAAGACAAGACTTAAAGTTTAAAGGACTTTTGGCAGGTGAAAAAAATCTCACCTCAAGGCAAAGTAGGACAAGGGTCATCCCACCCACCAGCAGAAGGTTCTGTTGTCCCCACCAGACCATCTCATCTAGACAACCAGAGGTGTAGATGAGGCGACCGGCCAGACTTTTCTTCATCTTTTGGGTCTCGTAGCCACACATAGAGTTGAACACAGTCTGCACATGAATTTAAAAAATCTAATCAAAACAAATAAACAGCATTTTATAGTAAAAAGTGAATCATATATTGAATAAATTATCTTTCAAATGATGTATTGTTTAATTTGGTTAGAGTTTGATTTGTTTTGGTTTATTTGTTTAAGACCCTAGCTTTAAATCTAAAGGAGAACTCTGGAAAGTGCTAAAAGAAGGCTGATTTAACACAGCACATTATTTCAGATAATGTCGGGAGAATTAGAGCAAAACTGTTCAAGCTGTGCTTAGTGCCAAGGGAAGCCCCATTAAACAGACTTTTGCTTGAAGAGGAAATGTTGTGATGTTGTTGTTTTGTACATATTTCCTACATTTTCAGTTTGTTTTTATTAAAGAGAGAGATTGATTATATATTGTGCAAAAGTCTCAGGATACAAAGCCGGTATAGTGTTTAGGACTTTTGCATGGTACTGTATAGACAAAATAAATGTAGTACTTTTTGCACTGAAGTGTGTTACTTTAAACACCAAACATTTGGACAGTCTTCAACTCAAGACGTTCATTTAACACCTTATAAATGCAGCTTCATAAATAATAAATAAATAAATAAGTATTAGAATTATCCCAAGTAATAATTAAAAAAATAATAATACAATAATAATTCCTAGTATTTGATTCGACAGCACTTACCTCATTCTTTTGGCGTATACAGCAGGAGAAAGGCACTCCATAGGCCTCCAAACTGGGATTGTGCTCAGACGAGTTAAAGTACATGTTTTTAGACCAATCCAAGTAGGAATCCACCCCACAGCACTTGAACTACAGGACATGGTGAGATCACCAACAGTGTGATTTTTTTTTACAGAAAGGAATATATTTATTCAGCAGATATGTTTGAATATGAAAGTGAAGACACTGTTACAAAGGCTTTCTATTTCAAATATAAATGTTGATTAAACGTTAAGAGGATCTTAAAAATGTACAGTATCATATTTTGTTGTCAGTATACAAACAGGCAAACCAGCAAGCAAACTCATCAGATACTTTTTCTAAGCAACAGTGTAAGGATTTCGTACGCAGTAAAAATAAATAAAACAATCCACAACATTCCAGGTTTCACTGTATTTTTCATCAAATAAATGCAGACTTTGTGGACAAAATAATCTTACACTGTAAAAGCAATTAGTTACTTTAAAAAAGTTGGTAAACTCATGGTACCTTGGAACAGTTAAATTCACTCAATTTTTTATAATTATGCACATCAAATTAATTCATAATTTTAAGGCAAAGGTTTACTCACTTTTATAAGTAATGTCAGCTTTTTACAGTATACTAACTTTTAAAGGGACATTCTCTATTATGCCCCTTTCACAAGATGTAAAATAAGTCTCTGATGTCCCTGGAGTGTGTGACGTTTCAGCTCAATATACCCCATAAATAATGGGTTCTATTTTGACGACCCATACGCAAAGTGCAAAGCGCAGGGCGCAAAAGCATTAAGGGCGTGTCAGAAACCACTTTTGCTAATTTAAGGATGGAAAAATCTGCTTAGCGCCGTGGCGCATGGTCTAATAGGGTTGAGCTTATTTTCTTAATGAGTTATAGGTGTGTTTTGAGAATAAACCAATCAGAGTATCATCTCCCATTCCCTTTAAGAGTCAGTTGCGTCTCGCCATAGCGCATTTGCTATTTACATGACGACTTTGTAAGTGGGAAAAAATGAGAGTTTCACTAGCAAGAAAACAGTTAAACAGAGCATCTGCAGCGTGAGAATGAGAGATAATCCTCCATATTATCTACTTTCACTTTCACTCTCGTGGATAGGGAAACTTGTACGCACAGACATTCATTAGCCTATAAATAATTAATTTTGTTAGTTGAGCGCAAAGATTTGTTTCAAAACTATTTCTAAATTCAGTTCTAATTCAAAAATAATAACGAAGTGTGGTCAAAAAAAAGTTATATCCTAATACACATGCTGTGCCCCATATGGTCTAAAACCTGACAGGTGGACAAATCTACGCTTGTTTTTAATAAATCTAATATAAATATGCATATAATAAATAATACTGCTAATAATAATAATAACATCTACAAAAGCAAATTGTCATGAATCAACTGAAAAAGCCTCCCGAGATGAAGAAGACATGAAAATATGGTTTTTAAATTCATGTAGGCTAGAAAATAATATATTTTGTAATATTTTAATCCTTTATATTGATATCCTATATATATCATTATTATATCCTTTATATGGCGAGGCAGTGGCGCAGTAGGTAGTGCTGTCGCCTCACAGCAAGAAGGTCGCTGGGTCGAACCTTGGCTCAGTTGGCGTTTCTGTGTGGATTTTGCATGTTCTCCCTGCTTTCGTGTGGGCTTGCTCCGGGTGCTCCGGTTTCCCCCACATTCCAAAGACATGCGGTACAGGTGAATTGGGTAGGCTAAATTGTCCGTAGTGTATGAATGTGTGTGTGGATGTTTCCCAGAGATGGGTTGCGGCTGGAAGGGGATCCACTGCATAAAAACTTGCTGGATAAGTTGGTGGTTCATTCCGCTGTGGCGACCCCAGATTAATAAAGGGATTAAGCCGACAAGAAAATGAATGAATGAATATCCTTTATATATCCTTAATATTTTAATTATTTTTCATATGTAAAGATAATTGCATATTGCTGTACATCCTCTTTGTATTAATACATTCTATAGAACAGTCTATTATAGTATCTCAAAATAGCAACGTGCGAGCAATACGCCTCTTTTTTTAGACCAGAACGAATATGGGCGCTCATATGAGCGCAAATGCATTTGCTATTTAAACAGGGTGGTGCAAAACATCAAAACGACTCTTGCGCCAAGCTGAAACTAGCAAACAACAATGGCGTTGCGCCTTGCGCCACATTGCGTCGGGTGTATGATAGGGCCCAATGTGTTACACCCTTTTAAACTGCCTCTTTTAGACTTTGATTGAAATTGTGATGTTTTAGTGACTGTCGCTTTAAATTTAAATGAGATTGTGCTTTTTTTCAGAGGAGGGCGGAGCTACAAATGCCTACTAGTGATGGGAAGTTCGGATAATTTTACTGACTCGGATCTTTGAGTCTCGTTCATCAAGATGAACAAATCTTTTTTCGAGTCATTTCGTTCATTTGGTTCAATTTGCCAAAATATTATTAATGTTACGAATTGCTTCCAAACTCATCTACAACTAGCCCAAAAGGTTGATCACATGACAAATAAGTCATAAACAGAAAACTATAAGAAGGAGAAGATAATAATTCAATGTTTACCGGCTCTTTTTTCTGTGAAGGTATTGTTGTCTCTTTGCTCAGCTCACCTCTTCATGTCTTCAAATGTCAGGGGTTCATTCACGTTACAATGACAGTCACATATAATCTTAATCAATGCACAGTCTAAGCTGATAGGAGCCATGATCGTTCGTTCATCACGTGAGAGAATGATTCAAACTTGAGGACTTGAGAGATGAACGGATCAATTATTTTTCCAGCTCTAAACTCGTATGACTGGCCCGTGAGGAACAAATGACTCAGACTCGATAGAGGACTCGAGAGATGAATGGTTCAATTCTTTTTATGACTCTAAACGCGTATGATTGGCTTCTGATGAACGAGTGACTCAGACCAGATAGAGGACTCGAGAGGTGAGCGGATAATTCTTTTTCCGGCTCTAAATGCATATGATTGGCTTCTGCCAATGTGATAAAGACTTGAAAGTAACGATACCTGAACAAATGTGGGCACGCGCGGATGAACGAATCACTCCCTGGGAGGACTCATAGTTCCCGAGTCATATTGAAGATTCGTTCAAAATGAACAAATCGTTTATGAACGACCCATCACTAATGCCTATGTGTCAGCATAGTGGCAGATTTAAAACAGGACTTACGTTATCTCTGTGAAAAACTGAAAATGTGAAAAGAGCTGTGCCACACAACTGTTAAAAGCCCTTAAAAAAAAGTGATTTTTGCATAACAATAAAGAAATAATGATTCTTTTACCTTTTTCTGTACAAAATCAATAACATTTTCCAAGTCCTGATCATCACGATAGCGCACAATCGCCTTCATCATCAGCTGCTCCGTCCTCTCTTGAACCTACAAAGAAGTTTTTAAGTCAGTTGATAATGTACTGTGTAATTTAACCAAATTGCATTTGCTTCATACAGCTGTGCTTGTACCCGTGTAAAATATTTACCTTTTCAGAAAACAGAAGACCCAGCACAGCAGCTGTTACTTGCAGCAGCAGAACCACCAACAAAATTGCTACAAACTGGACAGGAATTATTTAATTGCAAATATATAGAGTTGTTCAAATCTAACACTGTAGAATTATAAAGAATCATTGCACATAAGGTCATCTTTCCATATTTATTACAACTGATCTACATATTGCAACAAAACAGACCATGTTGAGCAGCAAGGAGGCGTTACGCAGTGCTCCAAAACAGCCGAGGAAAGTGATGGTGAACATGAGAGAACCCACAACAATCAACAGCAGTGCTGGATCTGCCATCAGCGTATCCACTACATCTGTGAAGCATTGATAAAGATGTTAACACCAACTCTGTATGAATGTACAGTTAACAAGCATCCATTTACCAAGTCTTAATGAAAAGGCAACTTTCTCTATCTTTATTTTAAGATACAATTCTTGCTATTATTAAATCATTAACTATGATTGGTGGCGCAGTGGGTAGCGCTATCGCCTCACAACAAGAAGATCGCTGGTTCGAGCCTCGGCTGGATCTGTTGGCATTTCTGTGTGAAGTTTGCATGTTTTTCTAGTGTTAATGTGGGTTTCCTCCGGGTGCTCCGGTTTCCCCCAACACTCCAAAGACATGTGGAACAGGTGAATTGGGTAAGCTAAAATGTCAGTAGTGTATGTGTGTGAGTGAGAGTGTATGGGTGTATCTCAGTGATAGGTTGCAGCTAGAAGGGCATCTGCTCCATAAAACATAAGCTGGATAAGTTGGCGGGTCATTCCACTGTGGCAACCCCTGATTATTAAAGGGACTTAGCCAGAAGGAAAATGAGTGAATGAATTAACCATGATTTTTGCTTTTTGAAGAGGCAGATCACCCAAAAACTAAAAGCTGAAGGAAAATGAATGATCTAATCCTTTGATGTGACTACATTGCGATATCAATGCTCAAATGATATAATATTGTTCAGCCCTAATAACTACAGTTTAGGTGAATTAATTGTCAATCAAATCTTGTTTTAATACACACTATTGGTCAAATGTTTGGGGTCAGTTTTATTTATTTTTTCATGTTTTTTTTTAGGAAATGTATTCTGTTCATCAATGTTGCATTTATTTAAAAAAAGTAAATAGTTAAATATTGATTAAAATGCAAAATAACTGTTTGCTTATGTATGTAGTTTCAAATTAAATTATTACTGTAGTCATTATTGCTTTTATTACTAACCTTATTTTAAAACATTTAAAATTCTACTGACCCCAAACTTTAGACTGGTAGTGTGTATATTCATTACTGATATTGTAATCATAATGTAGGCTAATGTGGTTTAATTATGTTTGTTTCAATATTCATTATAGCAAAATATGAATGAATATGATAATGGTGTTGAAATACCTGACTCTTTGGCAATTTTTGCATAGATCCCAACAGCAATTAGACCAGCACTGAACACCTTAAACACAACAACAACAATCTGCTCAAAACATCCACTAAACAAACACATATGCTACATTCCAGAAGCAAGAAATAGACTCTGGACTTTTCCTAGCAACTTAAGGCACAACGTTAAATCATACATAACATAAAGTCGTAACATATTCATATATTTCACATTTAATTAAAACATGTTAATAAAAATCTCTTCATCATTACAACGATCACAAGACATGAACGTACCCAGAATACGTAGCAGCACACAAATAACGTGTACTTCACGGCTCTGAAAGATTTCTTATTCCCTCTGGTTTTCATTTCTTTGTCATAAAATTAAAAACCAAAAGGCAGCTTTTAATATTTCACAGCTAATGTGAGCAGTTTTTTTGTAGTTATATCCTCAGTTTCGCCATAACGACGTGTGATTGCTTGTCTGCTCTAGGTATTCACATACCTGTGTGTCTATGTGAATACAAGTTGAGCAGCGACCTCTAGTGGTTGCAGCTGTTCATTACTCAAACGTATCAATGTCATTTGCAGCCCTAAAACCATATATAAGCGATTTCTCAAGCATTTGCTGTTTTATATGAATTATTTTACACGTTAAAGAAGATGTGATACGGTTTTCCAACTTGAATAATCACAGTAGGTCTGCTGTCAGTCATGAGTCTTGATCCTCCCCACAGACACGTCACTGTAGTCTGACAGTAAGCGGATTGAGTCTTTTCAGTCAGCGAAACTATCCTAGACGACTAATTAAACGCCATTCATGTTCTTCGTATAACGACACGAGTTTATTTTAAGTCACCATGTTTGCCATATTTACAAAGATTAAGGACCGCGTCGAGGCTTTTTTAAACGAGAAGAATATTGTCACCGACTGTCTCAATAAAATTGAAGAAAAAACTGGTATCAAGAAACGTTACTTAGCGTACGGTAAGTCTTAATTTATTGTAAAAAGTTGTTCATGTCTTGTAGAAAACGTGATGGAGTAGGGTAGTCTACCCCTTGTCATAAACAGTAGTTAACGTATCTTTAAGCAACAGGTGGACGGGTCAGCCGAGGCTCTCCATGTTACGCCATTGCAATGTAAATGCAGCCTGTTATAAAATCATAAATGTTTACATCAAAATGTAAGTTTAACATTGATTTTTTTTTCATGTGTAACAGTTAATATAATTTGTTACTTTTCTCGTGACAAACATAACTGAATATATACATACTTAACTTTCATCTTATGTTCCTGTTGAAAGAAATAATCGTTTTAAAGAAAAACATCAATGTTTGAAAAGACTTGAGGTAAATTTATTGAATACATGAATAACTTGGATGTTACATTGACTGAAAATACTTATGGAAAAGTATGACTCTTCATTGCTTTAATCTTTTATTTGTCCTCATTGTTTGTTAATTGTTTATTTCCCTTATTTTATACATCAGCTCGATGTCTCACATTATGTCCATTTAAGTGTTCTGTCTTGTGACTGTGAGGGTGGGAATGGGGTGGAGGGTGGTTAGAAAAAATGTTTAAATGTATACTGAAATGATCTGTAAATTGTTCATGTGAAAATAAATATATTGATAACAATTAATTTTAGACAAATTATTTATTTTAATGAGTAAATATTATATTCACAAATTTTCTTCATCGTTACCTAATTTGCAGGATTTCCTTTGTGACTTAAATTGTTTAATTACTACATTACGAAATGTTTATCTTAAAACAAGTGCAAAAACTGGGAAATTCTATAAGGACTTTCTAAATATTGTTTAATTTGATCGTTTTGCCTCTGTACTCTGTTTTTATATTTTATTTTAGTATTATTTAATTTCTTTTATTTCTTTTTTCCTTGTTTATTATTGTACTTGATTGAGTGTTATGGTTGTTAATGTGATTGTATTGTTAAAACACAATTTAAAAAATCATAAACGAAAAAGGCTTAAACGGGGAAGACTTAGATAAAAATATATGGATCAAATTTGTTGATGACATTTGTTTTTGAATAAATAAATACATGAATACTGAAAATAAATAAATTATTTTCTTGGCCCTGAAAGTGAAATAGCAAAACATAGAAAAAAATGATAATTTTAGAAGAAAATTTCAGATTGCTTTTAGAAGTTTCATATATACAAAAGTCAACGTTTTAAGAGGATCAAAACATTTCATCCAAGGTGTCCAAAAACTATTCAACAACACTCACTTCTTGTTATTGGACAAGGGACAGATTTATTGATTTGGGGGTCTTAAGCAATTCCAGCAGTCCTAAACTGCACCGTTCAATCATTCATTCATTCATTCATTCATTCATTCATTCCTTTTTTTCTGGCATATAGTCCCTTTATTTATACGGGTTCACCACAGTGGAATGAACTGCCAACTTATCCAGTATATTTTTTACACAGCAGATGCGCTTCCAGCTGCAACCCAGGGCTGGGAAACACCCATACCATTTGTACTTTATTTTTTTCCTATTTATTTATATTTGTGTTTTTTTTCTCTCTCCTTTTCTACATTTTATTATCTTAATGCACTCGCTACATTGTAAATGATTTGTGTCCCTTAAAATGAATTCACAACTACAAATCATAAACTATTCCATTTTTAAAACTAAATCTCTACCTGATTTGAATGCTGGATTGCTCTATGATTGGGGATGGGGGACACATTTGCATAGAGGTAATTATTAACAATAATATTGTATTTGTTAGACCCTCGCCATACAAAATATGATAAAAAACTATGCTTTATATAATTTATAGGTATAATATATACTTTTAGGCATTTCAGGCATAGCAGTCACTTACCTTGATTATTGGTTAAATCCGCCCCTGCTTAGGATAATTTTGAAATGGAATAGTTTTAGAACAACTTTGATGAAAGGTTTTGATCCACCTCAAATGTTGACTACTGTATTCTGCATGTAAGAGTATAATTTTGAAATAGAAAGTACAATATTACACACAGTAGCTACTATTATAGACAGATGTATTACTGTGGTTTCATAACTGTTTTAAAAAAGTATCCCAACGATTACAAAGTTATATAGTAGGCCTAATTACTTTTCTCCTGATTACACTATTAATACATTGTTTAGTTGTATTTAGAAGGATGTTCTTGTTGCTTCTTTACTCCCAACAGGTGCTGCAGGTGTGACTGGAGCATTTTTATTATTAGGATACGGCGCTTCTCTGATCTGTAATCTGATTGGCTTTGTTTATCCTGCATATTTCTCGTGAGTTCTTTATTATGTTGAGTTTGATTGCTGTAACTTGTCTTAACTGCCATATCATTTACAAGATATTTACATTTTTTAGTATCAAAGCCATAGAAAGTCCTGGTAAAGAGGATGACACGCAGTGGCTCACGTACTGGGTAATCTACGGCTTCTTCAGCGTGGGAGAATTCTTCTCGGATATCTTTCTTCACTGGTTTCCATTCTACTATGTATGCAAGGTAAGTTCAGCAATGCCAGATGCTTATTAAAAGTAATATCTGCTATAAAAAGATCAATTATTACCAGCTTTTTTTCTGCTAATTGGCACAAAGACTTCTGTCATTCTTTGTCACTCATCATGACCCAAGTAAGATGAGAGGTTAAATGGTTGTTTGGAAAGCTGTTTAACTAAAGACAGCTTTGTGCTTGGTTGTTATCTGCTGGTTTGTGCATATTAATAGTCAAGATCAGAGCATAAGTATGGTATAGCACAGCAAATATTGATATCAGCCAATCTATGCAGATACCAACTAAACACTTTTTTTCTTTATTTAAGTAAAGAACTGTCTACAACCAAATTTAGTATGACATTTATTTATTTTTTACTATTTTGGTCATTGTTTTTATAATTTTTTATAATCACTATTTAGTTTATTACAAACTTATAGCCCATCACTGAATCTGCTTATTTATTTATTTATTTATTTATTTATTTATTTATTTATTTATTTATTTATTTATTTATTTTATTTAAATGTGTGCAAATATATATATATATATATATATATATATATATATATATATATATATATATATATATATATATATATATATATATATATATTCAGTTTTATATTCAATTCAGTAATATTTTTAACTAGTATGCAAATGTTTATATTATTTATTTACAATTCAAAGTCTGCAAAGTAATATTTTTATTGTTTTTTAGTAGATATAGTATATGAAAGTCCTGCTTTGTTTATCAAACAGGTGGATCTAGTTGGATTGACATTGCAAACCTTTAGTAAAAGTTATTTAGTTTTTATTTACTAAACTCCCAAAATCATTCCATATAAATCTGCAATTTTTTTTTTTTTCAAAATTCTGTGCAGAAATATCAAAATATATATTAACAATATTCTGTCTGGCCCTACTAAAAATAAGTAACAAAAGCTAAATATTATATTCAATTATAAATTACAATTATATTACAACAAATAAATTATACACAGTGTAATTACAATATAGGAGGTTCAATTATTATTATCGTTTTTCATTTCTTTCAAATAGATTTATCTTTTTTACTGGCCACTTTATTAGGTACACCTTACTAGTACCGGGCTGGACCCCCTTTTGCCTTCAGAACTGTCTTAATCCTTCAGGGCATAGATTCAACAGGGAACTGGAAATATTCCTCGGATTGGATTTATCCGTATTCCTCAGATACGGATATAGAATTTGGTCCATATTGACATAATAGCATGACGCAGTTGCTGCAGATTTGTCAGCTGCACATCCCAAAGAAGCTCTATTGGGTTGAGATCTGGTGACTGATCTTCTGCTGCTGCACCCGGTGTGGTCTTCTGCTGCTGTAGCCCATCCGCCTCAAGGTTGGATGTGTTGTGCGTTCAGAGATGCTCTTCTGCTTACCTTGGTTGTAACGAGTGCTTATTTGAGTGACTGTTGCCTTTCTATCAGCTTGAACCAGTCTGACCATTCTCCTCTGACCTCTGGCATCAACAAGGCGTTTGCGCTCACAGAACTGCATATTTTCTCCTTTTCGGACCTTTCTCTGTAAACCTATAGATGGTTGTGCGTGAAAATCCCAGTATATCAGCAGTTTCTGAAATACTCAGACCAGCCCATCTGGCACCAACAATCATGCAACGTTTAAAGCGACTTAAATCTCCTTTCTTCCCCATTCTGTTGCTCGGTTTGAACTGCAGCAGATCGTCTTGACCATGTCTTTGCATTGAGTTGCTGCCATGTGATTGGCTGATTAGAAATTTGCGTAAACAAGCAGTAGGACAGGAGTACCTAATAAAGTGACCAGTGAGTGTATATTTAACCCCATTCCTTTTTCTTTTTCACAATTTCTTGTGTCTTTTCTGGTGTTAGTGCCTGTTCCTGTTGTGGTGTATGGCTCCGGTCTCCTGGAATGGTTCTCAGGTTCTGTATAGGCATGTGGTCCGTCCATTTTTCCTGAAGCACGAAGCCGCAGTAGACGGGATGGTCAGCAATATAAGCGTGAAGGCCATGTCAGCAGCTGAGAACGTCACGAGAGAAGGTAAGCAGCATTACACAGGTACTTGATATTCTTTTTATTAAATGGCTTTTGGTTAAACTACAATCCGATTAGTCAGTTGTCCATGTAAGAAGTGTTATCAGACTGAACTTGCAGCTTGACAGCAAAGATATTATTTGTAGGAGGTTTGTGTTTAGTGAGCTAGGGCAATATTTAGATTAACATTTACATTTTTTTTAAATGCTTTTTATAATTTAGAGAACACGTTCAAAACCCACCCCATGTCAACAAATAAAAAATAAAATAAAAATAATGAATAAATGAACAGAAGAACGAATTAATAAATAGATCAAAATAAAAAAGTGCACACTGTGAAGTCTTTAACATCATTCAGCAATCACTGGTCACTTGTAAAATATTTGAAAAAGGACTTTCATATTGTTGAGCATCTACTTGCTTTACCTGCAGTCTCATATTTAAACTTTTCATGTGTAACACATTAAACAACTCTGTAAGCCTGCATGAGCTCTTTGTTACACATCAACAAGATTACATTTTTTGCTATGTTCCTCCCATATCGAACTGTCTGGATTTGCTACAAACTAATATTAATTCATTCATTCATTAATTTTCTTTTCGGCTTAGTCTCTTTATTAATCTGGGGTCGCTACAGTGGATTGAACCGCCAACGTATCCAGCATATGTTTTATGCAACAGATGCCCTTCCAGCTGCCACCCATCTCTGGGAAACATCCACACACACTTATTCACACTCGTATACTATGGACAATTTAGCCCTGTACCGCATTTCTTTGGACTGTGGGGGAAAACGGAGCACCCGGAGGAAACCCACGCGAACGCGGGGAGATCATGCAAACTCCACACTGAAACGCCAACTGACCCAGCTGAGGCTCGAACCAGCGACCTTCTTGCTGTGAGGCGAAAGCACTACCTACTGCGCCACTAATATTAATACTTAATTTAATTATTTGTTTATGTGGGAATGAGGCAGCCTTGTTATAATACTTATGTATGCTCAGCTTGAACATGGCCAAAAAACATGATACTGCAGTTAAAATAAATTTTAAATACTTCAGCTTCTTTATGAACGAGGAAGGAGGAGACCCATAGGATGTAATGAAGACAACTCTTAAATCCCCTGATTCCACACTCAGGGCCTACTCACACTATGCTATCCGAACCGTGCCCAGGCCCGTTTCCCGGATCGTTTGTGAAGTGTGAGTGCGCTGAATCGGGCTCAGGCACGGTTCACTTGGCCGGCCCTGGCCCGGTTGGAAGAGGTGGGCCTGAGCGCGGTTCACTTGGGCTCACGTTTGTAGTGGAGTGCAAAACGCGCCAAAGCCCGAAACTGAAAGCGAGACGTGACTTTCAAGGAACTGTTTCATATGGATTTATTAATCAATCTTACTTTTCAATGAACGCAAACTGCCGTATTTTATTAAAGACGCAAACCCCTCACTGCACGACAGCTGCGCACCTTCAGCAAACCTCCTCATTCCTGCAGCATGAGGGCTTTATGATTGTTTATGAGCGCCAAAAGTGGCGGATCTGTTCGGCGAAATATCTGACTGCCTGTCACCGCATCCCTAAGGACTGTTTGGCGAAATATTTGACTGCATGTTAGTGCATATTAAACGACTGAAACGATATAACTAGATAAATCTCCACTGTGCTGAGTGAGAGCGCTTCTCACTAAACAGCGCAGCATCAATGACGTAAGCGTGGCCAGGCCCGATTGTGGTGTGAGTGCGGGCCGTCGGGGGAAACAGGAGGGGGGACAAGCGTGCTTTGGCCCGGTTTGAGGTAACTGTACATAGTGTGAGTACGGCCTCAGTCACAAAGTCATAAAAATCACTCTGGACCCTCACACCCAGCACACTGCCTCTTTGAACTTTTACCTTCTGGTGGACGTTGCAGAGCACTGCGCACCAGAACAGCCCGACACCGAAACAGTTTCTTCCCTCAGGCAATCCATCTCATGAACACTTGATAATAATAATTGTGGAACCAACATCACTATTATCTATACACTTTTATACACATCAACCAAATTAAATCAAATCAGGCCTTTATTTGTCACATACACTTTTGTTTAGTGAGATAGAAGCCCCCCCGACCATACACAAACATCACAATTTTCAGGGGAAGACACAGGAGGTAGCATTTAGAAAAAGGAAGTAAGATACATTTCAGGAGAGGGAGGCAAAAAAAATCTCCCACTCGCCTTGCTCTTGAATTAGGGCAGGGTGAGAACAGGGGGAAAAAAATTCCCAGCAGTCAAGCACATGAACAGACAAGGAATGACATGTCCTGGGCCAAGGGGCGCTAGTCACAGACCCGCCTACCCCCTCCAGTGGGTGAAAGCACACGAAGGTGTGAGATGGGGGATAGGTGGTGATTGTCTATCTGTAGCTGTTTATGTGTGTGTGTGTAAGCTTGTAGAGTTCAACAGGTGTCCTTGACAGGGAGCAGGCATTTCAGAGCGTCTCCTTATCTTGCTATCCGGGTGAAGTTGTTTTTCTCCAGCTGAGGCTGTCTAGCAAGAAAAAAAAAAAACAGGGGAGCCGAAAGAGTAGAAACGTACTTCAACTTTAGGTCAATATCTGCCAATTCCACATTTCTGGATATTCAGATCTGGCCAAATGTTGTTGCAAAGCTGCTAGTTTCACTCCAAAGTTTTCCAATTTGTGGTCTAGGACCATAGTCTGAGTATTAGCGAGCCTACCCATCAGCGATTCAGTTGCTTTTGAGCAGCACTGATCTTTTTCATCAATCGTCGATACCCCAGGGTCCTGCATAAGCCCATCAGCAGAAACCCTGTTATCAAAGTTCTGAATAGGTAAATATCTTCAATAACTTCCAGAGACAGAGCAGCCAGGCACACGATGCGCCATTTCTTCCACCCGTCCATCACGTATCCAGCTTTAAACGTCCCCGCAGGACAAGTGGGCTCTCCCGAGCCCAAACTTCTCGTCGAGAAGATGTTGTCAATCGCATTCAGAGACCATTTGATCAAATCCATAATTTCTTATTCGTTTGGAGAGCAGGGCACGGAGAGCCTCAGAGGTAGACTAAGGGTGCTTTCACATCTGTAGTTCGCTTCATTTGGTGTGGACCAAGGGTAAAAAATTATACATTGTTGCATTTTCTGCCGTCTTTGGGTCGTTTTCACACCACACTGCTGGCTTTGGTCCGAACCAGTTGAATTAAACCAAAATGCAGTCATCTGACAAAATCCACATCTCTCATTGGCCAGATGTTGTTGAACATATTTCCTAAACTGCTTATTGATTGGTCAGAATTCACGTGCGTGAAAAGGCAGTGAACTCCCGCAGGTAAACAAAACCTTTTACTCTGGAGGAACGACTGCGCTGGCTGATTGTATCCCTGCTTTAGATAAACTATATATTACGAAAATGAAGCGCGGCCACGGCTGGAAAACAGTGTTTAATGCATCACTCGTCAATTCAGGAGGAGACGTGAATTAATTTAGCTAAACTGCAACATGGTCATCTTGCGGAAATATTTCCATTGATCCATCAAGTAATGTTTTCCCCTCTCTCTCTCTCTCTGTTAGTACAGCGCTGTCGACAAATATTTTTCGTCCATATGCCATAATGCACAGCGCATCGGTCTACGGCAGCTGAATTAGTCCAAAACGCGCAGTACTTTTTGCGTCTGGACTTGTTATAGTACGGATCATATTCTCACCACAAACGAACCGTTCCAGGGTTCGTTTGAAAGCGTACCTAGACCACCTCTTTAAGCAGGTCTCGGTACGCTTATTTGGTCCGCTTTTGGTGCTTGCTTGAGTACGATTGCTGCATTCTCACCTGCCCAAACGAACCATACCAAAAGGGGAAACGAACTCTAGTGCGATTCAGTCGAACTAAATAAGGCAGGTGTGAAAGCACCTTAAGACGAAGACAAAAGGAGCTAGCAAGGAGAGATATTGGACGGAGTGGAAAACAGTGCAACCGCCTTCGCCAAGAGCCAAAGAAAGAATACACTTATTTAACAACACACTTTACATGTCGGTTTGGACTTGACATCTGCACATATAAGGTTGTATACAGTAATATACCTGTACATACCCTTGTAAATTTCTATATTTGCAATCACTACTTCTATTTTTAAAATATATTCATTATCTGTTTTTGTCCTGTCTCTGTAATTCTGTTGCACTGTAGATGTTCTGTCACGAAAACAAATTCCTCGAATGCGTGAACATACCTAGCAATAAAGCTCTTTCTGATCAAAAAAGATTAATAAAAAATATGTGTTTGTTTGTTGTGAATATGCACCCTCTAGCGTCAGAACTGTCATACTGTGCCTTTAGTAAGTTTTCACCAGTTGTGAATAACATCATTTAAGTTTGGGCTTGTTTTATCCATCATTGTGTTTTGCAGTCCTTCACACTCTGGTAAGAAACCGGACTGTTGGCCCAGCTGAGTCTGAACCCAGAAGCCTGCCTAGTTCTGCTCATGTATGTATCACACAAAACACACATTTGACACAATGACAAGACTTTTTTCCCTCACTTTTTTTGTGATTTATCTACATTAACCTTTGTCTTATTGCTCTCTATTTCTGCATGTCTCTGACTATAGACTGAACCCACTGTTGATTAAACAGTAAGTTTTCAGTATGTGTATGTGAGGTGGGAATGTTTTACTCATTATTATTATTACACAGTTCTGTGGAATACTTTTGAGTATGATTGTTAATCCTAACATTCAGAGTTATGCTAGTATTCACCGATAGCCACCACCAGTTTCAATAACACAGGTTCATCCAAGTAGCCTACTACGAATCATCTTGACCGTTTATTCACTCAGCCGACATGACTGTTTGGCGCCATCTGGTGACTGAAAATTAAAATCAGAGTATAGTAGGATATTGAAGCCTGTGTTTAGCTAGCCGTTTGCAAGCTTTGTATAAGGAAGGGATAAGTAAAATTTTCCAGTTCAAATCAACGTTTTGTGTAAAATTGTTTGTTTTGTAGTAAGTAATCAGTAAATTGGGATGAAAGCAGGATAATGTACACTGAGCTGGTTGTTTTCTCAGAATGAATCCCTTTAGTCTTATACAACAGATAAACCTGTCTGCTTTATTCTGCAAAGTAAACCTGCTGGATGTACATTATCCCCTGCTAGTTTGTTCATTTATTCAATTATTTTTTTTCACACAGATGTACAGGCGGCCAAAGTGATCTAAGAAGACAGAATACAACACGACATGCAAGAGATTGGTGAAAACCTAAACAAAACTTTGACAACAGAAGTATTATATAGTCTCATTGCAAAGACCTCACTGAGTGAATGGTAATTCACCTTCATCTGCACTATTTTAGACGTAGTGTTTTGTCAAAGGTGGAGTTCTGGAGTTCAACGGTTAATATGTACAGTGCATCCGAAACGTGTTCATAGCGCTTCACTTTTTCCACATTTTTTTTATGTTACAGCCTTATTCCAAAATGGATTAAATTATTTTTTTTTTCTCATAATTCTACACACAATACCCCATAATGACAATGTGAAAAAAGAGTTTTTGAAATGGTTGCAAATTTATAAAAAAAAAAAAAAGCTGAAAAATCACATGTACATCAGTATTCACAGCCTTTGCACAATACTTTGTTGCTGCGCCTGTGGCAGCAGTTACAGCCTCAAGTCTTTTTTAATATGATGCCACAAGCTTGGCACACCTGTATTTGGGAATTTTTGCCCATTCCTCTTTGCAGTACCTCTCAAGCTCTGTCAGGTTGGATGGGAAGCAACGGTGTACAGCCATTTTCAGATCTCTCCAGAGATGTTCAATAGGATTTAGGTCTGGGCTCTGGCTGGGCCACTCAAGAACATTCACCGAGTTGTCGTGAAGCCACTCCATTGATATTTTGGCGGTGTGCTTTGGGTCATTGTCCTGCTGGAAGATGAACCTTCACCCCAGTCTGAGGTCAAGAGCATTCTGAAGCAGGTTTTCATTCAGGATGTCTCTGTACATTGGTGCGTTTATCTTTCCCTCTATCCTGACTAGTCTTCCAGTTCCTGCTGCTGAACATCCCCACAGCATCATGCTGCCACCACCATGCTTCACAGTAGAGATGGTATTATCCTGGTGATGAGCGGTGCCTGGTTTTCTCCAAACGTAACTCCTGGCATTCACTCCAAAGAGTTCAATTTTAGTCTCATCAGACCAGAGAATTTAATTTCTTATGGTCTGAGAGTCCTTCAGATGCCTTTTGGCAAATTCCAGGCGGGGAGTGTCTTCCGTCTGGCCACTCTGAAGGCCTGATTGGTGGATTGCTGCACAGATGGTTGTCCTTCTGTAAGGTTCTCCTCTCTCCACAGAAGAACGCTAGACACCTCCCTGACTTAAAGCCTGGTTTATACTTCTGCGTCAAGTGACCGGCGTAAACCACGGCGCATACAACACCCGTAGCTGTGCATTTATACTTCTGCGCGCTGTCTCTTTTGGTCTGCATTAACACTTCCGAAACGCTAGTTGGCAGTGAGGTGTAAATGTTCCTCTGTGTCGAGTTTCTTCGCTGCTGTTTTGCTTTTCCTGAACACTTCCGGGATGTACAAGTGGCTCAAACTCGCTCATTTTGAGGTAAAACTATCTATAGTTTAAAACTACTATAAAACTATGAGGTAAACACAAAACAAAACTTTCCATCCGGAGCTCCTTCACGGGACTCCACACTTGTAAACAATCGCTTCATCAGGCTCGCACCATTCACGCAGCTCTCGGTCCCGCCCAGACTCGTCAGCGCTACCAAGCCGACCAATCACAGAGCTTGTGCTACGCGTCGTTGCGACGTGTAGTTAAATTTTTTGAGAGGTGCACGTCAGCGACGCCGACGGCCACGGCGAAGGGCTATGCGTCAGCGCCGTAGCATACGCCGGCGTTTGACGCAGAAGTATAAATCAGCCTTAAGGCCCTTCTCCCCCGATCACTCAGCTTAGATGGCCGGCCAGCTCTAGGAGGAATCCTGGTGCTTCCAAACATCTTCCACTTACTGATAATGGAGGCCACTGTGCTCATTGGAACTTTCAGAGCAGCAGAAATTTTTCTGTAACCTTTAAATGAATTTTATCCATTTTAGAATAAGGCTGTAACATACAAAAAAATGGGGAAAAAGTGAAGTGCTATGAATACTTTCTGGATGCACTGTATATCTGCTTATAATTAGAATATGTCAGTGTCCTCAACACAATAGTTTGGAAGTCATTTGTTGTTCACTGCACATATTTCGTCCACTGGCATTTAAAGGGAAAATTCAGCCAAAAATCTAAATTCTGTCATCATTTACTCACTCTTCAAATGTTCAGAACCTATTTGAGTTCCTTCAAGTAGAATATATTTTTGTAAATGCTGGTAGTTGACACCCTATGACTTCAACAGGCTCCAGTAACCTGCATTCTTCAAAAAATATCCTTTTTGTGTTCAACAGAAGAAAGAAACTTATAAAGGTTTAAAAAGCAGTTGGCGGAACGATCCCTTTAAATATAACTGAATAGAAAAACAAGACATTCAGCAGATGATATTTTGTTTATCATGTAGCATTAATTTGCATGTATTGCATCTGCAGGGATTTTGTAATACTAATATTCTAATAAAAAGTTTATTCAGTCTTTCTATTGAATTGTTTGTGTGTTCCTCATAGGAAAAGACTTGTAGAATTGATTACATTTACATTTAGTCATTTAGCAGATGCTTTTGTCCAAAGTGACTTACAATTGAGGAGAGATTCAGCGATTCAACAAGAATAGGCAATATGTTGGCGCAATAGCCTAGTGGTTAGCGAGCCAACATATGGTGCAATAGCACGTCAGGGCGTCGTGAGTTCAAATCCTGGCTCGATGACATTTCCCTACCCCCTCTCTCTCTCTCTCTCTCTCTCTCCCACTTCGCTTCCTGTCTCAATACTGTCCTATCTAATAATAAAGGCCAAAAATAAATCTTTAAAAAAAAAAAAAGAATAGGCAATACACACAAGAAGTGCTAGTTATACAAAGGAACTTGCTTGTGCTGAAAGAATTTAGCGTTTGAGTAAGAGCGCTTTTTTTGAGGGAGAGAGAGAAAGTGCTTTACGGGTGGTCTTGGTTTTATTCATCTGGGTTAAGGTGCTCTAGGAAGGGATGGGTTTAGTTATGTGAAGGATACCAGTGAATCCGCAGTTGTTGTGGGAATGGCAAGATTACAAGTAACTTTAGAGTTTAAAAGCAAACAGCATATGCTGGTAAGGTATGTTTATATATGCTGTTCTCAGTGTTGGGCTGGTCTTGTTGGTTGTCTTACATTGAAACCAGCAAGACCAGCATCAAAACTTTGCCAGCATATGTTAATTTTTAAAGAAGGGTTATCTTTCTTTGTTAATTAAAACTGAATTAATTCCAATAATTTGGCCTAATTTACATAATTAACACCGTTAATGCAAATTATTGCCTAATGTTCAGTAATAATAAAGACACAATTTTATGAAAGCTCCAAGTGTTCATAAAAGCTGCACATTTATCAAATTTAATCACTGCATTGTGCAGACATATTAGTCTAGTCTATAAATATATGACATTTCAGGATTATCTGAAAGATCGGTGTGGGTTTAGACAACTCTTTGTATGTTTGTGATGTTGTATATCGTCATTTATGGACATGTTTTGTTATTAATATATGTTAAAATCATACCTGCCAACACTCCTGTGTTTCCCAGGAGTCTCCCGTATTTCACACCCATCTCCCGCCACCCTCCTGTTTTGTACTTTTGTCATTTCTCTGGAAAATCTCCCCTAATAAACTCCACCTCTACCCTCTCTCCCCTCCCACTCTGGTTATTATCTTTTTGGTACAGTATCCCCCGCTCAACTGTAGTAGGCCTTGTCCATCGTCTCCGCCGCTGAGGGTCTGTCTGCGGAAACATGAAGGGGGTGTAACTTGTGGTAGAGATGTAACTTGAAGTTATGGAGACTCACATGCCAAAACTATATTGTTGGCAAGATGATTTTTCTGGGAGTGATCATGCTCTTAATCGTTAACTTTTTGTGTAACACTATTTTTTATCCGCAAAAATAAGTTCCTAAAGACAATACTTGCACTCTAAAAAATAACTCAAGAGGTCTGTTACCACTACAAAGTTTAATACATTATTGTAACTTAAAAATTCTAAAATCCTGATTAGATTAAAACTTTTATTTTGGTTTTCAAAACAGGAACATATTGATAATTACATCAATTTAAAAATGCGGCTAATTTAAAGGTAAATATATCTGTCAATTACTTTAAAGCATTATTTAACTTGTAGCAACCCAAAGAAATTGGGTTGATAACTCAATTTTTCCACACAAATGGAATTTTTATTTTTGTATTTTTAAGTCCACACACTGATGTTTTTTGTTATTTTTTATACTGATAATATGGGACAGTTCATGCTTTTGTTTTGTAAAACAGTGGAAACCTGTAGTTTAATACAAAAAACTAATTACCGGAAAACAAAAATGTTGTTGTTAAATGTATTTCTTACAAGCATGAACAGTGCTAAAAACTTAATTTATTTGAGGTTCTGAACTTGAAAACGTGCATGTAATTAAGTACTCAACAGTGGATTTGTTTGCAATTTTTATTTAAAAACTAATTTAAACAACTTTTTTTTTTTGAGTACTCGATTTAAAAATTTTAGTTTTTTTTTTTTTTGCTATGTAAAAATGCCTCTGATTAAAGAGAAAAAAATTTGGCTAACATAGTGAAGTTTGTTGTCTGAACCTCATTTTCTTAGATGCTGTCGCAACTTGAATATATTAATGCAAACTGTTTTGTTTTGACTAAACAATATTTTTAGAGTGTAGATTTGATATTTTTCTTGCTGAAATGTCATTCATCTCTTAAATTTATTAGTATTAAGAAGACCCATGACTTTCTTAAAACGTGATAATATTTTTCTTAATGACTGATGCTTTGTAAAGATAATAAGGGCTTATGCTTTGTAAAGATACTAATGGCTGATGCTTTGTAAAGATAATAATGACTGATGCTTTGTAAAGATAATAATGACTGATGCTTTGTAAAGATAATAAAAATTCTCTCTGTTATTCAAGACTATTTCTTCGTTATAAATTTTGAAAAACATCTCACAAACATACAGAATAAAATGGACTAATGTTTAATAGGTCTGCACAATATACAATGCATCCGGAAAGTATTCATTTGTCTAAGATAAACCCACAAATATAAACGCTGTTTTACTCCGAGTCGTAAGATGGCGACAGTCCTCCCTGTCATCTCTGAATCTTCTTCTGACGTGTCAGCTTGGTAAACAGTCGAGTCTACATGTAAAATATGTACAGTACTTTAGTAGCAGATTTGTTTTACAGTGTAGGTTCGTCATACCACCATGAACACTGATGATTTTTAAAGAGCATAATCATTTTGTTTAAAATTAAGCTGGTGCTTCTCCAGACAGGATGAATTTTGGTTCTAAAGGCAAAAAGCGGATGGTTCTGCCGACCCGACCTGATCCGCCGACAGTGGAGCAGATAATGGAGGATGTGAACCGTGCCTATCCCAATGATCCAGTGTTCACTGTTTTACACACTTCTGCTGAAGGTACTGACGAGAATATTTCAGTGCAGTGGCTTTAAAAACTTTACTAACATATTTCAACCACAACGTTTTACACAGCATCACATAACTTACAAAGGTTACATTAGTTTAGAGACGTAAAAATGTAAATAATGTTAAATAGGAGTATAAGTGCACACCCTGATGCAGACGAACAACTGATGTAGAGTATGTTATCGGTACAACGTTACTTTCCCTTATTATGCTTTACCAACCTTAATAACGTTAACGTTAGATAAACTAAAAATAAAAGCGAAACTTCACTGATTCTAACTTTAAATGAATGGGTAAGCCTGTATTAAGGTAAAGTTGCCCTACTGAAAAAAAACAGCTCAAACCAGCCTAGGTTGGTTTTAGCTGGTTGACCACCTTACTGAAAAAACCAGCTTAAACCAGCCTAGGCTGGTTGGCTGGTTTTAGCTGCTCGACCAGGCTGGTTTTAGAGGGGTTTTGGCCACTTCCAGGCTGGTTTCCAGCCAAAACCAGCTATGTCCAGCTTAAACCAGGCTTGTCAAGCTGGTTTTAGCTGGTCATTTTCCAGCCTGACCAGCTAAGAACAGGCTGGAAATGGCTGGAAACCAGCCTGGAAATGGCCAAAACCCCTCTAAAACCAGCCTGGTTGACCATCTAAAACCAGCCAACCAGCCTAGGCTGTTTTAAGCTGGATTTTTTCAGCAGGGCAGCCTGGTTTTATAGGGGTTTTGGCCATTTCCAGGCTGGTTTCTAACCATTTCCAGCTTGGTTTTAGTTGGTCAGGCTAAGGGATGACCAGCTAAAACCAGCTTGACCAGCTTAGCCAGACAGGGAGCCCAGCCAAAGCCAGCTATGTCCAGCTTAAACCAGGCTGGTCAAGCTGGTTTTAGCTGGATTCAACTGGTCATTTTCCAGCCTGACCAGCTAAGACTAGGCTGAAAATGGCCAAAACCCCTCTAAAACCAGGCTGGTCAACCAGCTAAAACCAGCCTAGGGTGGTTTCAGCTGATTTTTTCAGAAAAGCCCAGACCTAGATTTGACTATCAAATTATACAATTCATTGTCCACAGTCAAATAAATAGTGCTAATGTGGTTTCCAAGTCATACTTGCATATGATTTCAGACAGAATATTTAAAGTACCATGATAAACACTGCATAATAGTGATAATATGACACGTCTTTCTCTGGCTCAGCGCCAGCCAACGCACCAAAGCTCAGTTTGAATTTTTCATGTCATGCTGCTTTTGTTTATTTAGTGTGAAATGCTCCTCCCACACCTAATTTGTTGCAAACGATTTTAGTAATTGATTTTAATCGTATTGTTGTTGCAGCCAATTTCTTGTTCCCAAATGGCTTAAAATTGCTAAAATCTTAGTCGCAAGCCTTAAAAACACATCCGACTAAAAATCTTTCACACTAATAGTAATAGATTATAGTTAAAGTTCACAATGACTCCACAAATCATGTGTACTAATCTGTGATAATCCCAACTAAACATTGCACATGACGTGACGTGTCTATTGCAGATGCGCACGTTGGGATATTGATATTGTGCCTTAATTCACATGGTGCTATAATGCTAAAGTTAATATTTCGTTTTCAGTTGTCGTTCATTCATTCTCTAATTTTTAATCAGCTTAGTCCCTTTATTCATCAGGCGTCACCACAGCGGAATGAACCATCAAGCTGCAACCCAGTACTGGGAAACTCCTATACACTGTTACAATCACACACATACTCTACAGCCAATTTAGTTTATTCAATTCACCTAGAACATGCAAACCCCACACAGAAATGCTAACTGGGACTTGAACCAGCGAACTTCTTGCTGTGAGGTGACTGGTGCTAACCACTGCACCATTATGCCACCCTTTCAAGTTGTTGTCGTTGATCTATTTTTATTATTAATGATTGATTAAAGGATTGTGTTATTGAATATTGCAGACCAACATCATCATGTTTTCGGTATTGGGTATTCGCTAGTGTGATTGCACTTTTGTATGCATGACAGTAATATTTGGCCTTGACACTAACTTCAGGTGTGGTTTTCAGATTTGAAGGGCATTTCCAGCAACGGTGAAGTGGAGGAGAGGTTCCAGCAGAGCAGGCGCTACATAGAGCTTCATGAGCGATTGCAGGAGGAACGCGGCAATCTTGCACGGCGGAGAGACGAGTTGCGCGCGGCTGGAAAATCTTTGGAGAACAGTGTGATAGAGGTGAAAAGTAGCGCAATGTGACTTCCGAACATTCACAGCGCCATTTCATGAACTGGAGATTGACTTTAGTCGAGGATTGGGCATGGCACTTGTGAATGCATCAAAATAAAGCTTCAGATCCATAGAAGAATGCTGAGTGTTCTTCCTATTGGACATTGCATTTGTATACTAAAGTAGGAAGGTTTTAATCCAGATTTAATCGTCGCCAACTGTTTTAGTGTGTTGCATAGAAATGAAAGGCACAGGATTATAAAAACATGATTTTGGAATGCTGGTCTTTGTTAAGAAATCACTAGCATTTGGCTTTAGCCTCATCATCATCATTTTTTTGCTATTTGCTCATCATCATCATTTTTTTGCTACTTTGTATGTGATGAATCTGTTTGGTGTATTTTGTGTGTTCAAAATACAGTAAGTACAAAGATATTCAGGTTGTATTGTAAAAAAGTACCTGTCTGAATATACTGATTAGTCATTTGTTATTCACATCATCATTTTAAATCATGTTTAAAAGCTTGTCCGTGCAGAAATCCTTTATTTTAAAATAAGTGTAAATGTGTAAAAGCCCAGTGCACCAGGAAAGTATTCATAGCGCTTCACTTTTTCCACATTTTTTATTTTACAGCCTTATTCCAAAATGGATTAAAGTCAATAACCCATAATGACAATGTGAAAAAAAGAGCTTTTGCAAATTTATTAACAATAAAAAACCTGAAAAATCACATGTACAGAAGTATTGCTCAATACTCTGTTGCTGCGCCTGTGGCAGCGGTTACAGCCTCAAGTCTTTTTGAATATGATGCCACAAGCTTGGCACACCTGTATTTGGGAATTTTTGCCCATTCCTCTTTGCAGTACCTCTCAAGCTCTATCAGGTTGGATGGGAAGGGATGGTGTACAGCCATTTTCAGATCTCTCCAGAGATGTTTAATAGGATTTAGGTCTGGGCTTTGACATTCACTGAGTTGTCGTGAAACCACTCCATTGATATTTTGGCGGTGTGCTTTGGGTCATTGCTGGAAGATGAACCGTCGCCCCCAGTCTGAGGTCAAGAGCACTCTGAAGCAGGTTTTCATTCAGGATGTCTCTGTACATTGGTGCATTTATCTTTCCCTCTATCCTGACTAGTCTACCAGTTCCTGCTGCTAAACATCCTCACAGCATCATGCTGCCACCACCATGCTTTACTGTAGTGATGGTATTAGCCTGGTGATGAGCGCTGTCTGGTTTTCTCCAATCGTAACACCTGGCATTCACTCCAAAGAGTTCAATTTTAGTCTCATCAGACCAGAGAATTTAGTTTCTTATGGTCTGAGAGTCCTTCAGATGCCTTTTGGCAAATTCCAAGCAGGGAGTGTCTTCCGTCTGGCCACTCTACCAAACAGGCCTGATTGGTGGATTGCTGCACAGATGGTTGTCCTTCTGTAAGGTTCTCCTCTCTCCAGAGAAGAATGCTGGAGCTCAGACAGAGAGACCATCGGGTTATTGATAACCTCCCTGACTAAGGCCCTTCTCCCCCGATCACTCAGCTTAGATGGCCGGCCAGCTCTTGGAGGAGTGCTGGTGGTTCCAAACATCTTCCACTTACGGACGATGGAGGCCACTGTGCTCATTGGAACTTTCAGAGCAGCAGAATTATTTCTGTAACCTTCCCCAGCCTTGTGCCTCGAGACAATCCTGTCTCCAAGGTCTATAGACAATTATCTGCGTATTTTGTCTGCTGATGCTAGTGGGCTGGTTGGTTACTAAAGGTGAAATGTTTCTGGTTTGCCTTGATGGATTCTGCATGAATGGTATTCTGACAGGAGATTTCTGTGTTTTCCTGTCTATAGGGGATTTAGAGTTTTGATCAATGTTTGAATTTCTTCCTCTTCTGTCTGGCGGGCTGGATGGTGCTGATGCCACCTTCTCTGTTCCTTTTATGGGAGGCTGGGAGGTTACTTTTTTCTGAGGTTGCCTGGATGGTGTTGAGCTTTGTGATGATCCTGATGATGAGCTCTTCGGTATCCTGGCAGGTGGCGTTGAGCTTCTTTTGGGCAAAGACAATTGAGTGGACTCCATGGGTTGGCCCAGTCTGTGAAGGCTTCTTGACCTATGTTGAGCTAGATTTGGATTTTTAGGGGCATCTGCTTTCGGTGACACCTTTTTAGGTGGTGGTCTCTGAGAGAGTGTTGTCTCCTTTTTGGGTGTGTATATCACTGTTCTACCCCTGAAGACCACAGGGAAGTTTGGTACAGGTTTACGAGGGGCAAAATCAAGCGGTTTATTAGCCTTTTTGTCATCTTTGTATACTTTCTTCTCTTTAGGAGTAAAGCTTGAGCCAGACATAAATGACAAAACTGACTCAGACTCTGATGAGGGTTCCTGGGACTTTGAAGCTTGTAACTTGGTTATGATTGTATTCGCTCCTTCTTGTATTGCTCTCCATTCAACACTATTGAGATCAGAGTCCTTGTCTGATGCCATTTCATCACTATCTAGGTCATTATCAAGACCCCTGTCCTCTGCTGCTTTCTGAAGAGTAGCTTTTTGTTTGTGCTTTTTCTCAGCTTTTCGTTTTCGGGCAGCTTGCCTTTTCTTGTGTTGTGGCATAGCAGATGTTATGCATTTTATCAAAAGATCATCTTCTGAATCCATGCTGACTGAACTAGGCGAGCTGTTCTCTTCAAACTGGTTGAGGTCTTTCTGTGACTTTGGATGGCACTGAAGGTTGGACATTATGTTATGTCTATTCTTTATCCACGTATGTTGAGGATTTTCATGTTCCTCAAATTCAGCATCACTTAAAGAACTAAGAGAGGAACTCAAAGAGTAGCATGGAGGTGCTTCTTCTAAAATTAGATTTTGTTTGATTCTGTGAAAACCATTTTGGCGGGACTGATAACTGTTGACTTGATCTTGTATGTTAGCATTACGTATTATATTGCTTGAATCATATTGTTGTTTCCGTCCAGTCCTATTCATCTGTCCATCATGCCTTTCCATTTTATGACAAATGCCTTCTGTAGATGATGGATGACGCCTCGACTTTAGGGATAGAGTGTTTTCCTGCACATGACTTAGATAGCAGGTTTTCTGATTTTGGTACACCTCAGTGCTTTGTTTTCTCATGGGAAAATCCAACTGTGGCATGCTTCTTGACAGATTCTGTCCTTGCTTTTGAATTTGTCTAACTGGAGACTGGCTTTGAATTCGTTGCTGGGTCATTTTTGCTGCCATCTCTTTACTTTGTATTAGTAATCTCTGAGTGGGAACCATTCTTCTGATCGTTTTGTTCAGTTGATTCGTGACTAGGTGAGACTGACATGCTATTTTAGTTGGTTTGTGGAAGCGAGAGAACATGCGTAGGTCTTCAATTCTCTTTGCCTCGATATCAACAAGCTCTTGTGTCTCTTTGTTTCTTCGCCAGTCTTTCATGCCTTTAGTTCTGGCTGGATATTGAAGAGTTTCATCACTCAAGGAAGTGGTGCTTGAGAAATTGATGGGTGTACCTTCGGCAGAGTCTGTGTAAGAGGAATCATCATGATAGATTTCTTTCGAAGACATTCCAAGCTTTTGTCCAGTACACATTTGATTGTTTTTGTTCTGCAGCACCATATAAACTGGCACAGATTTTCGAGCCTGCATGTTGATTACTTGGTTTGAGAGACTGGGTATCACAGTGGACCTTACCTTCTTAAACCTGGAAGGCATGGCGGAATTAATGCACTCTTTGAGAATTTCAATGTCATCATCTGAGTTGCCTTCACTATATTGGTCTTCCATATCCTCTTCTTTTTCAGACTCCTCTGGATCATTGTCTTGTTGGTTTAGCAAAGGGGTAAGTTTGAGCTCCACATCTTTCTGAACATAGTGTTCATGCAGTGGAAGGGCACTCAGACTTGAGGCACACGAGAAATTCTCAATCGGCTTTTCCACAGTGAAATAGATCATTGTGTCCAAATCCTGAGGTAGGTTAAACCTTTCTTTAAAGTCTGCAATTTCCATAAACTTGCGCAAACTACTCTCCCATTGGCTTCCTACACCACTAAGATTCTGAGCATCTGCTCCACCTGACTCTGGACAGCATGGAGTTTTACTGCGACTAGGAGGCATTGTTTGTCCCGGGCTGTCTGGTAGGTCACTGGGGCTTACAGTTCCACTTATCATTTCACTACATGGATCACTCTGAATAGAGCTGGCAATTGAAGGAGATTCAAAGCTGCCAAGTGAGCTCACTGAACTACAGCGACTCATTACAAGAGGTGTTTCGTGAATGTAGTTGTCCGAAGAACTGGATGGCGTCCTGTCCTCAAGTATTACTGGGGACACTCCTCTAAGGAACCTCTTCTCATTTTTGATTGTACCAGAGATCTCAATTGGGTCAGAGCTACTGATTTTCTGATCAGTTACTAATAACTGACTGTCACTCAAGTCATCAAGTGTCTCGTTCTCATCCTCTTCATCTTTTCTCTCAACATTCACGTCTTCTACCTCTATGATTTCCAATGAGGAGTCACTTTCTAGCTCATTTTCAGTTTGACTTTGTCCATCAAGAGCTCCATCCCCAGAGGACAAAGAGGACAGAGAACTGCAACGAGAGAAGCATATTGGAGTGTTCTCTACAGAATACTTCTGAGGAGTTTCCAGCTGTCCTATTGTGGGACTTCTTGCAGAACATATTGGGGAAAACTTGCTAATGCTTCCACCAGTCATAACTGCTGGAACCCAAGCTTGCCTGCGCATTGCTTGAGCTGCCTGAACATTAATTGCAGTCTTTGCAACACCAAACTTGGCAACACTCTGGATCAGTGGAACATGCTGATAGGAGGGAGACAACTTGACAGTTGGTATGCTAGTTTCTGAAGAAACCTTTGTTGAAACAGTTGCAGGGGTTGATATAAATGGCTCTTGGCTTTTCTCTGTATCTGTGGATCCTGAATCAGGCAAAATAGCATCTTTGTTTGCCTCGAAATCTCTTTCAGGTATTTCATTTTGACACAAGACTCTTGAAATATGTACACCACTAGTCAGTGGTTCCTCATGAGCTACCTTAAGGTCAAGCTTATTTGGACGTCGTTGTTCTGTTGGTCTGGCAGAGGGATGAGTCTGGTCTTGACTGCCACAATAGCCATCACTGATGCTACCACTGTTAAGGCTGTCATTGGATAAGCTTGAGTTTGTTGTTTTAAGACGCATAAAGGCATGTGCTCTGCTGAGACGCTCTTTAGGAGAAAAAGTGCTGCTATCTGAGAGAGGACATGGGGAGCATGAAATGGCTCTCGCTTCATGAAGCTCATCTGGCCCGTAATTCCAATCCAAAAAATGATCTTCTGAACTGAGACTGAAGCTGTCCTCTGATGATGTATGCATGGTAATGTCATCTACCAGTTTGTCAATTTTAGCCACTGTGTTGGTGATCTTCTTGGCCAATTTTTCAGCTGCCACAGTCACTTCGTCGTCAGGAGGTTGTGATCTTTTAATGTCTGTTTGAAAGGTTTCAATGTCTTGCTCGGGCTCCCCCTCGCGCTTACGAAGCTGCGTATTAAGGAAGTTAGAATTGTTCAAGAACATGGAGAGCATGGAAAATGTCCCAGTGTCCAGGCTGGTGGATACATTAGGTGCTTCATCATCATCAAAACAGCCTGAATCTGAAGCATAGTCCTTTGCTAGGCTCTCAATATGCCTCAATGGCTTGTTTATATTGGCATGCTTGAAACTTTGCTTCTCAAGTGTGTCAAATGTTTCTGCTAGATGCTTTGCATCCAACTCAGCCTCTAATGCTTTCTGCTTCCTCATATAGAGGGACGGCATGCATGATCCCGGGGATATAACAGCTGCATCTTTATATTTGAGTGGACGATTTGTGAGGAGGTTTCGCAGAGCTGCAGCACTTCCCATGGCTATCATTTTGTGCTTTGAGTTGATGAGATTGCGTAGCATGCTTACAGCTCCCAGATCCCACAGCAATTCCTGGTCTTTTGGACTTCGTGCAGACAGGTTCCAGAGGGTTCCACACGCATTACTCACAATAGTCAAACTGTGAGATCGCAAATGCTGTAGCAGAGTCTGAAGGCAGTTATGATCCCTGAGGATTTGCCTGCATTAGGAAAACAGGAGAAATTTAAGTAATATTACTGATAATTTAACCAAGAGCTCTGTTTATTTTGTAAATGTAAACAAACTTGATACCTGTAATCATCTCGGGTGGCGATGAGGCTGGACACATTGCGCAGAATGCCTCCACCGCTCTCAATAATGGCCAGTGAGTTGGTTTGGCATCGGTAAGTCAAAGTGCTAACCAAAAAGCCAAGAGCACCATCAACAGAGCAAATTGCCACCTTATTCTCAGTGCTGTGCGCTGACAAATTCCACAGTGCACTTAACACACTCTTTAATGTGGATTCCTATGGAGAAGACCATGAAAAGTTTAATACTGAGTGGTAATGAAACACCACTTTTAATGACTGAAATCATAAAGAAATTGATTGTACCTTTGTAGCCTGCAATGCACAAGTCATAAGTCCTGATACACTGCCGACATCCCTCAAAGCCCTCTTACTATTGATATCAGCACGCCATGACAGGTTTCTTAGTATACTTGACACAACCTAAAAATAATGACAGATCACAGAAATGTTGTGAGTCAAATACTTAGAAATGGTTGAATCAAAAAATACTATTAAAACTATTAAAAAGTAGCTTAAATACCTGCTGTAATTCCTCGCTATCTGATGCTAGCTGTGCAACGATGGCTTGAAGACAATTTTTCTTTGAGCAAAGTGTAGCCTGAGAAAGTAAATAAAGGTATATTTGTCAACATCACAAAAAGACAAGTTTTGAAAAAAGCTGCATGTGTCGTTAACTGCTAAATTAATTCACTTTTAACCATAATTACATTTATCATTTGTTTTAATATTTGTCTTTTATACATGTATGCAATCATTTGAAAAAAGTACCTTATTTACAACATCTCCATATGTAAGATTAGTGACCGCCATTCCTGCGTAACGCCGGAGAGCCATATTGATTGGCTCATTGTGCATGCCATACAGTTCTTGGTCCAGCTGCATTAGCTCCGCTATAGCTTGGAGGCCCCCTAAAATGTGGAATTAACACTTTTAGTGTGTTCTTTCTTCACAGCAAATGTACACTACCCAAGTCTTGCCGCCTATCCAAGTTTTAGAAACAATACATAATAATTTGACTTCTAGTTGATCAATTGAAATGAAAAGGGGCCCTTTGCAGAATTCCCAGAGTTCATCAAGATTCTTCGGATTCATCTTTAATGCCTCCTTCTTTATCTTACCCCGGACATTCTCAATAATGTTTATGTTGGGTGATTGGGCTGGCCAACCCTAGAGCACCTTGACCTTCTTTGCTTTCAGGAATTTTGATGTGGAGGCTGAAGTATGAGAAGGAGCGCTATCTTGCTGAACAATTTGCCCTCTCCTGTGGTTTGTAATGTAAAGGGAAGCACTAATGTCTTGGTACCTCAGGCTGTCGATGTTGCCATCCACTCTGCAGATCTCTTGCATGCCGCCATACTGAATGTAACCCCCAAAGCATGATTTTTCCTTCACCAAACTTGACTGATTTATTTAAGAATCTTGGGTCAAATCCGGTTCAAATAGGTCTTCTGCAATATTTGTGATGAGTGGGATGCAGTTCAACAGATGATTCATCACTTGCTACTTTTCCAAATGATCAACTAGAAGTCAAGTTATTATTTGTTGCACTTACAACTGGGATCAACGACAAGACATTTGTCAGGTAGTGTACTTATTTCATACTCTTGGATATGTTATAAACAGGGCAATGACTTACCTAGTTCATTCATTGCCCTGCGATACTCTTCCTCGAAAGATAACTTCATTATTGCACACAAGGCCTGGCATATCTGGGGATCCACTGGCTCAGGGATTTCTGTTGATTTCAAAGTGAATCCATTTTATTATTAGGTATAACCTTTTTTATTTCTTATAAAACTTTTTGCAAAGAACAAGTGACTGCTCATGTAACACATGGACTTCACCAGAGCTTACCTGTGGTTTTGCTACCACCGGGTGAAGGGGTACTTAAATGGTTCTCAATCCAGTCCCATCCATTTTCGCAGTGGGAGCGAATCTGCTCCAGCACATGGAGAACTCTCATCTCACGTCGTGCTTGACCCTCATCTGGCTGTGAATACACGATGTTGTGCAGTGCAGCACTGGCTCTGGAACGGGCTTCTCGACTGTAGCATCCTGTCCCAGCTGCCTCCCCGGTGCCCCCCTCGTGTAGTATTTGTACAAGCAGCGGGACACAGCCAGACTTGCGCATAGCAATGCAGCTTTCCTGTGAGCTTGACATTGCCAGAAGGGTACGGGACATTTCCTCCCGATCTCTGGAGGCCAGCATGGAAAGTAGCCAAAACACCATCTCCACCTGCAACCCAAATATAGTGTAACTACAGCTGACATATAATATCTATACAGTTTATTATTACTATGGTTTCTGATTACAACTATATGAATTACACATGTAAAAGATTGTCATGGACACTAACATATTTGTACAGCTACTTTTGGAAATGATGTTAAAATGTATATATACTATGAAGGGTGAATTCTTGGGTAAGGTACTTCCCTATAAACAAGTTTCACATGTTAGGCCCTCTTGCATTAGGAGAACAATAGAAATTTAAGTCCTATCACTGATATATGTATGTTTTTTCAGGGTTTTTACCTTTAATGGACAGGATAGTGGAGTTTACAGACAAGAGAGTGTGGGGAGCAGAGAGAGGGGAAGGATCGGCTAAGGACCACAAGCTGGGAATCGAACTCGGGTTGCTGTGAACACCTCAGTGTTATGTATCAGCACTCTAACCACTAGGCTATTGGCGCTAACATCTCTGACTTTCATTCATTCATTCATTCATACATTTTCTTGTCAGCTTAGTCCCTTTATTAATCCGGGGTCGCCACAGCGGAATGAACCGCCAACTTATCCAGCAAGTTTTTACGCAGCGGATGCCCTTCCAGCCGCAACCCATCTCTGGGAAACATCCACACACATTCACACACACACACTCATACACTACTGACAATTTAGCCTACCCAATTCACCTGTAGCACATGTCTTTGGACTGTGGGGGAAACCGGAGCACCCGGAGGAAACCCACGCGAAGACAGGGAGAAACTCCACACAGAAACGCCAACTGAGCTGAGTTTCGAACTAGTAACCCAGCGACCTTCTTGCTGTGAGGCGACAGCACTACCTACTGCGCCACTGCCTCACCCATATCTCTGACTTTTATTATTATTATTATTTTTAAGACTTATTTTTGCCTTTATTTGACAGGACGGTAGTTGACAGGAATCTAAATGAGAGAAAGAAAGGGGTAGGATCAGGAAAAGTCTACAAGCTGGGATTCGAACTTGAGACAGCCAGAGTGCTTCCACACCATATGTCAGTGCGCTAACCACTGGGGTATTGCACCAACTCACTGATATTTTAACCGAAAGCTCTGTTTTTTATGTGAATAAACATTCATTCATTCATTCATTTTCTTGTCGGCTTAGTCTCTTTATTAATTTGGGGTCGCCACAGCGGAATGAACCACCAACTTATCCAGCAAGTTTTTAATGCAGCGGATGCCCTTGTTGATGTCTCTGGGAAACATACACACACACACACACTCTTACACTACAGACAATTTAGCCTACCCAATTCACCTGTACCACATGTCTTTGGACTGTGGGGGAAACCGGAGCACCCGGAGAAACCCACGCGAACGCAAACTCCACACAGAAACGCCAACTGAGCCGAGGATCGAACCAACGACCCAGCGACATTCTTGCTGTGAGGCGAACGTGCTACCCACTGCGCCAATAAGGCTGGACACATTGCACAGAATGCCTCCACCACTCTCAAAAATGGCCAACAAGTTGGTTTGGCATTGATAAGTCAAAGTGCTAACCAAAAACCCACCACCCTGATTGTTTTAGGCCCCGTTTACACTAGTGCGTTTTAGTTTGAAAACGCATAAATTTTGCTACGGTTACGCCATCCGTCCACACTACGCCGGAGTTCTCGAGTGCCGAAAACGGAGCGTTTCGAAAACGCTGGAGAGGCCGTTTTCATTCTAAAACGCTGCTGCTCCGTCTCAGTGTGGATGGGGAAAGACGGAGACATCTGAAAACGGAGGCGGGGCTGCAAACGTTCGCCTATCTGATTGGGGCTTTTCCTCAATATTAAGTAGTCCACACACAGTTCAGTCTCGCATCCTCTTCTTGTAAGTTCAGACTTCGCAAGTTTGATCAAGGCTGCAGTCTCCCCCTTCTCAGTTTCATATGGAAAACATACCGAGGACACGGGTAAATCTTCACAGGGAACAGTGTACTTTATAACTTCATTCACATCACCCTGGCTACGTTGTTTCACTTTCTCAACAATAAAATGTAAACATGATTTAAGGAACTGCCTATTTTCTTTTTAATATTAGCAACTTAACAGACAGCAGAAATGTTGAGGCGCCGTGCTGCATATATGAGCGTCATCTTCACTGTTTGGATATTTATAACAAAACGGAGCCGATAACAACTGCCTCCTTTCAATTTCAGTGAAAATACGAAACGCACCCTCTCTTTTGCTGAATATCAGTTTTAATAATTGATAATTATAAAAGTATAGCATACAATAAGTTTATACATTGTAGGAAATAAAGGCAAGCGATCAGTCAATGTACCTGGATTAATCATTAACTTATCTTTGCGCTTAACCAAAACATGTTACCCGTGAACAAGTAACTTAATAGATTCCAATGACCAAAGTCAGGGAATTGGCCTATGTCGTTAGATAAAGACAACAACATGAATGAAATATCACGTTTAGCAAATATAGTGAGATTAGATCCAGCGGGAGATGCTTGATAAACAGTCCGACAAGCAGAGCTCTCATCTGGGTAGAAATGCTGGAGCGCTTGCCCGAGAGTGTGTGTGTGGTCACGTGATGTGCGTTTTCAGCGTTTTGGTGTGGACGGAGAGCTGTTCAGAAACGCTGGGTAAAACGCGAGTGTGGACGCGGATCGTTTTCATTCTACAACGCCGTTTTAAATCTAAAACGCACTAGTGTAAACGGGGCCTTAGATGAATAATCACACAACATCAATATCAAATAAACCTGAGGACTGGTGATATGAAACATTACTAATTACACTCATGTTGTTCTAAACCGAAGAATCCTTCGCTCGAAAATCTGAGAGCTTCCACTATTCGAAAGACAGCAACTTGTTCAAAGTTCATAAAGGGACCAACATCCTCAAAGCATACCATTTGACTTCAGTGGTTCAATTGGAATATTATTAAGCTACAAGAATCTTTTTTATGCGCACATACAACAAAATTATTCTACTGTGGACTGATGTTTCTGTTTCAAACAAAGAACAAGTGTATCTGAGGTAAAGCCCACAGTGCATGCCCTGCGTGTTGTGCATTTATACTTCTGTGCGCTGTTTGTGTTGCTCTGCAAAAACCCTTACGAAATGCTAGCTGGCAGTAGGTGTTTATGTTCCCCTGTGTCGAGTTTCTTCACAGGTGTTTTGAATGCTACCTTAACGTACACATTACTCAAACTCGCTCATTTTGAGGTGGGAACTGGCATTTAGAACCGGTAATTTGAAAATGGGTTTCAATAGCGTTTTGAGTGGATTACAGTGTTTTTGTGACACACAACTTTAAAAGGTGTGTGTTAAAGCTGTTTTGATCTGTCATATCTGTGGTTCAAGCGCTAGAGAAAAACAGCATTGTGAGCCATGTTTTTTTTTGTTCTACTTATTCACGTGCCCCAAAAAAAGACATTTAAAATAAACAAAACAATATGATGTCCTTTGACTGCTTTCTTTAATAACTACATTACACAATACTTGTACTTTTACTTTCAGTACTTGAGTAGTAAATTTTGAAATAAACTACTTGCAATACTTAAGTACAAAAAAATGTTGACTTTAGTACTTTCACTTAAGTATGGTGCTTAAAGAGCAATTCAACTTCTACTCAAGTCACTTTTTTGATAAAGCACTTGTACTTTTACTTAAGTCTGAGTCTCTAGTACTTTATACATCTTTGTGTGTGTGTGTGTGTGTGTGTGTGTGTGTGTATATATATATTCATTCATTCTTTTGCTTTTCAGCTTAGTCCCTTTATTTATCAGGGGTCGCCACAGCGGAATATATATATATATATATATATATATATATATATATATATATATATATATATATTGATATTGATATTAAAAAACTTACTTTGCTCCCTGCTTCTCCAGGAGCATCCAGAGTACCAGCATTTCCAGTATCCAAGTCAGGAACAGATGCTTTTGGGAGGCACTCGGTGCTCTGTTGAAAAAGAGAGCTTGGTTTATTATTTGTCTCATTTTTATACAGTAGCTACTTGAAAATTGAACTCATAAATAAGCAAAGGTTCATAGTAAGCGTGTTTAGCCACACCTGTGGCAATTGAGACTCACTCACAATTTTCTATTTCCTGTTTGAAATCTGTTTCTGTTGGACTGTGCATGTGCACACCATCTGCATTTGGACAGTGAATCAGCACCAGCGCCAACGCATTACATTTATTCTTGCATACTCAAAGCCATCACTATGGCAACATTTGGCAACAGTGCTTTGATCTCTAGACCACCGGAAAGAATGCAGATATGGCTTTCTATCTGTGTGTCATGTTTTAATTAAATTAGACTATACAGACATTAATTGGAAAAATAAGAGTACAATTTTGGACTGTTCAGTGAAGGATGATTAAAACATAAATATTACTGATTAATAAGCATCCCAAAATGAAGTTGTAAGAAAGTTCCATGTGCAGTTATGTTATTAAGGTTTCGTTAATAACATTTTTTTGTCATATAATAGTCCACATATTTCCACTGGTAACCTTTTTATTTTGATGATCTTTGGATATTCTGTTGACTATAAGACTCAGCAAAATCAACACGGTTCCATTGTGTATAACGTCATTATCTTAGCTTCATTAACAGTAAGGCTCGAGCTCATTGTCAGTCTGGTGCAGTGTTAAGCGGGCAGATAACTTTGCTGCGGTGGGAATCCCTTAGTCTCAGTGAGCTATGCTTCAAAATTATAGCTTCACACTTGCCAAGCATCCCAGTTACTGAGCAGCCAATAGGAGGAAGCCTGCAGAGGACAAACCCCCCTTTTTTTTTGCATAGCAACACTGGTGCCAGCCTGTGCTATGAGACTGTGCCAGGTGAGACCGGGCAGTGCTGCTGTAGAGTAAAAAGGAACATCCTAGAAGAACAGTGCATCATATTTTCATGATGTTTAGTTTTTTTAATTATTAAAATGACCATCTACTAGCATACCACAAGCAATCTGCACTTTTAGCTATGTTATTAAATGTAAGTCAAAGTTTTATATATTTATTCCTCTCCACAGAATGCACAATTCTTTACCTAAGCCAGAAATGTCAAATTTATAATGTGATTTTTCCAGCACACTGGTTCAGTCAACAATGTTCTCTGTGGTTTTATGTTGCCCTTGGCAATGACAAACCCACAGTAGTTTATAGCATCTATAAATTGTTCTGTACATTTGCCATTGCCGAGCGTAAAAAGTGATTTGTAGATTTTTAATGTCATCAAATAAGTCATTGGCGTGAAATATTCTATGTGTCCTTTCTTTCTATAAATACTGATGTTTTGTTTTGGTGGCGTCAACGAGAAAACAGTCAGCGCTCTCGGCACATGGTTACAAAGTTAAAATGGTTACATAAACAACAGTTTTGTCTGATTCTTGAATTTGATTGGCTGACAGCTGTGCGGAATTCTGCAAATAACAGCACTCGTACCGCCTCTTCATCCTTGTGTATTACTCCGCCCACATACAGCAACAAGCAGAGGACATAACAGTTTGACAAATATTGCAGCTGTTGGACAACATAATGTACCTTTGAGGCTTTTTTTTCAGGAGAGAATGTAGTTATTTAGATTGCAACTATGCATTTTATTAGTAAGAATAGTGCCTGTTTTAAATATTTATCATTTCGGAGAGACATTGCATTGGTGGTCTTTAAGTTATAGCAAAGTCGGTTGACATTGTCTATCCACAAGATGGCAACAGAGACTGCATAATAAGACCTTAGAGGAGGAAAACAGCGTAATTTTAAACTACAGCTGATCAAATCATTATAAAACAGGTAAGTGACAAGAGTAATGAGTGTGAAAGGGACTCGCATATCTGGAATGTATGTACTTTAAGTTGGCCCCTCTTTGTATAACCCTGAGTTACTTTTTGGTTGGCCATCTGTTTTTACTGAGTCTCCTGATTTCGTTACTGCAGACTATTTCGGTACAAAGAAAGAAGAAATCCCCGCAAGTGTTTAGCATTTTTTTGTTTGTTTCCTTTTTCCTTCCTCACAAGCTTTGGAGACGTAACATAAATTCCGCTTTTAAATAATAGGTCACCTATAGCTTTCGCCATGAGGGTGTGTTCAAAATGACATGCGAAAGGAACACAATTGTAAACATCAAGATTGCTAAAACTGAACTACAAAATTGTTTGTAAGCAAATTACACCTAAGAGAGATATGGCATTAATGCTTTTTTATTTTTAATAACTCCAACTTTGAATGTTAGAATGCTCTAAATCAGTGGTCACCAAACTTGTTCCTGGAGGGCCGGTGTCCTGCAGATTTTAGCTCCAACCCTAATCAAACACACCTGAACAAGCTAATCAAGGTCTTACAAGGTATACTTGAAACATCCAGGCTGGTGTGTTGAGGCAAGTTGAAGCTAAACCCTGCAGGGACACCAGCCCTCCAGGACCGAGATTGGTGACCCCTGCTCTAAATGAATAGGGCATAGGGGGGATAAGAAGTGGGAATAGAACACAGCCAGGGACTATGTTTCAAACTACAGCTCCAGAGGTATAGTTGAGAGTGCTTAAGCTTGCGATTGTTCTTTGGAACGATGGATCTGAGAAACTGCAAATCAAAAAACTATGTTTGTAACGCTGGAACTTGCAATCTTAGTTGGCTAGCGATGGTTTTGGGAAACGCACCCCAGTTTAGCAGCGCCCATAATATAAGTCTTGAAAACGGATAATAAAATGCATATTATGTATACACTTAATACTTAGTAATATTAGACACTAAGTTAAGAGCATTTGATAAATTATAGATTTAAAGATTCAAGTTAATGCTTGCAATGTGTTTGAAAAAGCCATTTTAACCCATATATTGCCTGAGATTTTGTTGCATTTACATGGTTTTGATCAGGAAGTCTCCTTAACATGGTATTTTGAATGCTTTGTGAAAGTTAATCATTTTGTGCAATTGGATCTGTTGTTTGAATCTTTAGAAAAGCTTTGGGCTCTATTTTGACGGTCTAAAAGGGTTGAGTTTATTTTCTTAATGAGTTATAGGTGTGTTTTGAGAATAAACTAATCAGAGAGCCTATAGCCTATAAATAATTAATTTAGTTTGTTAAGCGCAAAGATTTGTTTCAAAACTATTTCTAAATTCAGTTCAAAATTCCAGCAAACGAATAAATGAACAATAATGACCAAGTGTAGTCAAAATAGTTATTTTCAAATACACATGCTGTGCCCCATAAGGTCTAAAAGGTGGACAAATCTTAGCTTGTTTTTAATAAAACAAATATAAATATGGATATAATAAATAATACTGCTAATAATAATAACATTATACAAAAGCAAATTGAATGAACTGAAAAAGCCTCCCGAGATGAAGAAAGTAAGGCAGTGGTTTTTAAATTCATGTAGGCTAGAAATGAATATGTTTTGTAATATTTTAATCATTTATATTTATATCCTATATCTATCCTTATTATAATATATCTTTTTCATATGTAAAGATATTTGCGTATTGCTCTACATCTTGTGTGTTGTGTGTAAGCCAGGCGCACTTTGCCCCAGACAATAGAACGACTTTGTTCTGGTCTAAAGAACAGACTATTTACAGTTTCTCAAAATAGCAACGCGCCAAAACACGCCTGCTTTTTCAAACCAGAATGCCTATGGGCGCACATTTGAGCGCAAATGCATTTGCTATTTAAACAGTGTGGCACAACACCTCAAAATGACTCTTGCGCCGAGCTGAAAGTAGCAAAAGACTATTACGCCGCGCCTTGCGACACATTGCGCCGGGTGTATGATAGGGCCCTTTGTTTCTCCCATCACTATGATAGAACGACATCAAGTCCAGCAGAGGTCATGGAGCAGCAGCTCATTTGCATTTAAAGAATTTAATCAAACACCTAAACAAGCTAATCAAGGTCTAATAATTGCTCCAAAGCTGCAGGAAAGTGAATTTTTTTAACGCTGGATCAGAACTCTGAACTCTCATGACTGAACTTGCGCCTAATTTTTAGCCTAAACATCATGGACACATTGTTAATCATTTTAAAGAAGTGTGTGTATGTGTTACCTGTGTTTCAGGTAGAGCGCTCTTCTCTTGAGGACCACGTGAGCTCTGGGCATCATGAAGCTCTTTCTCTAGCTGTTCCAACCGAGCAACACGGATCTGTATGCGGTAACACATAACGGGCTTTTTGATAATAATAATTTAAGAGCACATCATTGATAAACCCCTATAATCTCAGTTAGTTTAGCCTTGTGGTTCATCCAGTGCGGTGTTTATGATGAAGTGGGTTGTTTTGGGTAGTTAAAACAACAAGTTGTAACCAAAACAACATTGTGCTGGATGCTTGACTGCGAGTTCTGTGGTTTACACAAGTATGGCTTGTGACTGACACGTGACATTTAAGCTGGATTTACAGCTGCATCTTTGTCGGTGAAACGTGGCATTAAATCTATAATCTGTTCTTACTTGTGTTCTCTGGACCATCTCATCACTGGTGCCGAAACGTTCCTCCATCACAGAACGCAGCTGCTGAGCTTCAAACTCCAGCTGCTGTCTGATAAAATCCACCTGCATAGAGAACTGTGAGGCAAGAAACGTATCTTTAATAATCATACAATTAACAAAACTGCACACATAACTTTGTTTCCACAATCAAAACAAGCCAAATCTATAGTCATTACCAGTAAAATCAAGAGACTCAGAAGTGAGTAACTGGAAGTTGTTTAGGCTTACCGTATCAAGCCGTGGCAGTTCAGCCAGTCTCTGAGACAATCCCTGCAGCTGTGAGTAATACCACCGTCGCTCTTTCTCCTCTTTCTCTATTTCACTCAGCAACATAGTCCTACAAAACACACACACACACACACACACTGAAACTTAAATTCACTGTACTCAACAAGGTTTAGGGGAATTCAGTAATGAGCATTCAAGTTCAAAAGACTATTATTTGTCTGATATGTTTATGTAAACCTGGACCACAAAACCATAATTTTAAGATTTTGACATCACATGAAAGTAATTATTGAGCTTTCCATTAATGGGTAATCTGTTGGAATAGTACAATATTTGGCTTAGATGCAACTATTAAAAAAAATCTAGATTCTGAGAGTGAAAAATATTGAGAAAGTCTCATTTAAATTGTCTAAATGAAGTGCTTAGCTACCTGACAAAAGTCTTGTCGTCAATCCCAGTTGTAAGAGCAACAAATAATAAATTGACTTCTATTTTATCATTTGGAAAAGTGGCAGAAGATAGATTTCTCCGATGACTCGTCTGTTGAGATGCATCCCAATAATCATAAATACTGCAGAAGACCTATTGGAACCCGCATGGACCCAAGATTCTCACAGAAATCAGTCAAGTTTGGTGAAGAAAAAATCGTGGTTTGGGTTATGGATTTTAGATTTTTTAGCCCAACCTAAAACATGAAAAAACTGCCATGTTTAACTATTATCATCGGCCTTTTCATTGCCTATTATAAACTTTCATCGCCTATTATAAACTCAGGAATGACATAATTATTTTTTTAACAGAGGTTACATGTGCTGGCCAAGATTAAAGATACAGCACGCAGAAGTATAAATGCACATACTGACGCAGAAGTATAAACCAAGCTTTAGCTTGCAAATCCCAGTCTGCATCCAGATACTATTAAGAGCGTGAGGTATTTCCCTGGTACAGCCAAACCGATCGAGACACTGCTCGCTGCAGAGCCATTTGAGCTCCAGCGAGCTTGAGGTCTAACTCCTCCTCCTATAAGCTGTTTTAATATGTAGACCCACCCCTCTCCTAAAGCCTGGTTTATACTTCTGCGTCAAGTCATGCAACGCCCGTAGCTGTGCATTTATACTTCTGCGCGCTGTCTCTGTTGGTCTACAAGAACACTTCCGAAACGCTAGTTGGCAGTGAGGTGTAAATGTTCCTCTGTGTCGAGTTTCTTCGCTGCTGTTTTGCTTTTCCTGAACACTTCAGGGATGTACAAGTGGCTCAAACTCGCTCATTTTGAGGCAGGAACCGGCGGACTTGCAACAACTTTAACCATGAGGTAAACACAAAACAAAACTTTCCATCCAGAGCTCCTTTACTGGACTCCACACTTATTAACAATCGCTACATCGGGCTCGGGCTGCTCTCGGCCCCGCCCAGACTCGTCAGCGCTACCAAGCCGACCAATAAGCCTGTTGACCTTATTCTAAAATGCGGAAGTGCGCCTGTTTTCGCTATTGTCTAAGAACTTCCGTTTCAGTCGCCTATGGGAGAAATGACAAGGAATAATAAACGGCAAAAAACGGTCAAACTACTTGCTCTACAAACAAATGTTTGCATGACTACACAGACCAAGTAGAATAACATGACAAGGAAATATCAGTTTGCAACATCAAACAGCGAAACGAGCAGTTTTTAATGTCTAAAAATGAATGGAAGTGAATGAGACCGGAAGTCTCGTGGCAAAAAGATTCAAACGGCAGCGCCCGCTCGTCTGCGGAGAATAAGGTCAATAAGCAAACGTGTCGTTGCGACGTGTAGTTACATTTTTTAAGAGGTGCGCTTCCACAGCGTAGGGCTATGCGTCGACGCGTAGGCTGCGCCGTAGCATACGCGTGCGCTTGAAGTGTATAAATCAGCCTTAAGACTACGTTACGTCACACTTGCTGTGCTAAAACATTTGCTGTCAGTACACAAAGCAGTGATCTTCTCTCAGGTTGCTAGATTTGTCGCTAGTCGCTTTTTTGAACATTTGTTGTTAGGGGGGTCTGAAAAGTCAATAAAGTTTGCTACAAAGTAACTAAGTAGCCAACACTGTTTGGAACACCTTTTGCCCTCAAACAAAGAACAAAAAAGTATACGGTATAAAGTGTACGAAGGCTATAACCATCAAAGAAAACACAAAAAGGGGGAGAAGATGAGTTTCTAGATGATCTTACCTCTCTTTACAGAGATCCTCTAAGTGTTGGGCAGTGATACGTCCTTCTCCAGCCACCTGATGAGGGAGGCCTGGGTGCACGGCTGTTCCTTCTCCAGATGCAGATGAGGACTGGCGGGACGATTGACACACGGGGCTCCTGGATCTGCTGATGCTCAGTCTCTCCTCACCTTCCCCTACCTGGCCAGCCATCAGCTCCGGAAACACACGTAAGTTGTGAGGCTGGTACTTTAGCTCGTAGTAGTTGGTCAGGTCCATATGCAACTCTGGATAGAAAATAAATGAGGATTATTATTTTTATGGAGCTTTTTAGCATTTGCAAACTTGTACGAATGACTTAAAGGTCCTGTGAAATTAAAATATTTCTTTTAGATGTTAGTTTTAGCCTGTTTTAGGGATATACACTCACTGGCCACTTTATTAGGTACACCTTACTAGTACCGGGTTGGACCCCTTTTGCCTTCATAACTGCCTTAATCCTTTGTGGCATATAGATTCAACAAGGTACTGGACATATTCCTCAGAGATTTTGGTTCAAATTGACATGATAGCGTCACGCAGTTGCTGCAGATTTGTCGGCTGCACATTCATGATGCAAATCTCCTGTTCCACCACATCCCAAAGGTGCTCTATTAGATTGAGGTTCTGGTGACTGTGGAGGCCATTTAAGTACAGTGAACTCATTGTCATGTTCAAGAAACTAGTCTGAAAGGATTCAAGTTTTATGCGTTATCCTGCTGGTAGTAGCCATCTGAAGGGTACACTGTGGTCATAAAGAGATGGACATGGTCAGCAACAATACTTAGGTACTGTAGGCTGTGGCATTGACACAATGCTCATTTGGTACTAATGGGCTGAAAGTGTGCCTAGAAAATATACCCCACACCATTACACCACCATCTCCAGCCTGACCCGTTGATACAGGGAAGGATGGATTTATGCTTTTATTTTTTGTGTTTTAAACATAATAAAAATGCACATTTAAAAGCACTTCACAGGACCTTTAACACATTCTTTTACCTCAGGAAGAAAACAACAGACGGGTACACAACAACATAAAAAAATACGAGAGCATGTAATAGGCCAAGAACAAAAAAGTAGGAAAGAAGGTTGCAGCCACTAACCCTTATCACCTATAAGTAAAACTTATATACAAAATAATAAAAACAATAATAACAGATAGAATAATAAACGACAAAAAACTAATGACAGAAATAAATGAGCACAGAATTTATCAATGACAAAACATAACAAATAGCTGTAATTTTAATGTTCAAAACAGTAAATTTAACCATTGGTAAACACTAGGAAAACACTGGAAGGTGGTTGAAGCCTATAAGCATCTATTTTCCAAAAATATATACAGTAGCATGGATTAGCCATCTTTAGATTACCCCACTGTATCTTACCTCTGCAATTAGTTCTTGTTGTTGTTTTCTGGTAAACAATTTTCCTTGATATTCCCTAAACATACTATAAGAACTATATTATCAAATTTATTATATATTCTTAGTTTAACTCGATTTCTTTATCATTAATTGTAATATGTAATGAGAACACATTTTAATGACGGTCACTATTTAAATGTTGAACAATTCAGAATGTAAAAGATGATAAAAAAATTGATTATAAATGTTGGATTGCTGATTATTATATTCCAAAAGTAAAAAAATAGCAGTTTATCCTTAATATTATAGCAATGCATCAACTGACACGATTCACATAGTTTACAACATTTGGAATCTAGAGATTGTTTTCATTAAAGTAATAAAATAATAATAATAACGGTAGTAGTACTTTACTAATCTTTACAAATCTGGACTTTACTAGAACTATATTAAACAGCTTTGACACAATCTACATCGTGAAAAGCGCTATATGAATAAACATTAATTGAATTTAGTACATCTTTAATAAAAGGTATTGAAATTATACAAAAAGGTGAGCATAAACAACAGCAAAAAAACTATTTACGTGTCCATGTGTGTATTGACCGCAACCTCAGTGGCTCAAGCCATTAGCAGATAAACAACAAAATGGCTTCTGTTAAACCTTATCTGAGATGACCGTCATGACCTCACAAAAGACCCATATGTTTAGCAGAGATTTGCTCTCAAAGAAGCATTGATCAGTTACTAAATAGATTGTGTTCAACTAAGACATAATTCATATCATTATTATGTGGATTATAAATAAAATGACAATTAAATTTGACTAAATTATTTGACAGTTTATTCAAAATTGAAGTCATTCAAATAAATGATATATAAAGCATCTTATACCTTTACGTAATTAAGTAACTGTTGAGCAGTAAATTTGAATAGAGTGCTCAGCATAATTGAGTACACCCCATTTTGAAAATGAATATTTAAAACCATTTCTCAGTGAATATAGGCAATGTATTTGGGTGCATTTAAACAAAACAGATTTATTAAACAGATATATTTATTAAAATAATATTTTTGTCATAAAACATCTTTAGTAATTGAAGGATAATTCAATTAAATTCAATTAAATTAAATAAAAAATATTGCAAATAAATTCAAACATCTTTACAAATTGAAAGATAATACAATTAAATTCAAGCAAAATAAAAGCAAAAATGAATTACAACCTACAAAATTTCAACTAAATTTGTCAATTATTTTTGCTTCTTTTAATTTTTCCTCTTTTTAAAAAAAAAATTGTATTTAATAATTTTTAACATATAAATATGGGTGTACTAGTTTTTGGACCGTTATTGTAAGTTATTTTGTTAGAACAGCTCTAGATTTGGCTTCAGTACTGACTAATCCAATGTACATGCACATATATAATATTGTATAGCTTCCTATTAAAAATATATGATTATAAAAGATAGATTTGTGAGGGGTGTACTTATATATGCTGAGCTCTGTATGTTACAATTCCTTCAGATAAATGAACAGTAGTGACATATGTGGAGGTTTTCTGCAGTACCTTTGAGCTGGTCCAGCACATCAGTTCTGCCTGAAGAGGCAAGCGTTCCGGCCTCCTGCTCCAGTTTACTCTGCAACTGCCTCAGAACCTCCTATTACCGAAAAAAAATGAAATAAATAAGGACAATGCAAAAAATACACAGTCATCGTTTTCCAGTGGCCTCCAGTTTAGTTCAAGCTAATGCATATATTTTAAAATAAAAAGAGATGATTTTGTCATCTCGACAAAGCAGATGACCTCATCTTTATAATGCATGCGTTTGCTCTGTTTGAGGAGAGAATAGATTGTGAGACTGAAAAGCTTTGGCGGGGATTATGTTCAGCATCTGGGCATGCGGGCTACTGTGGAATCATGAGATACTAAATGTGACCCCGGCACCAACAGTATAATCTCATGAAAGCAGTTGTTGAACGAGTTTCAATTGATGATTGTGTAGAGAAAGGATTTGAGCATTTCCACTGCGCCACTAAATAAACCCTAGGGTTTAGATCTGTACAGGTGGGCTGAAAATGAATATTCATCATTAATGGCACTCTTAGCGTATGCATTTCTGTCTTCTGCAGAACACACACTGAAAAACAAAATGATTCATTGGACTTACTATTTTTTTTTTTAAGGTAAGTGTTTGCAAAGAATTTATATGGCTCAGCATCGTGGTGTTTGTCGGCCATTGGCGATGGCATCGTCTATCAGCCCAACCCTACTAAGACCTACTGAAGTTTCCTAATGAGCCCTTTAGGGCCATTGCTCCCAACAGGATTAATGTCTCCAAAGCAGCCAGACTAACAAAACAGGCGTGAATCTGCAGTATTCACACACCACCATTTACAAGCATTACATCATCTGATCAATTTCAATGTCATCTCCGATGGATGCATGTGACTTGTTTGTGTGATTTCATGTGCAGAGAATATAGGAAGTAAGAGATACTCCCGTTTACTGGAACTTGAAAGCTCAAGCTCATGTAACACATCAGAAATTCTGCAATTTAAGACTCTGGGGTCAATAATACAATACGCTCCATGGTCTAATGGTTGCCTTCTCTGCTCATCCGAGAGCTGTAATGGGCAACAGTGATTTAAAATGAGCTTAGAGATGCTGGACATTCATCGTTAGAGTTCCCAGACATTTTGTGGAAAGTGGGTCATGACTGAGACAAACAGGGCAAACTCTCGCCACACAGAAGTACCATATGCAGTGCCCAACATGACAAGCAAAACTATGAAACATTTTATACTCCATGCATGTGATAAGTATAAAAACACAAGCCCATTGGAAATACGTGCTTCAGCCTACATGTTTGTAAAACTACAAAATGTACTTTTTTAGGTAAATTGAATACTACAGGGCAGTATGACAACTTGTGTTCCTTTATAACATTTACAGGGACATGATATTGATGAATAAAGGATTATTTTTGTTAAGTTTTTTGCACAACATCAAATAAATACAACTTTTTGGTGTCTTTGATAAAATTGCCTCTTTTATCTATCTTCTAACTTTTCTGGCATGGTCAGTTTGCTCGGTAGCTCATCTTGTATGGTGTTGTACTAGGTGTTGAAGCATAAAAGAATTCTGCTAAAGAAGTAAAAGCGAGGTAAATCTGTGTGGTTAAACTGGCACTTTTCTGTTTGCTTTTGAAAACACTATTGGTTGGGTTCGCTTCCACCTGGACGTGTGGGATGTGATTAGGACGTGTATGTGTGTGAAACAAATAATAAAATGCTCTCTAAGTAACATATTACAGATTTACATGTAGGCAGAGTCTTTTAGTGGTATTGTCATCTGAGACGTGCAACGTATTTTATGATTCACAAAATGAGGCATGTGTTTCCAATGAGTCTGGGATGAAAAGACCAATTATTTTAACAGGATTTCTGCAAGTTTCATAAAGTCAAATTTAATTTAAGGTGCAGTAGGTGCTTGTCTTCAGAAACATTTGTTGTTGTGCTGGTTAAAAGCTAAAATAAATAAAAAAAACTTCTCTCCGTCAAACAGAAATTGGGAAAATAATAAAACAGGGGGCAAATAATTCAGGGGGGCTAATAATTCTGACTTCAACTGTATGTGATTACCAATAACAGACACAATTAAGTTGTTTCAATGTATTAATTTGGTCTTGTGCAAAGAACTGCTCAAAATAATACTTTAGTGATCAATAATATGTAGCTGTAAAGATCCTTAGTGTGAAAAGTTAAAGCTGTTGGCATCGTAATACCCCTCAGCATTCATTTTACTTACTAGCGGCAGTCAAACATGTTGAAGTATAGGTTTTTATGGTTTTCTATAAATGTAGGTTGAAGCATGCATTTCCAATGAGCCCCTGTTGATTCGATCAGTTGTGCTAGGTGCAGCTAGTGTCTACAACAGGGACGGGCAAACTCGATCCTGGAGGGCTGGTCTCTTGTATAGTTTTTCTCCAAGTCTAAACAAACCCACGTGCCTGTAGCTTTCTAGTAATCTTGAAGACACTAATGAGTTTTTTCACGTCTGTTTGATTAGTGTTGGAGCAAAACTCTGTAAGGACACTGGCCCTCGAGGACCAAGTCTGCCCATCACTGGTCTACAAACTCACTTCACCTTTAGGCAGGCATTATATTCTTCTCTAAGATAACCCTCACCTTGAATACACTCTCAGAAATTATGGTATGCGAGCTGTCACTGGGGTGGTACCTTTTCAAAAGGTACAAATTTGTATCTTAAAGGTCCATATTAATACCTCAAGGGTACATATCAGTACCTAAAAAGTACAAAAGTGTTCCTCTAAAAATCTTCAGGTATTAATATATACTTAATAACTTATATAACTTAATATATGCGGTACCAATATGTTCCCTTTAACCAGTTAAACTCTGCGGACCATCGGGTCTGTGACGTCATCGACTTTCGCTTTAAGATTTAAAGGGCTAGCATTGCACCAGACCCCCGTAAGCTGTTTCGTTTGAAAGCGTAGAATCTATATTTTATGCACATATGCATCCCTTTGGTTTTTATTCTACCGTACAAAAGTTATTTACACTTAAACACACAGTATTTTGGATATTAAGCTGGTTATTAAACATTGGTTCAGTTTTCATATTTTTCATATGGTTTATATATGACACATGTACAAGTTATAGCTCAAATGAAAGCTCTTGCCGGTGCTCCTCCGTTTCTAGCATTATTTTTACAGAACTATATTCACATATCAAACAGCTGTCGAATGAATCGCCGTGTTTCCATGGCGCAGAAGTGAAAACAATACATTTATGATCAATAAGCAGCCCCAGATAGCACAGACAGCTGTCATCTCTTATCATATGCTGTGTGCTTCTGGGCCATTCTCCTCTGTTTTTAAGGTGATGTGCATAAGTAATCCTTTTATATGTCTGATGTGATCCAAACACAGTGAATTATGTTTGATCAAACAAAAGAATAGTGAAATATGAAAACAATGATCAATCCCTGTGGCTTGTATAGCACCGCTCATCAGTTGGAATACAATAACTTTTGCATAGATTATGGTAGAGACATTTTTCTTTTTTCCTATGATTACAGACATGTGCAGGAACCACCAAAATAAATTACAGCACCCTATATACCACACAGAACCTTAAAAGTACCCTTTCAAATTTGAGTTTATAAAAAAAAATACAAAAGCGCCTATTTTTTTTAGGTGTTTGTTACAACACAGACAACATATACAGATATTTTAAACACTTTCAATAGTGTTTTATTAAAATTCAAAGGGTGTTCTTTAAAATGATAGCACATTTTTGCATTTACACCTCTGCATGTGGATTTGGGAAGCTTTTAAATTTGGGTAGGCAAAATCCAGGAAATCCAAAAATAGCATCAGAGTTGAACTGTACAAATGTGTACCTTTTCAAAAGGTACCACCCCAGTGACAACCTGTGTACCTTTAATTTCTGAGAGTGAAGAAGCCCATTTTTGACGCAGATCCAACACATCCAGCAGAATTACAGTAAAGCTCTAGTATTGGGCCAGATTGCAGCTCACTGTCATCAAAACTGAGTAGGACCAGGACCCCCCGCAGACCCAGGGATCTGCTTAAAAACATCAATCACTTATAATCTGAGCTTCACTCACCTTCATGTCAGATGTTTCATTCTCCAGCTTAGACAGGTGGTGTGAGTTGTCCTGAAGCTCTCGCCGCAGGTGAGAGTTCTCCTTACGGAGATCCTCCACCTGCCGCACCAGCTGGTCATAGGAGGCCGTTGGGAATGACATCATCACTCGATGGGATCCCTGAGAAGGTTAGAGGTCAGAGGTCAGACTTTAGTGCACTCCAAATCTAATTTGTATAGCTTCATCCATAACTCCACACTTTCTTACTGTATAGAGGACGAAAACACAGTATATACCATGGGCGGGCTTTTTTTTTTACAATATATAAAAAACAGTAAAATAAATTATTTAATAAACATTCATAAATCTGATCTTTACACAGTAAGTGCATGTACTTTAAAGACCAGCATCACAATATAAACTTGATATGAATATGCAATAAATGCAACAGGATTGTTAATATTTATTTATTTATTTCTGTTCAATGAGAAAAATCTAGCCTTTCTTGTGCTGAACAGGGGTATTGAAATCAGGCTGAATATCTAAGGTGGAAATGCGACATAAGAAAACACACGAATGATCATCGCCGAGAGAGGATCTGTATCTGTATTTGTTAAATCGTTATTCTGAGGTAATTATTCTATCGTTATTACTGTTTATATTCCATTCAAAGGGCTCTACTTGTACTATTTTAAGGATGAAAAAATGCAGTCTGCGCCCTGGCGCATGGTCTAACAGGGTTGTGCTTTTTCTTTGTTATGGGTGTGTTTTGAGCATAATGTGCATTTAACCAATCAGAGTCTCAGTCAGTCAGTTAGTCAGTCAGTCTTTATTAATTTCCCGAAGGCAATTTGGTTGCAGCATACAAGCATGTCACACATAATACACAAAAGCACAATATACAATACAAATTCTACCCTAAATTTAAAAACTTTACAGCTGAGGGAATGAATAAAAGTTTGAACCGATTAGTTTTACTAATAGGTGTTCTGTATCGAAGACCAGAAGGGAGAATATAAAACTCGTGGTGCATAGGATGGGAATCATCTGAAAGAATACTCTGAGCTTTACTCAAATCTTGTCTATGGTATAACTGAGCCATGGTCATCTGTTTTCCCCCTGTTATTTTTCCTCCTAGGCTCATAATTTTCTCCAGGTAACTCTTATTTTCAACACTTTGAACCAACAAAGCAGAGAAAAAGATAACAGTGACTGAATGTATGAACTGTAAAACATGCAAATGAGTGATTTGTCTATATTAAAAGATCTTAAATTCTGTAAACAGTATGGTCGTTGTTGCCCCTTCTTACACAACATATTAGTATTAACAGAAAAGGACTCTTTATTATCTAAAAAAGTTCTCAAATACCTATGATCAACACTCTCAACACCCACTCCAATACTAGTTTGCTTACCCTTAATCAGTCTCATCTCCTATTCTCTTTAAGAGTCAGTTGTGTCGCACCATAGCGCATTTGCTATTTACAAGGCAAAGTTTGTAAGTGAAAAAACTGAACGCTTTACTTGTAAAACAGTTAGACAGACCATCTGCAGTGCAAAGATAAAGAACGAGCCTCCTCCATTCGACCTCTTTACTTAATTTTACTGTTTACTCCCGTAGAGTAAGGAAACGGTGTAAACGCACTCCACTAAAGACATTTATCAGCCTACATATTTAATTTTATTTAAGATTTGTTTCAAAACTATTTCTAAATTCTGGTTTAATTTCTAGCACATGAATAAATGAACAATAATAACGAAGTGTGGTCAAAAAACTAATAAAAATATCCAAACACACTTCCTATTTCAATGCCCCATATGATGATGCATATGTCTCCAAAGCTGGACAGGTGGACAAACTTGTTTTTATTAAAACAAATATAATTATGTGTATAATAAATACTACTAATAATAACAATATACACATGCAAATTGTCATGAATAAACTGACTACAACAGAGTTGGTTGTCAAACCTGCGAAACGTGAAAATAAAACCTGTGCTTGCATTAAAATAGCAACAAATCACACCCTACATGCCTTGCCAGGTGTATTATAGGGCCAAAATTATGAAGCTGCCTTGCTGGTTCTTTTCACATAGCAATATTTCTATATAAAAATTAGCATCATGACTTTCTGTAATGCTTTGAAACAATGTGTGAATAATCCCTTTTGTTAGTCTTGGATTTGCATTCAATCTCACTAAACAAACACTGCATTGTTTATACATCATTATATTATTATTAATATATTTATTATTTGATTTGAAAAATGGAAATCCATGTCTGGAATACATAATGAGCGCAAAGTGTGCCTTTAAGCTTGTGAATGAGCAAGTTCCAGGCCATCTGTCTGTATGAGCACTGCAGAGCCTTCTTGCAGTTGATATGGCAGGTCTGCATTATTCACGGCTGTGTTCATTCTCTCTGTGACTGGTGCCAGCAGCCCCTCACTGACCATCCCCCAACTACAGTCCAGATCAGAAAGACATTAAACATTCCTAATTAAATCTCTAACAAAAGCCTTTTCTAAAATAACACAAAAATGCTTTTCTTATTTAGAGCTTTTGTCTTGTTTCTAGTCTAAATATAAAAAAACTCTTATTTTTATTACTATTATTTCACCTACTATTTTTTTTCACTTATTTATTCTGAAAATAAGACGATCTGTTTTGCTTGTCTTAGGGTTAGGTCTTAGGGTTATCTAAGTCAAAAACTTTAGGCTAATTTATACATACATATATACTAAGCATTTATGCGGCCATATTTGTAGTTCAGTTTTACAGTACGAAGGATGAAAACAGATGTGAATTTGGCCCTTTGAAAAGTGTCCTCAAACAGACCCCGGGGATGGGGAACATATGTATTTATACACTTTCAAGTAAGGTCTAAAGCAAACACAAACCTCAATCTGTTGCTAATGATGCCACATGAGAGCACTACAAAGACAACAGCTAAGCTCACTTAAAACTTCCCATCGCAACTTAACTCACTCCAGAGTATCCTAACACACCGCAAAATAGCAAAATACATCTTAACACAGGCTGAAATTATCGAATAAATCATAACGCATTTAAACATAAATCATAAATATTTTAACACATTCTGACACAGCCCATCACATCTTAACACAACTCCAACACTATGTGATATACAATAGTCAAAGACAATACAAAGCATTCAAGAATACCTTTACTAAAGCTGTGGCGAAAAGCAGTGGAGAAATCAATTCTGTGATTTTCAAATTGCATCGCTATTCGCTCTTGAATGAATTTTGAGCTTTGTTTTCAACAGCAGATGGGGCTGATACAGTCGTTCTCACACCACTTGAACCTACAATAATCATTAATAAAGTTTATGAAATGTTTTAGTGGTTTCTTTCTTGTGCTGAACACAAAATAATTTTTCGTCACCTTTTATAAGGTTCTGTCTGCGTTCTGAATGATTTAAAGATATTGAGCTTCAAAGTTTTTGCGTTCCATATAGAAAACAGTATATGTGTAACATTTGTTTTTTAAATAAAAAGTCTTAAAATGTAAAGAACTTTTAAAAAGCATCCCATAATGTAAATAAGTTGTCATTTAATAAGAATATGGAAAAAACTCAATTTTGACAAAAATGTCAGATAGAACCTTATAATTCTGAAGTGGCGACATATTGAAGATTACTGGTGACCAAAATTGCTGGCTGGGTCAACTATCACTAAAAACCCTCCAAAAAAACAAAAAAAAACAAAACTATTTTTATTTTCATTTACAAAAATTACAAATGTAATTTCTTAACTGCTAATGCCACATGCTGCTGTTATTTTTTGCATCCTGTGAGTGTTTGTAATATTATTTTTGTTCTTTGTTTTATGTTTCTAATAAATTTTTTTTTTAGATGGCGCCAATAGCCTAGTTGTTAAGTGCTCTGACACATAGTACCATGGTGCTTACGGCGACTCAAGTTCGATTCCTGTCTCGAGGCCCCATGCTGATTCGTCCCCTCTCTCTGCTCCCAAGGCTTTTCTGTCTGTCCACTACTATCTTATCACAATAAAAGTTTACCCCCCCCTGCAAAAATAATAATATTTAAAAAAATGAATAAAATTTTTATCTTCGCCAATATTAATTTTATTATTTGATCGTTACGAAACAAATCATGATAAAATCATGGTTTTCATGGAAAAAATCCTAACGACGGAATAATCCGTGAACTATTTCAGCATATGTTTTATGCAACGGATGCCCTTCCAACCGCAACCCATTTCTGAGAAACACCCATACACTCTAACATTCATACACTACGGCCAACTTAGTTTATCCGATTCGCCTATAGCACATGTTTTTGGACTGTGGGCGAAAACCGGAGCACCCGGAGCAAACTCAACACAGAAATGCCCACTGACCCAGCCAGGACTCGACCTGCAACCTTCTTGCTGTGAGGCGACATTGCTAACAACTGAGCCATCGAGCCCCTAAAAGCTTTTATTTTAAATTACAAAATTATTTTGGTAGAAAATAAATATTTAACAGTAAAGTGAAAAATTTGCAGTCAGACTGTCAAATCTAAAAGTGATTGGCTGTTTCTTCACATAAGTCAACTCAGCATAGTTAAGCCCATCCCAAAAAAGATTATTCCAAAAAGACAATCAGTTCTCTCTTTGAAGATGTAAAATAAAACATTTTATTCCAGCATATAATAAAAAAAAAAAAAAAACACACACAATGTCCGTGTCAGTATTGATGGCAGGTGTTTCTCAACGAAAGTCATGAGTTTACCTACACATAGCAATGAACACAATACAGCACTTTCTGCATACTAGTCTTTTGAGATTCCTCTATTCTGAGGAAAATGTGTCCACACAATTATCTCCTGGGGCTCTGGCAGAATGTTAAACAGTCATACACCACACAGGAAAGGGCCTCGTATCAAACATCTCACACAATGGTCCCGTCATTCTTTACTTGGTCCCTTACTCATATTCTTAACCCTCTACCGCACGCATTATGATAAACCTGTAAAAAAAAAAAATATTTGACTTTTTTTTTTTCTTAAAATGGCTTAACTTGAAGTGTTGTAAAAAAAAATTAGGAAAAAATTCTTTTTTTAAGGTACATTATGAAATGTTGCCATATGGCAACAACGTCCAACAGTGGATCTACTTGAGAAATTTCAAATGTAAAACTTCACTTATAATT